TATTGATTCTAGCGATGAAATGAATATATTTACCTGTTTCAGTTTCTCAGCTTCTACAACTGTGTGGATAACTAGGATTACATACAGTTGTCCCATGTTCACATATGTTAATACTATAATGATTGGAATCATTCATTACCAACATAATTATGAGTAAAATTCATTCAATGTATAATACAATTCCATAAACTTATTTAACATTTGTGCTAATATGGATTACTAATTTTACATTTACTTGGTATAGTTTACTTGAATTTTACCATTAATGTTTAGGACTGCAATTGATCAGTCTCTTATTAACACATATGCATACTGTTCTTATTTCCCCGATATTGCCTTACGTTACAAGCATTATAAGCAAAGATGGGTGGTTGCTGGTAGTGGAATCCAAGACGCACGTTTTGTCCTATTTGGGACTCTGGGATGCAGGTACATCTAGCTGACGAGTCCCAAATAGGGTAAGACGCGCGTCCTGGATTCCACTGCTAGCCACCATTCATCTTTACTAATTTTAACATTTCTTGTTTTGACTTAGCTAACATTCAAATAAACGCTTGAATATAATCTTTCTATATGTGATTTATTAATTGTTACATGAGTAAAATACTTCAATGGTTAAATTACATGCATTTTTTTCACTTTTCTCATATTCTTCACCTTATTCGTATACGTTCAAAGTGTAGTATAATGTATTTCCTACTAAAGATATTTATTTGTTCTATCGAGAAAGATGATAATTGTTTTTGATGATGCTAACATATTTTATGGTTATAATCGTACTGAATTAATATAATAATCAATAAGTATGTGGGTGGAAATATACCGTATGTTTATTTCTCTGTGGTTAGATAAAATAAAACAATAAGTTCAGCGCTTTTACTGATTACCTGTGTGTTATTCATAACCCACATTCACTGTTTTAACAATTTTCCACATCTTGGTCAGAGGTCGAAATCAATATATATATATATATATATATATATATATATATATATATATATATATATATATATATATATATATATATATATATATATATATATATAACTTTTATTTAAAATTATTTCTGATACCAAGTTTATTCATAATGTATAGGCTTTAATAATACGGGTTCAGACAAAAATATCTAGGTCTTTACGGACGTTTGTTTGCTTTGAGATTTGTGTAATAATATGTGTATGAGTGTATTTCACTGAATGTACAATTCTCTATATTTATATGTTTACAAACCACAAACTAGGACATATCGAATACTAAATATAAATGGTGTAGAAAAAATGAGAATTTAATTTCAGAGTTGAATTATAAAAGAAATATTCAGCTATTTATTTGTTGACATACATAAAATTTATGGATTGGTTGAAGTTAGAGATTAACAGCGTTGGATACCGGTTCAGTGGTCTGAGGGTTAAGTGTTCACGCGCGAGACTGATAAGTCCTGGGTTCGAATCCCGTGGTGCAGGATCGTGGATGCACACTGCTGAGGAGTCCCATACTAGAATGAAACGGCCGTCCAGTGATTCCAGGTTTCCCATTGCGGTCTAGCTTTAATTGGCCCATAAACTCAATTATTAAAATTTATGAATTATAAGTTTCCATAGAAAATAAATGCTTCAGCAATATAAAGTTTTATAATACTCTTTAGATTAATGAGTGAATAAATGAGAATGATTTATTCGTCTTTATAACTTGAATTACTTAGTAACTACTTCATTTGTAGTAGTCAATTATTCAGCTGACTTCGTTTCTGAATTGGTGATTAAGAAATGTTGTACAATGATTAATGAATAGATATTGTCAATAAATTTGAATACATTCATGGAGTGACAAATTAGTTAATTGAATATTTGATCATTGATAATTATGACTTAAAAAAGGATAATAAGTGAGAATAAAGTATGATTTTCGTTGTTATAGTCATCGTTCTTACATTCGATTCTGTAAGATTTCCAGTTTAGAAATAATTAGCCCAAAGCAATAAGTTTATAAGCCTAATTTCAAATAATTTTACTTTTCAATGAAATATGATGGTGGTTGGATGTAGTCAACAGGAAACCCTGGACCTGGGTTTCGTGCTGTTTGGCACTCGTTAGCAAGGTGTGCACGCAACATCGAGTCACTAGACTAGTGGCCACATTGCAACTTGGTCGATAGCATTCGATTTGCACTAAGAAGTACCTGACACATAACATTGATCACCACCCAGTAATCAATCAATTTTAAATACTTCTCAATGTAACTTTTTGTAAAGTGAATAGAAGTGATATATACATGACCATCTTATATTAGTGTTTGAATATCAATATACCTCATGCATAGAGATCAGAAACATTAATTTGATTGGTGTTATTTACATTTAGATAGGTCTTTTAAACCTAACAAACGTTGAAATGGCTTATCTAATACGGTTAAATTTATTGCAATGAATTGTTTACTTTTTCCATCTCAGGATTACTTATAAAGCCATGATTTCTAAATTCTACATAGTAAGTCTGCCTCTGTTAGCTTTACAAAAAGTCAGTTTCTAACTGTTTATAGATCTGAAACTTTGTTATCAACTGGAAGTTTGATAATATTGAAGTGATAATAATCGGATCTGTGAATAATTTCTTATAAAATAAGATTCTAACAAGATGTGAAAGTAAAGAATATTCAATCATAACTATGAAATTTGGCTGATAATCAGTGGAACATAAAGTATTCACATTTAACCATTTGTAGATAGTTCAAACAATGATTAAGTAATCATCATTACTTCACAAAAGATCAAGCATACCAAAGTGTTGATCCTATAATCTATGTGATTCGATTGAGTTTAATTGGTTTCGTTACTTAAAAATCAACTAGCAGTGAATGAATCACTACATCGATATTGAAAAAAAACATTATAGAGACATAAAATTCAACCAATTTCTTAAATAAACTCTATCAACTTTATACTAAAACGTGGTTGTTGACTACTCTAACGTTCATAGTTACTAAAGAAATCCCCAAGGAATCGAATTGAATCTGCAAATGTGATCTAATGAAATTTGAATGGTTTTTACAATAAAGTTAGCTGAACTGAACAGTCTGTATGAACAAGGGCTATTAAAAAGAAATCAACATATGGAATAATCAGAACAGTAACGGATGTACTTCTAATATGTTGTCTTTAATAAATTTTAGTGGGCAATAGCACCTAAGAAAATGGGAATAAAACCTCGTTGATTAATTTAGACACTTTAATACAAGCAAGAATTAAATAGTTAATACACTTCATTGCAATTCAGTCGAATTTGTATTCTTTTTTCATTATTTTTTGCTTGTTAAATCAAGAGAAATGTAACATGACAGTAGATTAACAAATATATGTATGCTATAAATACGTTAGTCAAATGAAGACATATTGACCTTAGATTGTCAGTATAAAATGAACGAAAATCATTGACCAAAATGATTGAAAAGTTGTAATGATCAGGTTACGAATAATGATTGTTTACTTGAAGAAACTAGATAAACATAGAAAAGAATATATGAAGTTCAAATGTTCAAAAATGTAGGCTTTATTAAAGTACACAGATAAATGACTTAAGAATATCCTATTTCAATAGCTCTTGCCAAGTTTATAGTTACGCATTTGAATTTGCAAACAAAATGAAGAAAAAGAAATTATAATAACAAGCTAACTTTCTATGAAGAGCCATTGAAAATTCCGCAGACTGAGATGGACATTTGCTCCTGATTTGTGACTTTTTATTCCTGATAATCAAGTGTCTTAAATCCAGTCCCTTATAAAATCATGTATACACATTGATAAGAACTTCAAGACTTGGACAAAGCAGCTGCGCAAGATTCTCTGGTTTCCAATAAATCTGCGTCTAGGACACGAATTTATTTCTTAATAAAGGGATGGTTTATATTAAGTAAAAGATCGTTTGAATGTTCATATCAATACGAATAAATGTGAGAAAATTTTTAAAATTTGAACTTTGATGATATACAAGTGAGAAAGATTTGTGACCTAAGATGTAATGGGTCAAAATGAGCATAACATTTATTACGGCTAACTATAAGTTTATTCAGCATAAAACTAAACAACAAGGTTATAGAAACGTTGCATTCACTTCCTTTAAATGTTCAACCATAAAAATCGTTTTTCTCACAATTTTAAATCAACACATTTCAGAATGATTAGCACAACTCCTTGTGTATGTGGAGTATTTTCTTCTTCATGGTCGGAGTACAACAGCAGCTCTCCTGAGGCTAGTTTTTGTTGTCCAACCTGCGTCCAATGTGTTTCACTGATTCCAAGCTCCTCTAGGTCGTATTTTTTCATTTCTGAAGCAACTTGAATGACTCTCCCGCTCTCCTACATTGTACGAACATTCCATGTACCCAGAAAGGGCATCAGTTTCGTGAATACTGAAGGAATTCAGCTCTCATCATAACTCTTCTAAATGGAAACTTTCTGACTCCCAGGACAGAGTTTAGATGGTTTGAATTATTTTTTCTGATTAGCGTTTTTTTATCGTCTTAGTTTTCTACGGGATGGGGTCGCTAACTCTATGCCCAACCCTCCTCCTTTATCCGGGCTTGGGACCGGCAGTAACTCCAGAGGGGCTCCAGGCGGAATTTCAAAATGATTAGCTATTATTTTATTCATTATAGTTTATTTCTCCCCTTGTTTTATAGGTTTATTCAAATAATTCTTTATGTCTAACGAATTTACAAAGAAAGTACCTTTTAAATTATACTTTAAAACTTACATATCAATGAATTGTCTGAATTACATTACCTATTTAGAAATTAAAATCGACACTTTTCTTTACTGTGATTTCAATAGTTATTTCGAAAATATTTGTTTATCCTTACTTTCAAGTCGGTTTACTTAACAAATGATCAGGATACATCAAACTGTAGAGACTTTGTTTGTAAAAATAAACGATAATGAAGCTTGATTATGCTAAGTATATATATCATACAACTTTAATTAGCATTTATTTTATTTTATCTTATAGCAAATCAGAAACAAGCAGGAAAAGGGCCAGTATTTGAAAAGCCGAAAATATACCAAAATAATCTAGGACGTGATGTAATTTTAGAATGTCGTTGTAGTGCAGATCCTGCACCTACCTTCACTTGGTATCAAAATACAAAAGAACTTAAAGCAAGACCAGGTAGATATGAAATGGAAGAGAATAAAGACGGTGCAGTATTCTTAAACAAATTAAAAATAATTGTAAGTATTTTAAATATTGAGATAATTTTTATAATAAATAATCATTTTACTCTGACTAAGACTTAGCCAATTTCTTTTGAACCCAATATTTTTAGCTTCATCGACCTATGTATGAGTAGTTGGATTATAAGATCATAAATATACTCCATCCATCGATAAAGTTTGAAACGTAATCAATAAATGACTTTAAACCGTAGCTACGATTTTATTCGATATCAAAGCATCAACCAGCACATAGTATACTTCAGACAGTGGTCTCAAATTGCACCGAGGTGAAAATTTATTCACCCACAATGTTTAAGATTATTAAGTGTAGGAATATAAAATGTCATCCATCCAGAATTTTCACTTGATAAATCGATCATTCTGAATGATTCAACGAGTAGGACAATATTTTTAATGAATAATACTGCATGATACAATAAATTCTATCTAGTGAGTGGTCAGATAGGTACAAATTAATTCAAATGGACAAGTCTGTTAGTGATTGTACTGAAGCTTAAACTCCAAAGTGTTATGTAGTATGTGGTTGATATTGTGTCAAACATATTAAGTAATTGAAAAGTTTCTATTGTTCCATTTTTGGTGTTCAAAACTGAATTGAGTTTGAATTTATTGCCATTTCATTTTGATCACTAATTACGAATTAATCGACTGATTCACACTTCCTTAAAGAGCTTTTTAATCAAAGAAAAGCCAAGAAGATTTATTCAAGTGTGCTAACAGACTAGATTTTTAATTAACTATCAATTCATCTGTTATGAAATTCGTAAACATGATATTCTTCAGGGTATTTATAAAGTTCACAAGCATTTGTATTTCTCAAATAAGTACATATCTACTGATTGATCAAAAATTTTCCATTAAAATCATTTCAAAAAACTTAACAAATTATTAAATAAATGAATTCATGAGTCCATTAAAGTTACACCATCATGGAAAATCTGGAAGCCCTGGACGGCCATTTCTTCCTAGTATAGGACTCTTCAGCAGTGGCCAGTGGCGTCCAACTGTGTCTGTTGTAAAGGCAGTTACTCACGGAAGACAATGGTGGACGGTCGCGCAATATCGTGGATTGATTGAAGTTAGATGTCAATACCGTTGGCTGCCGGCTAAGGAATTTAGAGGTTAAGCATTTGCACGCGAGACCGAAGGTTCTGGGTCCGAATTCCACATGCGGGGTCCTGAGTGCGCACTATTGGGGAGCTTCATACTAGGACAAAACGGCCTTCGAGTGTTTTCAGGTTTTCCATGGTGATCTAGATTTTTTCGACTCGTGAATTCAACTATTAAAAATTACTACAATATTCTCCATACCCCATTCTGATAAAATTATGAAATATAAAATCATGTATTAAACTTAGCAATTTTTTCATTTGTTTATAAATAATACCGAATTTGAATAACTATGATAATAGTTCCAACATAGAGATTAACATTTTATTAAATCTACTTATTTATTTAGAATTTTATGAATGCAGATGCAGGCACATACAAATTAATGGCCAAAAATAATTCAGGTGATGCGACTGCAGTTATGGAGGTAAAAATGTAAGTAAATACTTCGCTTTTACTTAACTTGAATATTTAGAAGTTCTGGAATTCTGCAACCACCTGTTTTTCATTAGTCTTAATTAATGTTGTATTAAATATGCTAACGGAAAAGGATACTTTTAAGTGTATATGTCCACCAACTCTGAGATAGTGTTTTTAGAATTAGATGCTGACAATCAACTATGATGTTTTCCTCTCTGATAAGAATCATACTATGCATAAGTTCTTGTATGATAATTTTAACCTCAAGACAGGTTTTCATAGAAGTGATAAAAAAGCTCATTTGGTAAAAGAACAAATTGGAAAACACATCAAATTCCTTCTGGATGCCGGGAGTCTAGAAAGAATAAACCCATGGAAAATATTAAAATGGTAATTAATTTCGGGCAGTTAAACTTAGAGCACCACGATTTTAAATATAGTGATGGGGGAAGGGAGTAAACAAAATGTTAGTAAGTAGTTAAAAATCATAAGTGCGTATATCAGAACAAGATGTGATTTAGGAAAACACTGCTAGATGATATTCCATTAACTTACTTACTTAAGCCTGTTACTACTCGTGGAGGAGCATAGACTGTCCACAAGCATTCTCCATCCGACTCTGTCTTGGAAAGTCCTTTCCAGTTCTTTCCAGTTTCTATTCATCCTCTTTATATCTGCTTCCGATTCTCGATGTAGTGTGTTCTTTGGTCTTCCGATTTCCCGTTTCGCTTCAGGACTCCAATTTGGCGCTTGCTTCGTGATGCATTTTGATGGTTTCCGTGATGTAAGTCCTATCCACCTTCGGAGTCTTTTCATAATTACCTTTTCAGCTCGAAGCTGATTTGTTTCTTCCCGCAGTAGGCTGTTGCTGGTGGTATCCGGTCGACGGACATTCAGTATCTTATGTAGACAACTGTTCAGAAATACTTGTACCTTCTTGGTGATGGTTGTAGTAGTTCTCCAAGTTTCAGCTCCATATAGTAGAATCGTCTGGACATTTTTATTGAAGATTCTGGCTTTGGTATTGGTTGACTGTTGTTTTGAGTTGTATATGTTTTTTAACTGTAGGAATTCTGTCTTTGGTTTGCTAAACCTTGCGTTTACGTCTGCATCTGATTTTCCTTGTTCATCGTTAATACTGTCCAGGTACGTGAAAGTTTCCATCTGCTCCAGAGTTTATCCATAGAGTGTGATTGAGTTGGTGTTTTTAGTTTTGTATTTGAGGATCTTGCTTTTTCTCTTGTGTATGTTCAGGCCTATTGATATAGAGGCTGCTGCTACACTGTTTGTCTTGACCTGCATATGTTGATGTGTATATGATAGAAGGGCTAGGTCATCTTAGAAGTCCAAATCGTCCAGTTGCATCCAAGCTATCTATTGTACTCCGTGCTTTCCTCAGATGTGAAGGTGTTCATAATCCAATCAACCACTAGAAGAAAGAGAGAGGAGGAGAGTAAGCAGACTTGTCTGACTCCGGTCCTTAACTGGAATATGTCTGTCAGCTGTCCTCGATGTACGACATTGCAGTGTAGTCCGTCATGTGAATTCAGTATGATATTGACACCAGAATGTTCCATAATGTTTTCCTATCCACATTGTCAAATGCTTTCTCATAATCAAGGAAGTTGATATTTAGTGACGATTTCCATTCAACGGATTGTTCAACGATTATCTGTAGTGTCGCCATTAGTTCTTTGATCCCTTTCCTGTTGACCTCTATAGTAGTTCCTTCTTTGAGTAGATCTTGTGAGGCTTGTATCCGGTTGTTGAAAGTTATCTTGAATTGGTTGAGTTTGTCAGTATGTCGAAGGAAAGCTGTATTGAAAGTTCGTAATTATGTTTCTTCAGTTGTCCAGTGCTTCTTTAGCTTCGGTTTCATCTTGGCAACAATCAAGTGATGATCTGGAAATATATCGGCCCCTCCACTCGTTCTCACGTCTTCCATCGTCCTCCTGAATTCCTTAGTGGTGCAAATATTATCTATCTGGTTCTACGAGGTGTGATACGGTGAGAACCAGATAACTTCGTGTATGCGTTTGTAGGGGAATTCTGTGCCGCCTGTGACAAATTTGTTGAATGCACACAGATTTGCAAATCTCTCCTCATTTTCGTTTCTCTCTCCCAGTCCATGTCGTCCCATGATATCTTCATATCCGGTGTTGTCCATTCCGACCTTGGCGTTTAGGTCTCCCGTCAGGATGATAAACTCCTTTCTTGGGCATTTCGCTATGATCGATTGCAACTTTTCCTGGAACTGATCTTTATCGTCGTCTTTGCTATCATTGGGGGTGAATAACATTGGATAACATTCATTGTGACCTCCTCCTTCTTTGTTTTGAAAAATGTTTTGATGATCCTTAGTCCATGAGATTCCCATCTGATAAGTGCTTTACGTGCCTTTTTGAATAGCATCAGAGCAACTCCCTGAGTTTGTGGAACATTTTCTTCTTCATGTCCAGAGTACAGAAGCATCTCTCCCGAACTAAACCTTTCCTGTCCAGCTTGAATCCAGTGGGTTCTACTTATTCCCAGCACCACCAAGTTGTATCTTCTCATTTCCGTTGCTATTTGTTTTGTCCTCCCGGTCTCCCACATTGCCTGAATATCTTATGTACCTATAAAAACTGTTGTTCTGGTTGGTAGAAGGTGCATCGGCCTCGAGACTTCCGAAGAACCTCTGCTTTCATTATGAGGTATCATAATTCTTCCTTCAACTCTTAGGGCAGAGTTTAAATGGTTTAATTTGTTTATTCTGGTTAATGCTTTTCTAGAAAGGTTGTCTTCTACGGGACGGGGTTACTGACCTCATGTCTAAGCCTGCTCGTTTACCCGGGTCTGGGACGGGCAGTAGCCCTAATAGGGCTACAGGAGGAGTTACATTAACTCTAAACTAAAACTGCTAAATTTGAATATACTCATTAAAGCAATGAATCAAGGATTCATCATTCTTATAAATTTTACTAGTAAAACTAATGTCCGATGACATTTGGGCATAGTTTAACGAAAATGCCATATCTTCAATAAATGCTCTTGAAATTAATGGATTGCTCACTTCTAATGGTCTATAATTCCATTCTCAGCTTTGTTGACGCCCTTATTTATCAATTGAAATTTCTTTTTCTTTCTAATGTTCCTTATCTCCGTTTGTTGAATTTACTCCAAGGCCTAAGATTGTCGGAATGCCAAATATTCGTTTTGAAGATAACAATCAACGTGCTTTTCTTGAGGTCCGTGTCGACTCTGGGAATCCTCCAGAAGCAAAATGGTCACATTCAGGGAAAAGTATCAAAGTGGAAGGACGCTATAGCTCAGAATGTACAATGGAAGGTAGAAATTACGTGATGAATCTCACAATTAATGATGTAGGTTTCTGTATAGTGTTAAAAATCTGGATATTTGAATTTTAATATAATTCCAGTCTGCTTTAAATCTGTTTCTGTATTGCATACTTACTGGAAATAATCTTTAAAAAAGCCGACCTACTTAAGTTCTTTGATTATCTCTGATTGTTATCATATTACCACAAGAACTTAAATAATGACATTTGATTGGTTATAAAATTACAGTGTCGGTCATTTATGTTCATTTAGCAGATCGTCTCTGAAATATTTCAGTGGAACATGAGACATCAGTTTAAAAGGCGTCGTATAAGGATGATAAACTAGGTGATAAATATACTCAAGTAGCTGTTATTTCCATCTTTTGTTAAATATTTAATATTTAACAAACTTCCTTTTTGTTTACAACAAAAGACAAATTTAGATCTTTGATGGTGTACACCTTATTTTAAGTAATTTAAGCTTTCTATAAAAAGAATTGTCTAAATTTGTCAACATTATAAATTGCAGATTATGTAGCTAAGGTTTTAGACTCACTAATGTTGTTCATTTTACTAATATACCTGGGTTAACTGTTTAATGGAACATTTATTTGTTTGGTAGAAGTCAGTGATATTCAATCTTTATCATCTGTCGAATCGGTGGCAAAGAAGCATTATTGACTTCAAATTATTATAAAGGATACAAAACTGTTTATTTGTGGTGTCATATTTTCAGTCACATGACGCATGTATTATAACTATGTAACAATTTTCAGAGTAGTATTTTGTGAGTTATGAAATCCAGTTGAGACCTGTTGATGTTGCTCAGTTTAATATATGTAAAAGTTTTAGAAAAAAATTGAATTCTGGCAATTTAGCTTTTACGTAGCAAACTTTACTAGTTTGTACTTTGTGTTGTTCAGTCCTTTACTTTCAACTAAGTCTATGTAAAATCTTAACAATTGGAATCCAAGTAGGTCATGAATGAAAATACAAAATTATGAAATAGAAGCTAGATTTTAAAGGAAAGTAAATTTGTATTATGATTTGTGTTAAAGTTAAGGACACTCATTGTGTTCAATCTGGGACATATCAGCTGAATTAACACTCGTCCCAGTGTTGATGCTTATAATGAGACTGGAATTCATATCACTTCAAATTATAATATATTCTTTAATTATCAAATATGTAACCACAGCCACTAATTCATTCAACGTCAGAATTCAAACTTTTAATTATACTTTTGTAGTGAAACATGAAATGTTCAATAATAGTGATGAAAAGACTAACAAATACGTTAAAAAAAATATGACATGTTTAACGACGTTAAACTCATACAATTTAACGTAAATTATTATTGTTTCCTACCTTTTTATACCAGCTAACCGAAAAAGACTCTGGACTATATGAATGTGAAATTTTCAACGGTGTTGGTAAAGTACAACAGTCAATTACAGTTAAAGTACCACGTATGTCAAACACAAAATTAATGTTTTTAAAAATACTAATTTGTAGAATTGATTCTAGTCGGTTTTATGGTAAAACTATGTACAAGAAGGGAATAAATCAATTTGAGAGTTATGAAAACATATACTGTTCAAAACTTCTCAGGAATGTGAATTTATTATACTTAATTGAGATCATGAACCGATTGATGTTAGACCACCATTGCAAACCTGGAAGCACTGGACGGCCGTTTCGTCCTGTTGTGGGACTCCTCAGCAGTGCGTATCCACGATCCCGCTCGCGAGATTCGAACCCAGAGCCTTCGGTCTCGCGTGCGAGCGCTTAACCAACTGGACCACTGAGCCAGCATCCAATGGTGTTCATGATCTCAATCAAAAACTTAGCAATCTCCACAACCCCTAAACTGATTATTATACTTACCCTAATTTTCAATACTTAATACAAATACACCTGGGAGGAACTATGCGAAACTACCAGGTGGATGTCTATATATTCAGGATTAGAAATTATATATAAAAAATAATAAAATTATTCAATAAAAACGGAGATTTTGGAAAGTGGAAATAGAAACATTCAACTAAATCTAAAAATTTAAGTATAGTAATCTAAATATAAACTAGAAAGAAAATCTCCAAGTGGAATGAATGAAGATCTAGATATATTACAATTTATTATAATTTATTCAACCAAAGTAAAACATTAACGTATCATTAATAAGTGGCTGAAATATTTGTTTTTCTACAAACCATTTTGTTTCCCAAATGTGCAAAAATACTACAAAGAGAGATTAGATGGATTACATAATAAGTCAACATCAACAGAACCATGTGAATATTTCTGAAATTCATCAAACTCGTTGATACTGGTTAAAGTGTAAAATAAACAGTAAATTTTACGTTTAGCTTGAATTCCTATTCGTACAAAGAATATGATACGCGTTATCCCCGATGTCATTATTTGGTCAACCTGAAAATCTTGAGTAGATGTGCTTCTGAAAAAAATATTCTATCAACTATATAAAGAAATATCAACAGTTGTAACGCGTTCTATTGGAACTTGTACACCAAATCTTAGGGAAATTTTCGACATACAATATATATGTGCTGTATTTTTGTTTTGTATACAGTGCTTTATAATATACAATCTGGTAGTATCATGTTAGCCGAATCTTTCGTGTATTGAGAGTGTTCATTGATTGTTGTTTTAAAGTTTCAAATTTTGATTCTTGATTATCCATCTTTTAATATGTTGCTCATCAAAGTTAGAAATGCATGTAAATGGTTTTGTCAGGAACAATCATGATTTAATTTTGAAGATCTTCTGAACAAGTATACCAATCATCACGGTTAATATTTGGAGCTTTCATCTTGACCACTTCCAGCAGTTTTAATCTGCTATTCATTTTCAATGAATGCGTGATTTGTAGTACTTTTTAAATTATATTTTACGTTTACAGGTGTTTAATGAAATATAAATCTTTCTTTTCAGCCAAAGATCCTAAAGTCAAACTTCCACAAATCGTAGGATACTTGAGCAGCCAGACTGCTGAATTAGGTGGGTCATACCACATCCTTATGTTTTTTTTACAGTTTAAACGTTACTGATATTTAATAAATTGTATATAGTATTTCGTCTATAGATGTATCAGTTATGGTAACTCACAGATAACATGCAGTGATAATGCACATTCGAAGAAACTAGTTTAATATTGAAACATAGAGGTAAATATTTACAACTCAGAATGCAGATTACCAGAAAAGAAATTTCTTTTTGAGTATTGTGTAGAATTAAATATTGCTTGTTGCCAACCATTTGCAAATGAACTTTCACAACATATCAGCCATCAAGTCACGAACAACTAGCCTAGATTTCTGGTCCTTCCGAATATCGACAGATATCAGACAATAGCCAGTTTTTAAATGTTGGGTTTAAATCCATTGAATCTTAAGTATTATAGATAGTTTTTAAAGTTGGATAACATAATTATCTAACATCTTATAATCTTAAGTAATAATTCGAGTGAAGCTAAATGGATATGTATCTAACTTACGGCAGTTTTTGTTGTATTTTTGTTAGAGGAAAGGAAAGAAAAGTGTGAGAGACTTAACATAAGATTAACAAAGAGAACATACTTACGACCAACTCAATATGTACACACAATGTTTTTACATTTCGGCATGAAATCCGATAGGAAATAATCGATAACCTTTAATTTATCATTTAAACTACTACCCAAATAGTTGTTTTTTTATTCGTAAATTACAGGACGAACATTTATAATGACGGTAGATTATGCAGTTGGTTCAGTTACTCCACAAGCTAAGGTACTGAAAAATGGAAATGATCTATCACTTGACAAACGATGTACTGTTCGAGTTGATTCTACTAAACATTCAGTTATAATCACAATAAAAAATGTACAAATGGATGATAAAAGTACATATACTCTTCAATTGTTAGCAAATGGTAATGTTTGTGATAAAGGAAATTTTGATTTATCAGTTATTCAAGTGTAAGTACAAATTATTTTATAAAATATTTGATCAACTTTGATTGATTAATATAACATATCAATTTGATATTGATATGAATATTGTTAAAACTAAACAATTAAGTAGATTTTATTTTAGAAAGTTTTATTCTTAAAGTAACCTAAATATTGAATTGTCCGAAAAGATTACACAAATATCATATTTCCAAGAACTGTATGATGATTTCATGTACTTTAGAAATCTTGTAAATTATATTAGTGTTCATTTACTGTATACTCTGTACACCTTAAGTAGATATTTTTCAGCCGTGCATGACCTAAAATATTTGAATTAAATTGTATACTCTAAAAGTTTATTAACTAGTATTCATATGGTTATTTATTTTATTTATTTATTTATTTTAACACATAGACATTGGTACAAGGAGGCACCAAATACATATGCGCCACACAAATCTCATTCGATATGTGTGAGGGCTGTGATACTGCCTGGGTGCCCAAGCCGACGCAGGTGGTTTGCTTAGGGAGCCACTCCCCGAGCCTTCGACCTGAAGGTCTGATCCACAAGGCAGTGGAGCGTTGTAAGGAGATGCATTCTCATGGAAGCCGGTGACCAACAATTGCTTCACATGCCATTTGTTCCCTCAGGATCCTGGAGCCCATGTTCACCATCGATTTGGTTTGGAATCCTGTTAAAGCGCCGGACATTCGCTTTTCGTCCTCTCATTTCCGTAAACAACACCCCTGCCATGAGAAGGTAGTGAGTAGGACTTCCCTGGCAGAGGCTATATACGCGTGGCTATGTGAGAGGATTTCGAGAGGGAGAGCGGACTCTCCTCACTCTTGGCCGTACCAGGGCATTTGGACGCTTCATCTGGTAATATTAAAATGCATAATCACATCTGTTAAAATTGACTACTTTAGTGAGTATACCTAAAATCTCAGCTGTGGATTATAATTACTGTAGAGAGTGATATACTATTCAAAATAATCCTCAGCACAAAGTATATGTGACCTTCAATTAAAATTATCGTTAGCTAGCTATTCATCCCTTCCAATCAGTTATCGATTCTGATGCTAGTTAGGAGTGAGAACACTGGTAGTACCAATTTTCTTAGTTGAACGCGAAGTGTATGCTCCAGTCCATTAGAAGATATCCTTAGGATAACTTATAAATTTTAAGTTTATTATCCATGCCATATAAGTAGAAACTAAGAATATTTATTGACTGAAACATTTAAGTATGCAAAAATAACCATATGTTGTTTGTTGTACTTATTTTAATACAGCCAATGGCCTGTGGTTCGCATCTAGTCATTCTGTTTAACTAACACTGATTTTAATAAAGTCATGAACTCATAAGCTTATTTGACGTATTCAGTTATAAACTCATGTTTCACAATATTTTCTATTCATTTTACTTATAAGGAATGATGAAGCAAATGAAGAGGTTGATGAAGTTGGTGAATTACACGTACCTTCAAACAAAGGAAGTCGACGCTCATCAACTGTTAAAAAGGAGGAGGAATATGTAAGTAAATTAACTTTGAAAGGTTTCAGATTGATGTCTAGATTTCATTAAAAGTTTAGTTAGGTGTTTCAATTACATTTTCATGAAATATTTGATCAAGCAGAGATGGGAAGTTTTAAAAAGAAGCACTTGTTATTAATTAACCATGATTGATTTTATGTTCAGATTCAGCCCCCTTCGCTCTGTATACATAATGATAACTGTTATAACTTATGGCCTTGTGCCCTATTAATATATGACTTAATGATACAGTTTTTTCTCTTAAAAAATTATCAGCTTTTACTCTACAGTTAAAAACTCCAGAATGTGAACACTTACATATAATGTACCATTTATTTGTTGTAGTATTACAATAAAATGGCTATTTATAAATGAGCTGGTCATCAGTTGTCCTCTTTGTTCAAAAGATATCTATACAATCAATCCACTAATAACTTAGGCATTTTTAAAAAGCGTCCACGTGTCCTGAGCTAAGCTAATTTGCATAGGGTTGTAGGTTTGTGCAATTGAAGGTAAAAAAAACTGTAACAAAATTGTTGTTTAGTATGTCCTGACTTTCTGTAATCTCGAAGTAGTGTCCTATTTTGCGACTCCTCGACAGTGCGCATCCACGGTCCCGCCTAGCGAGATTCGAACCCAGGACCTATCAGTCTCGCACGCGAACGCTTAACCTCTAGACCACTGAGCTGGCATCTCATAAATAAAATTTAGTTGTCTAAGACGGAATAAATGGACAAATTAAATAAGTCAGTTGAACAATAAGTTATGGGCACCCTAAAGATATGGAGATAATCGGTAGGTGCAATCTGTAGTTACTTTCTCGATCGAAAGCTTAGACAAACAAGGCATTTTGCATATACACCCCATTAATCTATTTAAACTTTTAAGACATTACAACATTATGAATAAATGTTTATATTTTCATATAAAGTCTTTTATTTCATATCAAGCAGCCATATCTAATGGCTGAAACAACAATTAAGTTCTATTAATTCAGGAGTCTACCAACTTATTTGACTCATCAGAGGTGCCTTACTTTTGCAAGTACTGTGATTTTAACTGTACCCATCATTTTAGCATAATATTAGTAAATTTCTCAGTCTATTCGGTCTTATAGATGTTTGAAAAGAATAGTCAATCTGATTAAGTGTACACTTTATAGCAACCAATAAATACTACATCATAAATTTTACTGATTATGTAATAAACTGATAAACTTTTCTAATCAATAAAGTAAATTAAGCCAACATTTGTTCCAATACACATTCATATATAGAAAAGAAAAGAATTTATCATTTAATTTTTAATAAAAGCTTTTATATGTAAAGAAAAAGTCAGTATTCTACAAGTAGAACAACAGGAAGAATATCCTCCCCAAAAAGTAGAGAAACTGACCTGTGAACATTAAATAAACTACATTTTGGACTTTTTCTTTTAAAACTAATCAAATTATTTATGTTTTTTCAGTTTATTATTAGATTTGCTATAAATTTAGTGCTCTTTTATTTCGTTCTGTAATAAATAGATTAAATTCACTTGATATTGTTTACTTGAATCTTCCCATTGATGTTTAGCACTGCAATTGGTTAGTCTGTTATTGGCACATATGCATACTGTACGTATTGCTTCGATATTGCCTTAATTCACAAGTGTTTTAAGCAAAGATGGATTGTGAATAGCAGTGGAAACGAGGATGCATGTTTCATCTTATTTAGGACTCGTTAGCTGGATGCACCTGCATTTTAGAGTGAATATCAGTACTCAGCAGTTAGGTGGATAACGTGTTGGCGTTAGAAGCGAACGGTACTGGGTTCGAGTCCCACAGTGGCATCAATTGTGAGATGCAAGTACATCCAGTTGACGAGTCCCAAACAGGACGGGACGCGGGTCCTGGATTCCATTGATAGCCACTATTCACCTTTAAATAAGTTAAACTTTACACAACCTAAACAGTAGTTTTATTTATTTATTTTAATAATTTCAGGTTTTTGTTTTAGAGGAAACTAAACCGATTAATATGATTGTGTACAGTCTTTTCTCTTTTTAAAATATAGCTAAACAGTAATCTCTTAGATGAATAAAATAAGGTTATTTTCAGATCCAGTTTAAATTTGACCACATTCATATCTACCATATACATTTCGAAGGTTCAATTTGTTTTTTAGTTTTCAGTGAATCTCCAGGCATAATAACCACAGTATACCCTTAACTCAGTCAGGTAAATAGGTGAATATAATATTTAAAAATGTAATGAGATAATTACGCAATTATAATACAAACGTTTAAGACGGAAATTTTATGTGCAGTTTAAAAGACAAGATATCACATCAAAGTATGAAAATAGAATATAGGCAGGTAGAAATAGTGCAGTTATCGTTTACTTTAGTGTTTTTTTCTGTATAGCTAATACAAATAATAAGGCATAAGATAATCTAGGTACCAGTGGTGAATAGTTGAATGTGCATATCTTCCTAATTGCTGTTACTGACGACTCTAAATTCGAATGATTACATTTGTGTTGCTAAATAAATCAGTTTACTTCCTCAGTGGATCACTGCTCATAAATATGCTTTGGAGCCTATATATCCGACACGTGTCTGTCTATATAAAAGAATTCTGACATCTGAAAATGTTTACTTTGTCCTGAATAATTAACGTGTAATCAAAAACTAAACAGCTTTGAATTATCTGAAATGAAAACTGTCTCATCATTGTACTATTTACCAATAAGACTTTGTAGTAAAAACCAGGCGTCTTTGAGAGTAAAAACATTTGAAAGGATGCCTTGTATAAGTAAGACTATTAAAGTTATGTTTAGTGAATCAGCACACCATCATGACTGATTGACTTGATGAATTTTTTGATATTTCGATAATAGTATTTCTAGCACTTTCCTGTTAAACCTTTGGAAAACGAGAAACGTTTTAAAATGACCATTGTGTTCTTTATCCATCCAACAGCTTAATCGTCGCTCTTCACAGGAAAAGCCAGGTCTTCTAGATCCTAAGGCTTTGGAACAATCACTTCAGGCTAGACGTGATTCAATGACTAATCGGAGAACGTCACTGGCTGATGCAATCCCTGGATTTGCTGGATTAAAGCATCGGGAGACACCGAAAGTTGTGAGTGGAGCATCATTTATATCTGTCATAATTTTAATATACGTCTTATTCTAAATAAATTGATCAAAATATCAATTTATCTATTTAATTAACAAAAGTGTTTTGAGCCATTTAATTTTTGTCTGACAATTTAAGGCTGGTAGTCATCTAAGACTAAGCTAGTCGAAGGAAGTCGAAAGGAAACTCCTTGCCACAGAACTACAAGTCATGTTTAGAATCTGATCGAGGGTATGATTCCTTTAGGATTCAAACGCATTTAACCTAATTCTATAATCAGATAAGTTACTAGTAATCTATTCAGGCCACAATTTAGTGGCTTCTTAATGTAATAAAATATCTTTAATTACCAGTCGAATTGATGATAGTAATTGCTTATAGATCATTATTTAGTTTGCACTATTCATTCATTAAAATTAAAAGAAGCATAACTGATGAATAAACTTAAACAGGTAACCTTTAAAATAATAAACGTGTGGTCAACCGGTTGAACTAAAGTATTAAGAAAAGTTAAAGAATTTCGGTTTTGATATTTCTGTTTCAAGAACATCTAACGTATGATTAAAAAAATGAAATACACAATCTTCAGAGTACTATATAGTCATTTGTTACAAAATAGCACAAACCTAAGCACGTAGTATCTGGAATCGCATACAACCACCCAAAGTATCTAAATATGGAATTTGAATACTTCTTCATATCATTTGTAACTCTAGTAAATAACTATCATTCAGTAATATCATTGCCCATTCAATTCGACAGGAAATCATTGCAGTATGTCCCTGACTGACAAGAATGGTAATCTACATAAAACCAACTAATGTTCGTTGTGCAATTTTAAAAGATGGTTAACATTTCCCCCAATATTTACAGACTTTTATGATTTATTTACTATTCTAATTCTTGTTAACAGGAAAAAGAATATTTTGTTGAAGAGTTACAAGATGTAAAAATTAAAGAAGGTAGTTTAAAAGCGTTGCTCAAGTGTACCTTCTGCAAGTCAACATCTAAATTTCGTTGGTATAAAAACAAGTTGGAAATATTTCAAGGGCCAAAATATAATTTTTTGCAGTAAGTCTGTACTATAGTTTATATTACTTTATGAGGCATAAATTAAACAATTATCCATTAGTCTGGTGATATTGACAACAAAAGTGAGTACATTTTATCGCGTTTTTTGTTTTTCACTGGGATCTACCTAAAGCAGAATTTCAAAAAGTTTGTTCTGATAAACTTCAGATGTTCAAAAGAAAAGATTTGGCTATTACTGCGCGTTCGTCAGATGCATGTATTTGTCTATTCATTGATCTTTATTACAATTGTGTGGATAAAATAGTATTGGGATTTCATGATACTAATAATTTCAGTACACAAAAAATCTGATGGAACTAGTACTGTAGCGAAAAAACACATGTGGGGAAAACCAATTAATTGTTTAATGCACAATCACACAGTGGTTTAGTAAAATGTGAAAATTATACACCAAATACATCATTTGAACATCCTTGAATTGTCTCTTACAAGCTTCATTGTTCCTTCATTCTTGTTGTTATTTTGGTTGCTTTCAGTTTCCTCCTATTGTCTCTTCATTTCAATCTTCTCAACATTCTGCACGCAGATATTCCATATCTGACTAGTGTTATATACTACTTATATCCATAAACATAAGTACATACACTACAGTACCAACCTTGTTCTAATATGTCTTGTTTTAAAATTTGAATCTACTATAAAGCTCACTAAACACAACCATCCCGATAATTATTCTTAATCCATTATTGGTTGTGTCTTAAAGAATCAGATATTCTTACAGTCATTAGTTCGTCGTTCAAACCAACAGGTTGGTGCAGTATCTACTGCATTAATCTTAGTGCATTATTATGATAATTTCTGTAAAGATAACACTCTAAAATAAATGACACATCACTTCGATCTCTATCAGAAGACCTATCAATAAGTAAACATCCACAGTGTTTTCATATCGTACACATTAAACATCTTTTTCTCATCATAATATACTGGTATAGATCACATTACAGACTTCCTTTAATTTATCTATGCGGCAAAACTGGACATCCTACTTATCCGTATCTAAGATATATTTATTGCAAATTAAGTTTAAGAACCAAGTGAATCGTTATTCAATGATTAATCAGTATACTGTTCTTCAATCTATATAAACTTTGATTTACAGCACTGAGAAATTAACAGAAATAAATCACAAATAATTCTAGTTCCTTTTCAACCCAAGTTTATTCCCCCCTTTTTTCACAAAAAATTAATACAACAAATCATGTAATATCAATGCAGTATACTTACATGGGAAACAACCAAATGTCAGTTATATATTTAGCAAAACTGAAAAATGATATGTGAAAAGTAAAAAGTCAGATGATTTTTTTAAAAATTTCGTTTCCTTTCAAAACAATACCATAAGCATGAATTAAAAAAGAACTAATGCATAAGGAATTTCGCTTTAATGACATAAAATATGAATGCTTGGTGCCAAGGTCTGTTTTATCAATACTGTTGTATATGTTTAGATGGTTTATTTCCTCGAACATGTGGTTACTCTAAGATCATTCTTTATATTGATTGATATACTACTGACTGGAAATGACTTAAATTTAAGCTTCGAAAAGCTTTTGGATTTTCTTCAAGTTAGCTTAATTTGTGACATATATATATACTTTTTCAGCCTAGTTTATATCAAAAGTAATCTAAATCCACTGATGTAAGTGAACATATGTCGTCTTTGATAAGTAGTAAGTATTCACTTAAATGAAGATGTCGATCATTCTGTTCAGTGTAAATTTACCTATAACTGACAGATTTTTCATTATTAATATAGATATTTTCTAAGGCTTCTGAGGCATACTAAAATCTCGGGGTCTCAATACTTTTAGGGTAAACTTGAAGTTTGCATACGAGATAACTTTTGAACTTACTCAATAACCCCTGATATTTTGACTAACAAATTTATTTGTGAAAGAAATGTCGAGTTTAAAATGTCTTTTTGTTGCAAGTAATGGAACTTAGTAATATTCAAATCTTGATCATTTTGAATAATTTTTATTTACACTGGTTTATGCAACAATTTTTCTGACATGCAGCTTACAAATAAACGAAGAACCAACCTGAACCACGACATACACTGTATTTGAGGTTTATGTTATACTGAATGCATAATACAAAATCTTAGATAGTCCTTAAGATATCTCAAGAGAGGCAAACGTTTTTAGGATTTTTTCACTATTTCTGTATCAATAACACACTAAAATATCTCTTAACTCTACCTATCAAAAGTTTAGTCTCAAAGGATGGTACGTCGTAAAATATTAATGTGGATTTCAAACAATCCAACAACTACTCAATATATTAGAAACGGATTTTATCTGTTGGCTATTTAAAGTTTGATTAAAATAATGAACCGATCAATGTTAGACCACCATTGAAAACCTGGGTGCATTAGATGACCGTTTCGCCCTAGTGTGGGGTCCCTCAGCAATGAGCATCCAGGATCCCTCATGCGAAATTCCAACCCAGGACCTTTAATCTCGCGCAAGTGCTTAATCTATAGACCACTGAGCCGGTATCTAATGCTGTTAATTTCTAACAGTGATCGGTTCATTTTCATGAAATTCAATAATCTCCATAACTCCAAACTGAAAATATTTGAATTTTGTCTTATTATTTGTAAACAGTTTTTAATTAATACACTTCATAAAATGAGATTAATAAAAAGTAATAGATGTGCAGGAAAAAACAATTTCCTATGCAATACCCGTTTGAAACTGATATATGTTTGCAATGACGCTACTAGAAGTTAGACGTAAGTCATCTAACTTTGAACGGGGATTTTGGTTGAAACCTTTTATATAGACATCTCTTACTTATTGTCAGTTCAATTATTTAGATGAGAACAATATTTGACTGAATATGATATAAAATCCGATATGTCTTATTAAACATCTCAAGCGTCCCTTTCGAATTTATTCATTCAATTTTGTAGTAGCTTGCAATTCCGACACTCTTGATGATCAGAATGAACATGGTTACTTACATATTTTGAAACTTTATAAAACTGATTTGATTCAACTGAATTATTGATATGTCTGAAATTAACACCTTTTATTTGTTCAGTAAAGTATAAAACGTATTGTTTATATGCATTAACTTTCAATTTAATTAAATATATAATGATTTTCTACTTTTAGAGAAGGTAATGAATTCGCTTTAGAAATCAAAAAGATTGCTATGGAAGATGTAGGCAAATATACTTGTAAATGTAATGATATTTCAACAACTTGTACAATACAAGTTGAAGAAAAAAAGCATACATATCATTTCAATCAAAAATTGCCTAAAACAGCTGAAGTTGTTCGAGGTAAAGATTTAACAGTTGAATGTTCTGTGTCCGATCCAAGAGCAACTGTTGCATGGTATCATAAAGGTGAAAAAGTTGAAGTAAGAATTTATAATTAATATATTTTTACAGACAGATGTGTAAAATTTTTTCTATTTTGGTATTATTACTATTATTATTATTATTATTATTATTATTATTATTATTATTATATTCAACAAATAAGGGTCTGTATGAACCAAGATATATCAACATTTCAGTAAAGTCAGATTTCTCTGTAATTTTTCTTTCTATTATAATACTTTACTCTTGTGTTAGATTTATTTCAATAACTTTTGAATGATATTATCAAAATACTATTTGTCTATACCGAACAAGATATTAGTTTACTTATATTCCTATATATTTTTGAATAATCAAATAATTTAATAGTTGGATTCATGAGTCAGTTGAAGCTTTATCACCATGGAAAACCTGGAAGCATTGGACGGTCGTTACGTCCTAATATGGGACTCCACATCAGTACACATCCACGACCACCCTCCCTCACGAGATTCAAACCCAGGATTTATCGGCCTCGCACGTGAACGCTTAACCTCAAGACCATCGAGCAGATATCCAACGTTGTTAATGTCTAACTGCAACCAATCCACTCATGAATTCAACTATTAAATTACTATAATATCCACAAAACCCCTCTCTGATTATAATCAAATAATAATCAATAATTTTGATGTGTTATTTATATTTCATTGCTTGGACCAGAATTTTGAGTGGAATGTTGGGTTTACTTCAATTTTATTCGCTGAGATTTTACAAATATATTCTTTCTCCTTAATGTCTTATGTTACCTCGGTGCTCAAATACTGTGAAACTATTTGTTCAAATTTAGACGAAAGTTCTTATATAAACTTTCTTTACTATTTGCACTTACATGAAATAATAAAGATTTCGAATATTATCAAACAAATTTTTGTAAGCAATGATGGATAGTGGCTAGCAGTAGGATCCAGGTCGCGCGTTTCGTCCTATTTGGGACTCGTCAACTGGATGTATCTGCATTTCAGAGTTGATGTTCACTTTGGAACTCGGACCCAGTACCATTCGCTTCAAACGCCATCGTGTTATCCACTCAGCTACTGAGTCCTGATAGCCACTTGCTTGTGCAATGGGGTGAATTTAAATTCACTTGGTATTGTTTGGCTTGTATATTCCCATTGAGGTTTAAGACTGCAATTGTTTCCGTTAAACTAAATAATTTAGTTTAAACTAGGGTATTTTTGAATTTAGTACAAAAATTTATCACCACATCATAAGTTAATATATTTCCTAATAATAACAGCGATGATGTCTATCATTTACTTTAAGTAAATTTGGTGAGACTATAATTTATAGACAAACCAATCATATCTAAGATAACAGGTCTTGGATTTTGGCGCAAAATTCATTCATCCATTTGGATAAATAGATTTTTGGCGTTATAGCTGATGTCAGTTCGTGATGAAAACCCTAGATCTAATTCTTAACCTTAATCATCAACTGTAAATCATAATTCTAATTCCATACACAGGTTTATAACCCTCATTTGGTCCTAGTTATTAGGTGGACACTCTCATGGTTAGTCTAGATTCGTTCAAAGGTTGTCCATAAATTGTAGTCTCACCGTAAGCTTTTATTACAATATTTTGACTGTTTTGTGACAGAAATGTAAATAAATAAATCATATGTTTGATTGTTAAATTCTACAATTTATCTGTTTACTTAATGGATATTTCTATTCTAATACAAATAAATGATATATTGTCAATCTAAGAAAAAATATCAAACCTTTAAGGGTCCATCCTTGATATTAAGCCTTGAAATTGTTTTAAATTGTTTTCATGATATAAGATGATTATTTCAGCTTATTGTAGATCAATTATCTTCAGTAGTTACTTTCAATATATTAGACTGAAAATATAGTCCCAAAATTTTGTTTAAACGAAGTTTATTATCTTCAATTAAAATCATGAAGAACTATAAGAAATATCTTTAATAAAAATGAATACAAATGTTTAATTTAATTTTATGTATTCTAGTATGTGGCTGGTAAAATTGAAATTAAACGTCGTGAAAATCGTTGTATTCTTCGTATTGTACGAGCCAGACCTGAACAAGAAGGTGAATACTGTTGTATTGTAGAAGGGGATGAAACATATATGGATATTGCAGTTGAAGATCCTGACTGGTCTTTTACGCGAGAACTTAAACCTCAACAAGCTTTAGAAAATGATGAAGTGGTAACATTTGAATGTGAAGTGTCCGATCGAGATGCTGAAGTTACTTGGTATAAAAATGGAGAGGTAAGTGTAACAGGTATTTTTTTCAATTGATTAAAGTGATGAGTAATTAGAAAATCGAGATTTGTACTAAAAAGAAAACTGGAAACACTGAAAACTATCAATTTATGAGAGCTAAAATGCAAACAGACAAACCATGACAACACTTCAAATAACTTTTCACATATTTCAATAATAAATTTCTAAAACAATATTTATTAATAACTGACATCAACTAGCAAAACACTGAAACACATTCAAAATAAAGTTCCATAACTGTCTAGCCTTCCTTTGATCAATCACTGTATTCATATCTTATCTCATCGATCCATTGGTTAACTTTAGATCCGGTTAAAAAGAAAACATTAATGAGTAGAAAAAAAACTATTTAATTTAGTAATAGTTCGTTGTTAGTTTGGTGTAGAATTCACTGTTTGTATTCTTTGGTAGGAAACTTATGCTAGATGAAATTTAACTGAATGTATGAGTACAAGTGTGTATTGATCTATATCCTATAGATGCCGTACATTTTATACAACGGGTATCCTACGTAAATCACTTGAGAATGAATTGTATAAAACATCCATATGAAAAATTTCGCAACAGAAATTAATTTTACTTTCAAAGTCCATACTTATTTTTTGTATGCATCTGATATTTATGAATATTTTTGTTAATCTCTAATGTAAGAACACCTCGTGAAGTGTAAAATGAAATTAGCCTCGTACACTACATTATCATTGAAATAGCATTAGTTAGTACAAGCTACTTATTTTACTATTCTAAATAACTATAAACACCAAAACAAGTTTGTTCATTTTCAAAGAAATCAATCTTACTCTAGGAATGCTTTAAAAATGCTCAGGTCATTTTCATATCGTTTAACGTAATTAAGATGGGATAAACAACACTGTGCTATCAGTAAAACAAAAAGTGACTGTATACAGAAGATTATTTGCATCGGATGTAAAACCTATTTGTGAATATTTCAATGCAGCACTCGGTGTTAATTTTAAACAACATAAAAACAATATATGACTTCATATCGCCTTTATCGAACAAATACATTCTTTAAATGGGATGAAACATATCCAATAAACTGGTGCTGTGGTGAACGAAAACTCATGTACAGTAAACCAGTTAATTGTTTTATGCATAACCAAACAGTATCTTTGTAAAATATGAAAATCATACATTAAATACATCATTTACATATCTCCCTTAAGTTGTTTTTCGCATACTTCGCCATTCTTCTAACCCTGTTGTTATTCTGATTGCTATTCAATTTCCTTCCTTTTCTCTTTATTTCCCTCTTCTGCTAGTAAACATTCTATTCTCAATTCCTGTTACATAATTTTATGTCTGTCTAAATAAGTAGTGCACACCGCATTGCTACGACAATTTGTTCAAGGAAAATATTTATTTGAAGTTGTCTACAGTAAAGTCAGTAAGATGATCACTACACATGAATCATCTGTGAAATATATCACACTCTTATTTAATAATATATTATAAAGTATTAATCGTTTAAAGATCCTCGTCATATTAAAAGACTAGTATTTGAACAAAGAATATTCTTTTCAATAAATTCTCTTCAGATTCTACAATTATATATCCAAATTAATAATCTGAAAAATGGCTAGGTTAAGGCAAAATACACCGTTTAAAGCATGTGAATTTAGGATTGTGATAAACATAATACAATAAAATTGTTAATGTTGACCCATATTTATTCTGATCGTGGATCTTAAAATTTCACTTAACAAATACGCACATTCAAGTTAACATTCTATATGAGTCATATCAACACTAACAATTTTATTGCATTTTGTTTATCACAATCCTAAATTCACATGCTTTAAACGATGTACTTTGTTCTTAACCTGACCATTTTTCGGATTATTAATTTGGATATATAACTGTAGAACCTGAAGAGGATTTATCGAAAAGAATATTCTTCGTTCAAATAGCAGTCCTTTAAAACGTATTAGTTGTTTAGAACTGGGATATTCATTTTTTTAAAAATCAATAATCAGCATATGAAATTATTGATTGTATCGGCCTTTCTGAATGTAACTAACCATAATAAAGCAAACTTGATAAAACTTTAAGCTTTATATACCAACTCCTTACTGTGGAATTTAGTTAAACATGCTTATGAATATATCAGTTTAATAACACTGTAAATGTCTAGATGTTGTACCTTTGAAGTATACAGTACAATTGTTTTGAATATCTTGTTTTAATAATAATAATAATAATTAACAACAGCTGAAAAGTAGAATCAGAATATTACATTTGCTTAATCACATTAATTACAGTCATAATAACTAATCTATACATTTTGTATTCATCTATGGTTACTTATTCTACTATAATAAAACATGTTCAAAGTGAAATGTATTTTTTGTTCTGTATTCTTGTATTTTTCTCATTTTATTTAAGTGAAATTATGATTTTATTCTGTGTAAAGATAAAATAGGCATCATTGTTTTTAATTCATACATTCGTTTCATTCACTTACCTACCTAACCTACCCTACCCTATCTATCCATTCAATGTGTTTCTAACAACTGTTTCCATCCTACCACGCATAAACAATGAAAGAATAGTTTACGGAAAAAAAACTGGTGAATTAATTGACGGTATACCGATAGGTTATTAAAAGAAATTAAGTAAACGAAAAATGGAAAATCTAAATTTAAATGAATTATGAAAGAGAATAAAGAAGTATATTGAAGTTGTTGATGACCTTTACATTATTTTTATTATTACCATTAGTAGTAAGAAACATTAATAACATGATTTACAATGAATTAAATCATTATATTAAATTCTATTGTAAATAAGTAAGACAATAAACCGCTTACATGTACAGAGGATCTTATTTTTGTGTGTATATAAAATGTGAAAATGAAGTACTTTGATATATCTTGCGGTAAACGCATTGCTGTAACTGTGACGGCAGATTAAAGGACAGTGAGTTATCGATCGGACCACAGACGCGCAAACACGTAAGAACGGCCTAGGGTTCTGATTGGTCCCGCTTCCCTGTCTAGCCCAGCCAGTTGAGTCCAGAACTCAAGTCTAAGCCTCGGAGATATGAATCGTTATATTTCAAACATACTCTGTTTATATACCAATCAAGCAGACCACAGCGTACCATAAAATAGAAAATAACATTGTACAATATTGACCAGCGGGAAAATGACACGTGAAATAAATATTGACCAATAAGAAAATGATACCATCTCAAGTCTAAAGGATAGCGTTAGACTTCACCAAATAAATTTTGGGTTATTTTTCTGAATATCCCAACAAGCATGCACCCTAATTCCAGCGTTTATGTGGAGTAAACATTTGTGTATTTTCTTGGAAATACCGAATGATGAATAAAAATTTTACTAATAAGTTGAAATTTCAAGATGGATTGAATGAGTATTTAAATTATATGAGTATTCTTTATTTAAATAGTGGACAGTACAGAGATTTGTCTACGTATTTAAAAGTCTTGGGTGCTTTGAAGGTAGATATTTGGTGATAACGAAACAGCTATATATTGCTCTCTGATTTCTAATGACATCAATGAAGAATTCAATCTGTTATGAAGATAAATATTTGTAAATTAGTTAACCATAGTATAGACATATATTTACCGTTGACTTGCTTCGATAAGAATTTCCACTTTTCTAATAAAATCATTCTATTGGATGCCAGGCTCAGTGGTCTAGAGGTTAAGCTTTCGCGCACGAGAGTGATAGGTTCTGGGTTCAAATCTCATGAGCCGGAATCGTGGATACTCACTGCTAAGGATTCCCATAATAGGACGAAACGGCCGTCCAATGCTTCCAGGTTTTCCATGATGAACTCGCTTCAATTGACTCATGAATTCAACTATAACAAAACATTTCAAAATTGCCTGTATTGTCAGGCAAGTTAATATTTCTACATTTCACATAGATTTATTCAATCAAGATGAACTAGAAACCTTTCTATTTGTTTCCAAATTGTCATTAGTACAATGCTACATCTTGATAAAAGTTAAATACTGGTAAAAATAACATTGACAAGCAGCTAAACACTTTAAATCGGAAACTATATAGTTTAAAGAACTTAAAATTGATACAAAGTTATTTTCTATACTCTAAAGTGGAGGGATAAAATTCAATCAAAATTTGTTAACTACTAGTAACGAATGCAGAAGTGTGTTCAATGCATATTCAAACGATAAATAATCGTAACTCCGCATACTTAGTAAATTGTTTAAAATTTTGTTTTGGATACATAATCTTAAGATTTCTAGGTTTTATAATTACATTATCAGAAAACTTAAAACATTAACGAACACTGATATAATTACAAGAAAGTTTACGGTTCTAACTTGAAATACAAAAGACATTGTAGTGAATGAGAACACCAGTGGGGACAACCAAATGTAGGTGAATACAAAATTACAGAATCACTTACTAAAATCGGAGGATCGTACAGTAAATAATTCATTTACAAAATGTTAATCAACTGTCTAAGACTTGATTGTCCCTTCATTTTTACAACAATCATTCTCCGTTCTAATTCTCTTCGCTTTGATCTTCTTAACTTTCTGCCTCTAAGCATTTCACTTTTGATTGACGATACATACAACTTACATCTGTCGAAATCAGTAGCACACAACCATAGTATTACTTCAAATGTTTAAGTTATACTTTATGTAAACTCTATTGATTTCTTAATTTCAAGTATTATTTCTTGTACTAATTAAACATTTAAAAAGATGCTTACTGCTGATATTACCATTCGGTGGTATACTAATTCATGTAAACTGATATGAAAATACAAGGAAATTGAAGTTAAGGAATCTGTTAATTCTAGTAATTTTAGTCTCCAGTGTCTAAGGACTTTTAAATTCTCAGCAATATTAAACGAGAACTGTAAATGAAATTTCGTATCTGTTTAGTGCACAACTTACTTTATTACAGTGCCGTTTGCAAAAATGAATTTTCATGCTGTGGAAATGTTTCCCTTGTGCTTATTTGCCTAAATACTGTAGATAAAAATAATTGTCATTGTTGAAAATGAATGCCGAATATATTTGTTAAAGAAAATATGTGATATTACTTGATATGTTAACTGAAAAAAGTTGAGTATTTTGATTTCTTGAGTTTTCTGAGTCATATGGTTTAATCAGGAAGCTTTCAGTGTCATTTGTACACAATTAGTTATCCCATGGATTGTAAATTATCATGGACTAACGAACCTGTTTGTGACTGGCTGTCGTTGAAGTCATCATTTTCTTCATTTGACTTTGTATTCAGGTTCATTATCCTATTTTATTGATCTTTCACAGGGTTGCTAATCGACTTTTGTCAAATGAATTGATAAGTCGGATATAATTCGATACGTATATTCATTGCAAGCTAGTGTGCGTCCTATGCCTCCGGAAATTCTGTGTCATCCTTTGAATTCCCTCAATATTGAACTTTGATGTTTTCCTAGTCAACGTTATGTTAGTAACTGTCTACAAGTGCTGATACCAGTATGACACAACATTCTGTTTATGCTCATGTTTGTGAAAGTTAAGAAGGCGTCCACTTTACTCAACATATTACTTATCGTAGATAATACAAATTATTTCGTAGATTACGTTACATTGCTTACTTTCACTGTTGTATTGTTTTCTTCTGCATAAAATGGAATGAATTGTGTTGGTTTATGAAAGGCACTGGTTCCAGGAAACTTTAAGATCCTCTTGGTGATTTCCGATATGTTTTTTTATATTTCGTCTGTCTATCGACTCCCTAGTTATTGAATTAAACCTTTTTTCTTTCAAAACATATTACCATCACCATTGTTTTGTAGCAATCTACTTTGTACACTTTATCTTTCACTTTCTATTTCATTTCCAAACTAATAATTTCATCTGCTACTTTGTATCATATTAAAATTATTTACTTATTTTTATTACTCACTATTTAATCAAGCCTATTACAGCCAACGATAAATATGAAATGCTAGCTGAAAAGAAAGTGAAACGTATTTTAAAAGTGAAGAAAATTACCATGACTGATGATGCAGAATACACTTGTAAAGTTGCCAAGAAGACAACTACTGCTACTTGCACAGTAAAACGTATGTTTATGATTTTTTTTAAAGGGTTAAATTTATGTCTTATTGTTGTTATTAATGTTATAGTTGCTTAGTATTCTTGAAGTAATTCGTTCGTAAACAAGAATTTATTGCTTAATGTATCGTTTTATGTTCGTTTTTTTCTGTGTAAAAATGAATCATCATATAAAATATTTATTCACCGGTAATGCCAAGATAATTTGAACTATTAGAATGCACTAATTAATTTAGGAAGATGGGGAAGATAACCTCAACATCTGAGGGGAAGCACGAAATGTAATGAACTGGTTGGATGCAGCTAGACGATTTGGACTTCACAAATGAGCTAGCTCCTCTATCCAAGACACACGTACAAATGTAGATGAAGACAACTAGTGTAGCAGCAGCCTCTGTAGAAGTAGGCCTCGGTTTACACAAAGGAAAAAGTAAGATCTCCATATGCAGCACGGAGAACATCAACCCAATCACACTTGATGGAGAAGCTCTGGGTGAGATGGGATCTTTCACATACCTGGGAAGCGTCATCGATGAACAAGGAGGATCAGATGCAGACGTAAAGGTGAGGCTTGGCCAAGCAAGGGCCTCATTCCTGCGGTTGAAGAGCATATGCAAATCAAAACAACTGTCGATCAATATCAAAGTGGGAATTTTCAATAAAAATGTTAGGACAGTTCTACTGTACGGAGCTGAAGCTTGGAGAACTACTACGACCATCATCAAAACTGTACGGGTATTTATAAATAGCTGTCTACGCAAGATACTCAACATCCATTAGCCAGATACCATCAGCAACAGCCCTCTGTGGGAGAGAACAAACCAGCTTCCAGATGAAGAGGAAATTAGGAAAAGACAATGGAATTGGATAGGACATACACTACGCAAACCGTCAAAATTCATCACGAAGCAAGCGCTTACTTGGAATCTTTCAGAGAAGCAGAAAAGTGGAAGGCCGAAGAACACACTACAATGGGGAATGGAAGCAGGTAGGAAAAGGATGAATAACAACTGGAAAGAAGTGGAAAGGATTGCCCAGGACAAGGTTGGATAGAGAGTGCTGGTGGATGGCCTATGCTCCTCCACGAGGAGTAACAGGCGTAATTAAGTAAGTAAAATATAAAGTGTAATATTCAAATACCTGAAGAATAATATGAAACTAGTTTAGTATCATCTTGATATACCTTTGTAAATGACTTATCTGACTAGGTCATATCATATTCCTGTTAATTTGATTTTATGAAATAAACTATTCTCGAATAAAATAAGACTAATCGAGTTAACTGATATGATGGGAAAAAAATATCAAAATCCGATCGATTTACCCATTATGATTTTTATTCAACATTATTTCCGTTTTAATTCAATGTGATGATTACTCAGTGTAGTATTCCGTTTTGTTTTCCCATATGACATTTTATTCTGTATAACATACGATATTCTTGTATTCAGTTGACATGACCTATGCTCAGTAAGTGATTTGTTATAACTGAGTATGTGATTGAATCCTAATTATTAATCAAAATGGGTGTACAATCAATATATAAATGAGTGTATTTTTGACTACAGTTGTCATCGTCGTGTTTCGGGGTTACTAGCCGAGCTTAAAAGCGCGTTCAAAAACAAGACATATCATTAACATAATTAATTATAGATAATTCTTAATGAATTTTTCTATTGAATGTTGACTGTTTCCATTATCATGTTAAAAAACTTATCTTTAAAGTGTACTATTCGTCGTTCATTCTACTGGTCAGAATAAAATTCTATTCACATGTAAACATATCATATATAATATCAGTGATATTATGGAATGAAAGTATAATTTATGAATGAATTTTCTAAATGATTATACTCTATTCGTTGACTTCAACAGATGATTAAAAAAGAACGTTTCAGTTAAATTCCAGTAGTAATTCGTTGTGTTTTTTTTTATAAACCAAGATCATGTATCATAAGCAGAGATGAATGGTGGTTAACAGTGAAATCCAAGATGCACATATGCCAATAAAAGATTGATCAACTGCAGTTCTAAACAACAATCGACAGATTCAAACAACCAACACAAAATGAGGATCACTTATCTTAAAAATACAGGTCGAGTATAACAGTTTATAGTTGAGTAACTAACTGACTAGGACCCAAATACATTCCAAACTCACTTTGATTTGTGCTTCAAAAATAAATTAATGGTTAACTACTAACATTAAGTGGGTTAATATGAAAAAAAGTGATTTATTATTCAAACAATTTGACTGCTAAATACACATTATTTTTTTCATATCAATTTTAGCTGATGTTGAATTCAGACAAAATCTTATCGATACAAAAGGTATTGAAACAAAACATAAAGAATTAGAATGTCGTGCATTTAATCCTAAAAAATATCCAGTTTATTGGTTTAAAGATGGTTTACCTATAGAACTAAATGATCGTATTTCAACAACAGAAATTGAAGGTTCTTTATACTTAATATTTCAATATTTGGAAATGGATGATACAGGATATTATAGTTGTAAAATTGGTAATCATGAAACTAAAGGACTTTTAGAGGTAAGAATGAGTGTATAGTTTTCTTTACTGATAAGAAAAAAACATTAATAGTTTCATTTGAAATGCTCTATATCAAAGACATTTTTGAATAATTAAAATAACCCATAGTGTCATTAAATAAGAAATTGCATCATAGATTGATTATGATGCAATCGTTTCTATCCTCCTATAGACCTATATTTTCCATATAACTATATGTACGAATGTACAGCTTAAGTAAATGATTTCATCAAAAAGGACATTATTTTAATGTTTAACTACAAAACTTTCAGATTTATTGAGATCTGAGCTATTCTTAAGCTACGGAAACGTTCGTTTTTGCATTTTAGTCAAGCTAAAATGTTACGTAATGTGAAATGACTTTACTGTTTATTTAGCTTCACATAATCATTGTTTAGTGTTACAACAATATAACTGAATTAATAAAAAGGGCTCTCGAATAATTGGTATTCGCACTTAACAGTGCTTCCAGGTTTTCCATGGTGGTCTAGCTTCAACTGGCTCATGATCTTAACCACTGAAGGTTTCATACTATGTAATGATAAACGAAAAATGTTTACAATTAAAATTTGCATAATAAACATAAATGAAATCGGTTTATATTCGTTTATGTTTTATTTGTTTAAAAAATTAGTTTTATGTTTCAATTTATCCTATATGCACTCTCTGTATAAGTAAAATTTGTAATGTACCACTAGAGGATCTATAATTATTTGTTATCTCAATTAATCCGAACTTTTCATAAGAGAACAGAATTATAAGATTTGAATAGCCTACATGTTGCATAGTTATTGAGAAACGGTTAGAATTTATTTAAAATGGAATTAGGAATTATTTATCATGATACAGTTGATAAGCTTAGAAAACGTGATTTAGCCTAACACTAAATATGTATCCATTAACTGATATGTTAACAGATAACTTCTATGAAATGAATGTTTTGTACAATTGAATGTAGCTCTGAAACACAGATCCAATTCTATGAAATAATTTTAAATTAGTATTTCATTCAATTTACTGACATAAAACTAATAACATAGTTTCAATCTCTGTTCTTTCGTTCATTTATAATTAAGAAGAGCTACTTTGCTATGCTTTTGGTGTACGCTTCAAGCAAACTATTCAAATGACAGCCAAGTTTCTGTCTTTCACTTCGGTTCCAGTCATTAGAATTTCTCTTAGACATTTACAACTTTTCGTACACTAAACTGTACTACTACTGATTATCAATCAAAAGATATAATATTTTTGATCTGTCAATCAAACTTTTCATTGCCATTTTTTGGTTCCTTTAAATACAGCAATAATTGCCTATAATTGACAGACGTTTTACATATATCCAAATAAATTTAAATTATTATGAAATATATTGTGATTTATTTTTTTTAAATTTTGTAAGGTACAAGAATGTGAAAAACCTCCATCAGTTGATCTTACAAATTTCAAGGCTCAAGCCACCCTAAAGAAAGGGGCTAACTTCATGACAGCAGTTCCATTTAAGGGTAAGTTTCACTTCTTAAAATATAACCTTTGTAACTGGATGCAATATTATGACGTGTCAATACAATTCGTATACTGATCATTACTGAACAGCTCCCTACCAACTAATTTCAGTAATGAAATTTTTGTATAAAAATTACTTCGAGGAATTTTAGAAATAATTATTAATCAGTTCTATACTCATTCAATATTTCATTTGTCTTCATTTTGCAAACGAAAATGCTTAAAAATAATCAAAGTAGAAAAACGATTTTGGTTGCCTTTGAGTCAAATTAAACATTCTCTTCTTTATAAGTATCTTCAAAAATATAGAATAAGTGAAGTACAGTCAATTCAGTTAAAACACATAACAGTACATGATAAACCATATTTTTCACCTCATCGGTTTAAATGTATTACGACAAAAGTGTAACTCACTTGGTCTGTTCCTTGAATACGAAAAACCAATATGAATGTGAATGGGATTTCACGCTTCTTGTGAAGTTCGCGATTCACATTAAACCTATAGATTGTTTACAATGAGATGACAGAAGATTTTAATTATTACAAAACAAAGTATGTATCATTACATTACCACATTGGCAAGCAAATGATTTTCTTAAAAATCCCTTACTTCCTAAATAACCTAGTAGCAATCATTCATCTTTATTCTACATAATCCCATCAATCGTTAAATAATGTTATGCACTGAAGAGGCAAATACAAACACTTTTTAATTTGAGTTTCGTGGAAATTAGTTTAACTTAACAACTGACTTTTGTACAGATTGATCTCAGCATCAAAACTAGTGAGAGGCAGTGTGGGTTCTCAGCAGTCGTTTCATCCTAGTAAAGAACATCCCAACATTGCACATTAATAGTCACTGATCAGATTTAGTACGTTCACCTTAATTACTCATTTTGAAAATCTTCAGAAAACAGTACTATTTTGTAACCTAATCATTTTGTACTATTAAATATTAAGGAAAGATTAACTTTTTCTAGATTTGTTTCAGCTTATCCTATGAACAACAGTAATCATTTATTAGTGTATGTTGTTATCTTAATGTGTTAGGATGATATGAATCGAACAATTGTAATATGTATACAATAACAAAAAGTGGTTGCACACACCATACTTTTGTCAACTTAATGTATATATGGTCTAAGCAAGTTATAAAACAATTAAAAAGTTCTAATATGCTTAATTTTTGTTACCTTTTTTACAACAATTGAAAACTTAGAAATTGTCTCCCTTTTATCATTTTTTTTAGAAGCTACTTAGTAAAAATGGACTAAATTTAGGTCATCATTTTCAAGTTCCTTAACACAGTAATTGGTATTTTACTGCCTTTTATGGTGTGGTTGTTGTTGTTGTTTGCTGTTTTTGTTCGTTGTTGTTCCTTTTTTTTGTTTTTTTTCTTGAAGTGTATTCATAAAACTGAATATAAGAAACTATTCAATCGCTTACTATTAAAATAAAATATTATATGATATACATACACAGAAATATAAGTGTGTTATTCATATGGTGTGTATCATGTATATACATAATTGTGTTTGTACACCTTTTCTTTTCTTTTGTACCAACCATGATTTCAAAATTTTAGATTTTCAATTCATTATTTAGATTATATATTTACTTAGAAAATATGTTCCAAATGTCCCAAAATTCATGATGTTTCTTTTAAAATACTACTATTTGTTTATTTACTTTTTCTTTAGATGAAATAATAATATACACTTAATATAACTGAATAGAACAATAGTTCATTCAATAGAATTGTATGTAATTGTTCTAGGGAAAAACTAAAACAGTTGGCTTAATTAAATATTGAATAGTTGCAGTTAGGATGGATAACTGTCTTTTAAATTTTACTGTATATTCATTTAATTTATTAATTTACTTACGCCTGTTATTCCCAATGGATCATAGGCCACCTACCAGTATTCTTCAACCGACTCTATCTTGGGCCTTCCTTTGTAGTCCTATCCAGTTGTTGTTTATTCTTCTCGTGTCTGTCTCGATTTCTCGGCATAATATGTTATTTCATCTTTCTCCCCTCATTTGACCTTGAGGATCCCAAGTGAGAGCTTGACTTATGAGGCTTTTGTCAATGTGTGTCCTATCCACTTCCAGCGCTTCTTCCTAATTTCTTCCTCCGCTGGGATCTGTTTTATTCTCTCCTACAATAGGTTGTTGCTGATAGTGTCTGGTCAACGAATCCGAAGTATTTTGCGTAAACAACTGTTAATAAACACCTGTATCTTCTGGATGATGGCTTTCGTAGTTCTCCAGGTTTCCGCCCCATACAGTGGAACTGTCTTGACATTTGTATTGAAAGTCCTGATCTTGGTGTTGGTTGATAGTTGTTTTGAGTTCCAGATGTTTTACATTTGTAAATATGCTGCTCTTGCTTTTCCGATATGCGCCTTCACATCTACATCAGATGCACCGTGTTCATTAATGATGCTGCCCAGATATGTAAGGGTTTTTACATCTTCCAGAGCTTCTCCGTCAAGTGTGATTTGATTGGTGCATGTTATGTTGTATCGGAGAATCTTGCTATTCCATTTTGTGTATGTTTAGACCTGCTGCTGCTGAGGCTGCTGCTACACTGGTCGTTTTCTCCTGCATTTGTTGTTGCGTGTGCGATAGAAGAGCTAGATCATCTTCATTTAATCTGTTTGATAACTTAAATGTATTGTTACAAGTTGTCTACTTTGGATCTTGAGTCCAGTTCACGAAATATAAGTGATTATCAGTTAGATATAAAGACGCATTAATTTACATGATAACTGTATATGATAAAGGCCGAATAACATGACGATGGACACCAGTTAGTGATCAGTTATTGAAGATATTCCAGGTTTGTAAAAAGAGTACTTTTGGATTGAATATTCAAGTGATGATATTTCGAAATGTGATACTGAATGATGTGATAGTCCGAACTGTTACAAAATGATAACAATAATATCTTCCATTTTATCTACTCTAAAACCATACCAGCTGAATTATGGAACTTGATTATTTAATGATGCAGTCACTCTAAAGTAAGACATTCAACTTTTAAAGTTTTTCAGACTCAAACTTTTATAAAAATCCATTTTTAGGGTGTCTGATGAGTTTAAATACTCTATGACACTGATTAAATGACTTTAACAAACAGTTTTAAAGCGGTCCAATACAACAATTTAAGTCAAATTTTATAAACAAAGGATAATTATTCTCTATTACTACTGTTAAATCAACGTTTTTCAAAACTAACTATGCTATTTGTATACAAATATAAAGTGAAAAAGATTTTGATTTGTCATTGACCGTAAATTAAAAAGTTTTGAAGTCAGGGTTCAAATTGAATTTGTACATTTTTTTATAGAAAATGGTACGTTTTGTTTTGTGCGCATAAACAGTATTTCTATTTACAGAGTACAAACTATTTCTAATTTAACAACTATTCATTCTCCTTCTTTTTTAAATTCAGGTTTCCCTGTACCACAAGTTGTTCTTATGTGTAATGGAGAACCTGTGAATGAAGAAATTAAGTTGAAACCTGTTGTTAAGGGAAATATTGTCGAATTACAGTTAGAGGATGCTGCTAGAGCTGACAGTGGAAAATATGAATTGAAATTGAAAAATGAACTTGGTGAAGCTTCAGTACCACTTGAACTTAATGTCCTTGGTATGCATTAAAATTTTATTTTACTATTTTATTTATTTAATTAATTTATTTGCTGCCTGCTATTCCCATACGATATAATTCCAAAATCGATTTTAGTATAAATCGATATAGACCAGACAACCATTGGTTTATAACTCGTCAGAAGTTGACAAAGAACAACCATGTATTGATTATTTAATGAGTATTATTTTCTGAAAAAAATCACCCTTTACTGGTTACAGGTAGGTTGAATTGCGGACTTGAGGACGTTCGGAAGAGGTTGATATCATTAAGTGATATAAACAAAGATGCACTTAATACATTTTTTAAAAAGGAATAATCATTAGTTATTTGTGATTGAAAAGATTATGTCACAAAGACGTTAATACTAACTCCCTCTTCATAAAAGAAATACATAGTTCGTTTCCCAAAATTAATAGCTTAATAATATTTCATGGTTCATATCTCCGTCTGATCTAAGACAACCACTGAAAACCATGGAATATTGGATAGCTGTTTTGTCCTACTATGGTAATCTACATCAGAGAGCCCCCATAATCTAAAGAAGACCTAACGGAGGACTACCAGCTGTCGATGCGAGCGTTTAACATTTGGATTACTGAGATAGCAGTTACTGGATTATACACCTAACTTTAAAAATATGACATTTCATCTCCATTGGCAAAATATGTCTCACTCCCAACAAAGTTGGACTCTGCTTATCGTGGTTTCATAATAGAACCCCCGAAATCACCTCCTATAGTTAGTTACAAGTGGTCGTATGATTCGTACTACTATTGGAGTTTGTGGCCACCGCTGAATGTCGCATATTTTAACACGGATTGGTCTTAGACATTCAGTGAGAACATGGAAGCACATTTTAATATGTTTATCAAACTATATCTAATTTAATTCTATTTATCTTTTTTAAAGATCGCCCTGGCAAACCACGTGGTCCGTTATTGTTAACTAGCTTATCAGCTAAAAAATGTGTACTTGAGTGGGATCCACCTGAAGATGATGGCGGCTCACCAATCAAACATTATGTTGTTGAAAAGATGGATGTTTCTGATGGTAATTGGAAACTGGTTAAAAATGCTAAAGCACCTCAATGTGAAGTCGAATTGGAAGAAGGCCATAAATATAAATTTCGTGTACGTGCTGTTAATAACGAAGGTGAAAGTGAAAATTTAGAAGTCGATAAGGAGGTCCTAGCCCGTGATGTTTGTGATCCACCGGATGCACCGACTGGACTAGAGGTAAATATTATTATGTCAATTACTTTTACATAAATTTCACTTCTTGTAGAAAGTGTTTCAGTCTTATATAACGCTGAAGAACATAAGTAATTAAATGATTAATACACAAGATCATTAACCATGATTGATCTATCGAAATTCTAGTTTTGTTCATAATGCCTGGATATTTTTAAATGACCACAACCGAATGATTTCGTCTTAGACCAAACCCTGTGATTTATTCTATATGCATTCACTAAATTCTTGATTTAGATACCTATGAGATGATAAACAACTTAACAAGGTCATTTTGCGAACGATAATTACTATTCAACCCCTATTTTACTTAACATAATTATCAGTGTCTATTACATGAGGATAAATATTTAGATTCCATATTATTTAATTTGTTTCCTTCAGTGATAACACCGTAACAAGGGATTTTAAGATGATATACTGCTTGTCAAAAAGGTTTATTTGGTAAATTCAGCAAATAGCTATCTGATGACACGTGAAAATGTAATTATATGATACATCTTTCCAAACATCTTACATCTGGCTGAAAACTTTCCACTAGATCTATTTAGAATTTTTCTAGTGTAGCTTTCATTTTACGATCACATTTTAAAAAGGTTTTTTTGACGTGTTTTCTAAATTGTCTATACTTTACATTTCGAACAACAGATTGAAGATTATGATCGTGATCATGCGAAATTAAAGTGGCTTCCACCAAGACGTGACAATGGTGCACCTGTATTAAAATATATCCTTGAAGCTAAAGCAAAAAGTAAAAATAAGTGGGAAACGGTAAAAGAGGTTTCTGATCCAGCAGCTAAAGTTGATCTAAAAGAAGGTGAAGAATATGAATTCCGTGTAACTGCAGTCAATAAAGCCGGTAAATCAGAACCAAGTGAAGTTAGCAAACCACTTATAGCCAAACCACGTTTCTGTAAGTGATTCTTGTTAAAACTACTTATCCATATAAAAGTATATCATTTAAAAGTAATCACAAATCATTAATCATTAACACCTTTTAACATTCTAATTCGTCCTAATTTATTGTGTAATCCAGTCAGTTTAGGAATTTCAAAATATTTAAACTTATTCGTCAAACTTAGTGGTAGCTTTGACAATACATACAAATATGTTTACTTAGAAATAAAGTCACCAATCTATCATAGATTATATGACATTGTGCTTGTGGTTCTTGAATAGACTGTCCTCAACTATACAATTTAAGAAAACTCAAACGAATGGGTATTTTATACTTTATTTAAGCACATTTTTGCTACCAGTTGTCTAAGGAAATGTACCACAATATCCCATCAACGAGGTTATAATCTATCACATATAACATTATCCTTAATAGTGTTTTCATGATTGAAGTAGCCACCGATTAAAATAAAAACTTTTGTCTCCCGTTATGTCTGGAAAAATCTAGCATAACATTTCGAACCTTGATTTTGTAGTTTATGGAATCCGTTAGTTAAAATGATCTTCAACTCTAGATGAACCTGTAATTACTATGAGATTCCCTCGTGTGTTTGACAATATCCAATCAATCAATTAAATGCACTCCACTACTTCGGTCAAGAAAATTGGGCGAATTTAAAGATGAAGAAATATAATTAACCACTAAAATTTGATTGATATGTGTAATATATTCAACACTACAGTAGTAAAACTAGCCCAGTCAATTTGTATTATTTAGTTTACTACGATATTTCCCAGTAATAAAGCCATCGATCACAGTTTCGATGATAATGTGGCCTTTAGACTAATCAGTTGATTTTAGTGATATTTCCGTTATTATCACCTTTTGATATGCGATAACCTAAATTTCGCCAAAGTGAACGATCTATCACTATGTCAATTGATAGAAACTCTTGTAATGGTATCTAACTGATATCGATTTGAATTCAGTTCTATTGTAACTTCAATTCCAAACTAAATGCACTATTTCGATAAAACCATGAGTGTTATGTGGTCATGAAAATATCAGTTTGAACATCGCGGATTTTACTTTAATCCCTTTGTTCTATGTTCATTATCTAATAAAACTTTGAAAGCTTATTAATATATGGTCACTGTGTTCAATAAAATTAGTAGATCTTGATCAGAGGTCATAGAGCACTTAGTTGAAAGTAAGTCTTTTTTAAATAGACGGACAACCATCAGTAGTATATTATCTTAACTCTTTTTGCAGTCATTCATATTATTAGAAATTCTACTTTTAAATTCATATAAAAATTAATGTAAATGGTTTAGTGATTTTTATAAATTTTGGATGTCATTTTATTACAAAATGACGTCAGTTGAAGAACCGCCAAAACTACGGAGTACCAAACATCTGGTTCATCGAAACTTGAGACACTCCAACAGTTTCCAACTATTCAATAGGATGCCAGAACGTATTTGACCAACCATTCAATGAGCGAAGTAGATATTCATCGATGACATCAGATGAGGATATGTATACGCAGATTACAAATTGGTTGAAATCGGAAATATAAACTCATTGGTTCCGACCACCTGTGATTCCGCAGATACGAAAAAGAAGTCCCAATTCAGAACGAAAATTGTTATTTGATGCTAACTCATTTATCTGATTCTTTTGCCAAAGTTATTTTGTGATAGAAACAACTTTCAAATCAAAGTGTAGTTTTTATTTATTTTAACCTTAAATGTTCTGTAACAAGCAAGTAATTCTCTCTTTCTTTTACATTTTAGTGAAACCATTCATCATTAAAACTGGTTTAAAACCAATAAAAGTAAAAGTCGGTGAAGTTGTTCAATTAAAGCTTGATTTTCGCGGTGAACCAGATCCTGTAGCAGTCTGGTCAAAAGAATCAACTGTAAGTCAATCTTATTTATATTCATCAAATTACCTTTGTTTAATTTTGGTGTTAAGAAGTATATGCCTATAAACATCAATTTAAAAGTTTATTTTCAAAATTGTTTAACTAGGCATTTCTTTCATAAATTCAAGCATGAATAATTTTATTTTTTCTGAGTTGACAAGTCAAAAGTGGACCATTTTGAAAAGTTTAATATTATTACAGAAAAATATCGTCTTAGATTAACTACAGAAAACATTCTCTAGCATTAGAATTATTATCACATTTATCTGGTATTCCGAGTAATGCCAAAAGCTATTCTTTACAAATCCTACATTCAAGGAATACTCTCAGTCTTAGTATAATGAAGCTAAGATTCTTCTCAATACTGTTTTCACCTGCTTGAATTATTTTGACTTTATTGTACAAATATATACTTAGTAGGTTAAAGCTAATTTAACTTAAACAAAACTCTGATCTCCGGAAACACACTAGTTAATTTCCTTCATATAATTCCTTATTAGAAACGAAAGTTGATAAACTATATCACTGACCTACTTTTAAACACTTAAATATTATTATTATTCATGTTATTAGCTCTAAACATATGACATGATAAAAAGAAGGTTGAGTATTTCCTAGGGAATTTGTAGCATTTATCTCATTCATCCGTGCTATTAACAATCGAACTAAATTATCTTATCTGCAATCACAATATCACCAGTTTACAGACAATTGATGCTATGCAATCACTAACATTCCATATTGAATTATCATCCCTAATAACAGAATGCAAGTTAAGCTATCTTTAGAAAAATTACCGTATTAAACATCGGCGAACGTTTGAGGAGATATGTGCTGAATTTAAATCTCAGTTTTAGGAACAACAATGGAGTACACCCTCACTGAGCTAAACAGAACAGAATAAAAACCGCATGCCCAGATTCTATAGCTATTTACTGTTAACAAACATAGATAACGTAACTTCAGTCATTATAGAAACATCCGCTCAAGGAGCAAATATTTTTACAGAGGCTGATCAAGTTTAGTTTTGAAGATCAGTAACTGAGGTACACAAACCATCACTACAAGAGTAATACTCAAAGTTATCTATGTATTTGTGTACAGTAAGTTTTGAGTGTAATACGACTGAAACGTCACAGTGTTAAGCAGTTCTCCTAAATTATCGTGCATGTACTTATTTCACTAAGTTGAGTCGTAAGAAATAAGTTAAGAAAAAAGTGTTTTTGATGGAGTTTTCCTCTCTGAGCTAGATGGTTTGGTCGTGGAGCTTTCATCGTTCTTCTGAATGACATCATCAGCACAAACGTTACCATCATAAATGTGGTGTACTGTTATTTGTAAACTCAAAAGTAAATCAATGATCACTCAAACTGTTTCTTACTTTTATAGCCCCTTGAATCAACACCAGAAATTGAATTAACTTTTGAACCACGATCGGCGTCTCTTAAAATTTTATCAGCTCAGCGTAAGGATACTGCTTTGTATACTTTGAGAGTAAGTAATGAAGTTGGAGAGGATCAGGCAAGCATTGAAGTTGTTGCACTTGGTAAACCATCTCGTCCAGTTCCACCAATGGAAATTACAGAAGTTACCAAAAATTCTGCTCAGTTAAGCTGGAAAAAACCGGAGGATGATGGTGGTACACCGATCACGTAAGAAACAAAAATTTATAAAATTAATAACATTTCTCGAAATGAATACAATTAAAGCTATTTTTATAGATTGTATAATAGAGAATCAATTAATAGTAAAAGTAAACACTTTTTTTCTAACCACTGTCCCAATATTTTAATGCTAAATAAAGTAATTTACAGTCCTTTTTAATCTTCAGAATTAGTCATTTTGTGTGTATCACATTAACTATTGTTTCAGTTTAAGATTACAAGAAATCTATATGATATATGTGATTAATGTGAATTACTGAAATATCTTTGTTTAGAACGACTATTTGTTTCATTAAGATTTTAAGTGGTACATTAAATAGCATCACAGAATTATTTTATTATCACAATTAAGTATTTATCATAATTTCTCAATTGTTTTTACTGTTCATAATCAGTCGATCTGTAAAAATATAAAGAAACTAAATCGAATCAGAAAGGATCAGTGTTATAGACCATTTATTGTATTCAAACTTGTTACTGTGAACTCGGGAAAGCTTTAAGAAGCTCGAAAAGAGTTGAAGGTATTCCATCTAATCATCCTTAGGAATGATATCCCAGAATCCATACGTGTAGCTTCCCTATAGAACAAATGCTAAAACCCCCTGTATTCGAATTGGATGACTATAAAGATGATTTGGTTTTTACTTAAAAAAACTACAAATACCTGATAGTTTTTGTACCATATTTGACACTGTTTGAAATAGCATACGCTTCACTTGTTTTCTGTTTCCTCATTTGCAACTTGAAGGGTTCTAGCATTCGAATGCTCAAGTTACACGCGATAAATGAAACATCTAAGCTCTAGATATAACAGAAGGTCAATCAGAGAATTTCCTGCTGATATTATGAATTATAAAACAAAAAAATTAAACACATATATATATTGACAATATTTAGTCAGTTGTTTCATAGATTTCAAAACAAATATTGTTAAATTTACAGAAATATAAAACCATCGAATTGCTTCATTGTTTGATTGACTGATTGATTGATTGAAATAATAATAATAATTTTTGTACAAAATTAACAATAGTCGGTTATTCGTTTTTGTTTGTTTGTTTAGTGTACCCAGATTATCGGTAACGGTTACAATCACTTTTCGATAACTCTATATGATTTGGAAAAACAAAATTGCTAAGGGATTATTCGTTTTTTTTCTAAAAGATAAAAGAATCTAATTAATTTTTGCCTCATATTAATTGTCATGCTAAACCAATTGATTTATTGTGAATCTAATTAGAAATCTCATTGTTTATCTGTTACAGTATATTTTGGTAATTAATACATTTCGGAATGATGATTAAGTCGAAATTGTTTATCAATATTTCTATTGATGTGTGATATCAATAGTCATTAAAAATAATAGATACCTATCAAAAAGTCGTCAGATGTCAATATCTAGATTATTTCAAGTTATCTTATCCCCACGACAAATTTATACTGGGACTTGTGCACAAGTGTAACACAATTATCAATCTCATAACTCAGAAATATGTTGAGTGTTTTTATTGATTCCTTCATTTGGTTGGTAAAGAGATACCATCTGTTAGTGAAAAATAACATTTGAGAATGACTGGTAAACCAGTCGATGAGGTTGTAAATATTCATCAACTAAGATGGTTGGGACACGTATTATATATATGCCTGAACACCGTTTACCACGACGAGCAATGCTGACTAGTGTTGGAGACGTCTGGAACAAAGTTAGGGGTGGCCAAATCAAAACTTGGCATCAGTCATTGAAATCACGAACTTCTAATCTCAGGCATGTTGGTAGATGTAGACTACTTGGTTGGGGTCCGTGTGACTATCGTAACCAATGGTTGGAGACTGTGTAACATGGCTCAGAATCCATCACAATGGCGTATGTGTATAGTCTTTGTCTTCCTTTAAACCGTTAGATTAAAATTACTTAATACCTTTCTTTCTAACTCTTTCTTCCTGTAATGTATCCTTGGACACAATCTTTCTTTTATATATTACTACCAATGAAGTGACTATTTTTACGAATTTGGTGTTCATCTTCTTGTGCTAATGAGATATAGTAACTTGGACCTATGCATATATTTGCCTGGTCCTACGTTGTGACTGACTGACTGGAGTTTAAAATGCAGTTTCAAATATTGAGTTTAACATGTATTGATTTGTTTGGGAATTATAGTTGCAGTTCATTGAAGAGGTCTTAATTTGTTTGACAAGTACTTTATAAAAGCTTATATGTCGATTTCTGTTATAAAGGATGGTTTAACTATTATGGATAGTCAATAAAATATGTTCATTACAAAATATGATAAATTAGTTATACCTAATCGAGTTTTACGAAAGCCAGTAGATTAAAATTGATTCATTCATGAATAGTAATGTAATTAAACACCGTTGTTCCGTTGAATGAAAATGTAACTAAGCCAAATATTATGTATCTAATTTAAAAAAAACATATAGTATTTCTTAATTGATAAATATTTTTTCTGACGGAATAGATAATCTAAAGCCACTTGATACCACTTAATATATTAAAACAATGATATTGTATCTTGTTATTTACTGATTGACTTAAATAAACTTAAAATAGTAGGATTGTTTTTCACTATTGACCAGACATCGTTAAAAAACTGTAAGAAGTTTTGTAATCAACAACTGAATCGTTCTAAAAGTATTTTTTATGTAACTGTTGTTTCCGGTAGATTAGCAAAACTACCTAAAACTGATTACTACGTATTGAACACGTCTTTGGTTAAACTATTATACCTATGAGGATAGTAATTAACCTCTTACATGTATATATATATTTTTATTAACAAGGCACTATAAAGTTGAAAAAATGAACATGAATAAAGGCCGATGGGAACCTGTAGCTGAAGTAACTAAAGGATTAACAGCAACTGTGAATAAATTAGAAGAAGGTCAACCATATAAATTCCGTATAATTGCTGTTTCAAGTCAAGGAGAAAGTGAACCACTTGAATGTGATACTGAAATAACTGCTAAAAATCCATTTGGTATGTTCCAAACAAGAATATAATTATTTATTCCACTGATCGTTATTAGTTTAACGGAAGTATTTTAGAATATATTTTATAAAATGTCAAAACGTTTGTAAACTATCAGAAAAATATGTAATGTAAGATAGTTGTAATCAAAAGTGTATTTGACGAACAGTAGTCAGTGATCTTTGAAACATTTTTAATCATACAATAACCTGACTAATGAGGTAAGTGATAAATATCATAATCTAATCAATCTTCAATTAATATTCCCTGGATATTCTTTAAGCTCAGATAGTTGTGGCAAATTGACCAAATGATTTGAAGTTAGATAAGGAGAATAAGTGATACATTAGTCAATGGATTACCACAATCGATCTCGATTTATGCAGTTTGTTATACATAGAGATAGAGGCAATACAAACATTCATCATGTTTTAATTTGTGCAACACAGTTTAAATAAAATTGGGCTGGTTTTATTTCTTTTTGTCAGAAATCAAGTCCTATAAGTATTATCCTAATAGTGGTGTGTAGAAATCTAAGTAGATTTCAACATGATTGCTAAATCATTTCTCATCAACTCTATTATTACACTGGTAGATATAAAAGCAACGTGGAAGTTATATACAATCATCAGCGTTAAAATGATTAAGAGTAAGAATGATCTTCAGCTACTGGAATGAGTTTCTGCATTAAACGCACTTTAATTTTAAGATCGCAAAACGATCAAATTAAAATAAATACTGATGATCCTTAGAATATAATATTTCTTGTTTGTAATTTGATGTTGTAGAAAGACCTGGTCCACCAGAGAAACCAAAGATTGCTGACTATGATCGCACTCACATAGATATAAAATGGGAACCACCTGAAGATGATGGAGGTGCACCTATAAAAGGCTATCATGTTGAGCGCAGAGAGCCAAGGTCGCAACGGTGGATGCGTTTGACACGTGTTCCTCAACAGGAACTTACATATTCTGATTCCGGAGTTCGTGAAGGAAAAGAATACGAATATCGTGTGATAGCAGTGAATGAAGGTGGCTTAAGTGATCCAAGTCCTCCGACTGATTTACAATTTGCTAAGGCTAGTCGAGGTAAGTTTTATCCATTAAACTTTGACTCTCTATTATCCTGACAAAAATAATGTATCAAGCCAAATACAAAAGCCGGATCAAACACCACACAAACCGCAGAGCTTGTATTCAGAGACTATACATAACTCATTCTAGTTCATTCTTTGCATCAGAAGTTCCCCTGCATTGTGCTAAAGACTAGATTTTACACATACTGTGTCATTTTTAATTTACTTTTTGTAATATTGATTACTGATTTGTTTGTTCTAATTCATCGAAGTTTAACACATTAAACGACCCTACAAATTTATCCTTCCAAGTAGACTCAAGAATTCCTTATTAGTACTGGGAATATTTATCACTGTTAAATGAATTAGTTACTAAGATTTCCAAACCACTAAATATTCACAATGCAGTAGATTGTGATGAGTGCTCAATTCGAAGACTGGATTTCTTGAAATTGTAAAATAGATATTATCAACGTCAGTAAATGTTTGCTCAATAAAGCTGAATCACACTAAAATCTGGAGTATGATATTTGTTACTATCCATGAAGTAATTATCTATAATCTAATTCTTTCCATTAGTCATTTCTCTTACCGAAGTGATAAGAACACTATGAAAAATTTGTAGAACCATTAACATTGATCTTCCACTTGTAGTTGTAGTTAGACTAGCTGCTGTTTTCAATACTTAAACTAGAAATAATTTTTACACCAAACCATTTATAACACTTTTCGTTATTCTGCATAGTGCTGGAAATTTTTGTCTAGCTAATTAAATTCGAGAATCAACTGATTGAGATGTGGCCTCTTGAATTGTTTTTCTTCCAGAACCTCCTAAATTAAAACTAACTGAATTGCCTTTGGGAATAAAACAAGAGATCCGATTAAGAGCCGGTGAACCATTACATATGCCTATTCCAATAACTGGTGCCCCTACACCTACAATAACGTGGTCCAAAGACAATAAACCATTGCCAACTCGTTGTCAACTGCAAAATTCTGAAGAACATACTTGTTTAGATGTACCCAAATCAATACGTGATGATTCGGGTCTCTATAAAATTCATTTAGCTAATGAATATGGTCAAGATGAAGCAGTTGTTAAAGTTATTGTAATGGGTATGTTCACCAAATTTTTTTATTGACCGGCCATTTTGTACGTCATTTTAAAAAAGGGTAGCCAATATTTAAGCGAAGAATAGCAATAAGACATTAATATCTATATTTAACAATGCTTACTATAATTTCGTAAAAACAGATCTAGTGATAACTAATTATGAAAGAAAAACTGATTGATTTCTCTTCTTAGAATAACATTATCCTCAAGTTTGAATGAATAGTAAAATTTGTTATCAATTAGATAGTGCCATTTTTAGTCAGAAATAAAACGTTGATACTTTCAACAACAAAATTTATATTTCAGAGGCTTAAAATTTGTAATTAAAAGGTGTAAAATGTTCTGTTACAACTTCATTTTATTAGCTATTTCATTTCAATATCATAAGTGATAGACCTGTGGTAGGCGTCGAGTCGTCGTTCACCATGATCAACACTACAGGAAGACTACGTGCCAGTTATCAGGTTAGATCCCTCCGTAGACCAAATATCAGAAGGCAATTGAAGGTTGTAGTAAAATGTATTTGTTGACGCTTTAGTGGTATCGAAATAATACCGAGATCGTGCCAAAGTTTACAAGCGGAACTACTGAGTGTACGTGAGTTCGTGCAAGGTCACAGACAACGGAATAATGTGTGTTTTTAGTACACTTAAACAAACAGGTACTGTAAAACAATCACTGGCACAATTCGTTATAATAACAATTATTTCTATTATACCAATCGCATTCTCTTCATAAAAGTAGGTCACTACAGACTGTTATTTTTCATTTTAAATGAATCGGTTAATTAATGAATTTAAAAGTACTATCCATGTATTATTATGGTGTTATACGATAAGTCAGTGATAATCTCTTTGCATTAGATCTATTAATACAAGAGAAATAGTTTGATTGCGTAAATATGCAGTCAATCATCTGGATTGATATTTATGGTGTGATAGTGTGATAATTACTTATAAATTAGACTTATATTCTGAAGTTCCTGAAGAAAAGGTATTGGAAGACAGAACGGCTAATCAGCAAAAACAAATCATTTTAAGAGAGACCAGTACATGTTATAAAACTCACAACATGAATACCAGTAACATTCACTTTTTTTAAAGACATTTACCATGTTATAAAATTAAGACCTGACAATCAAGCGCAATGAGTTCCAGAAATATCACCATAGGAACGAAATACTACTAAGATTGTTATTAAATAATGAAAAATCTCTGTACATGAAAAATTTTTCCATCGTTTTTATGAATTTAAAAAACTTTGCTTCACAAATAATTGACGATTAATTAGACTGCGGAAAGCAACAAAATTTTAAAAAATCTTCTTAGGATAGAAAAGCTTAATAATGTTATGTATTCCCATTCAAATAAAGTTACTGACAGTCTTTTGTAAGGAAAAATGTAGCTGACAAGAATAAACTTCACTTGACCTTTAATGTTCAGTAAAAATACTTCTGTAATATCAGAATGTGTTTTGTGGAGATTTTTAGAAATTTTCACAGATTGAATCACATGAATCACTTATTGACTGTAATTTATGTATGTTTATTCTTTTACATAAATGGATTATTTTGAAACTAAAGAGGTCCTAGATGGATTGATGTAGCATTTAAGCATAGATAGAGGAGACTAAACAAATACAGATAGATGTAACAATTAAATCTTTATCATGCAATAGGTAGTATGATTTCTCTGTTTTTATCATTGGTTTATTGCTTGACATATGTATAGCTTGTCAATAATTTAAGTTGTACAAATTTAGGAGAATAAAATGGAATTATTAAATATGTAGTTTAAATGATCTACTGAACAATTTTTAGAACTATCACTGAACATATAAGTTTGAATTCAATTTGTCCAACAATAAATATTACATAGTATCTGTCAAAAAAACACCCACTAATACCCATTAGTGGTCATCATGTATTTCTAGATGTCATACTTTGAAATTAGTTTTACTTCAATAAATACGTAGATACTCTACTAAAATTAATTCAGACAGGCTAGAAAAATTTAGTTATCACTCAACTTGTTCAGTTATATTTCATGTCTTCAAGTTGTTATCGTATAGATCTACACACACCATGTTGCATCAAGAAATACTAGTGTGGGTAGACATTTGTTTCCAGAAAAGTGTTTACTTCTTTATGAATGTTTAAAAACTATAACATTCTTTACCAGACTAATATCTACCTTATTAATCTTTTACAGGCATGTAAGAGATAACAAGTTTAGTTTAAATATTTTTGTCAGTCGACTATTTCATTTCTCCCATCGGTATTGTTGCTTTTTTCCTTTTCATCATCCCTAGTTTCTAATTTAATTAGCATATAGGCATATTTTTTTTAATCATAAAGTTGCTTAGGAGCTCACCAAAACTGTTTGTGAATAAATAAGAGGACTGAGGAAAAAATTTCTCTTGATTAAAGGAACTATTTCTGAAACTTGAAATAAACACATTTTCTTAATTGATTCATCAGTTTATACGAAAGGGAATATTTATGAGCAAGCACAATTGTTTCACTGAAATTGTCCTTTACAAAAATTGTTGATCTTATATTGACAATCTTAGATTTCCTTCTTTGTTATCTTAACTAAATTTTGTTTTCCCTTATAAGTTTCAATTTTTATTGGAGTAAAATATGATGAAAGTTTGACTGATTTTAATACATTTCACTACCAGACTATATCACTTAAGTAACTAATAGGAATCAGAAAGAATTGGAACTTCTCAAACGTTAATCAATATATGGTTCTGTACACATCGTTGAGAAATTTCAAAATATGAGGAAATAACTGTTTAATGTTACCTGACTTTTAGATGTTCTTCAGTCGATATTATTAAATAATGAAAATGAGTCAAAACCTTACCAACTTATTAGTTTAAGAAATAAATATATTTTACATATTTGTATATAAGTAAACCATTGCAATTCTTTTTTTGTACATCGCAAGCATGATTACTGATTTAATTACTTTTTGTTTATTTATTCGAATATTTTTTTTAAAAACAATAATTCAGATAAACCTTCACCACCAATCAATGTAGAAGCAATCGATGTGTATGCTGAATCATGTAAACTTATTTGGAAACCACCAGTGGATGATGGAGGTACACCAATAACAGGTATGCATTTTTATAGTTAATTCATTTGCGAGACTCTAATTTATGGACGACCTTTGAACGAATCTTAAGTGACTTTGAGAAATATTAGCCAGTCAGTAAACAGTCAGTATAGAGTAAAAATATATTATACAAAACCAAGAAAATAAAGTGGATACACTTCTTATACATGGTTCAAAAACTCTTCAATGTTAGAATGATATTCACAGGTTCTAAAATTGTAATGCATGCAGTAGAGGAAATCATCCGTACGGCTACAGAATAGTCGGCCTCTGGAGCCATGATAAGGTCTCAAAATCTCTTTCAGCCTCGACCACATAGCTACAATATTGTTTGTGTGCACTCCAGTTGTTGAGTGCACAAAATGCTACTTGTGGATAACGACTTGATGCACATAACCAAGCCTATGTAGGAGTCTGTACGCTCTTCAATCATCCTTATATATTGTAGTACCTGGCTGAAGCCAGTGTTAATGGTGTTTTTATTATCCAGTTCGCAATAATTGTCGTAATTTGCCTCAGTTAGGAATTATATATAGGGTTTTCATCACGAACTGACATCAGCTATAATGCCAGAAATTTATTTAACCAAATGGATGAAAGACGTTCGCACCAAAATCCGAGATCTGTTATCTTATACCTTATTGGTTTGACCACAAATTATAGTTCCGTCGTTTTATTTGTTATGGCTGCTCAATAATCACGTTTTGTACAAAAATTCCCTGTGAACCGATCGTACGTTAGCATTAAGCACTGAAGTTGGTGCCTTAACCTTGAAATTTCTCAAACGCTTCTGACTGACTCGTCCATAAATTAGAGTCCCGCCAATCCATTAATATATATGAATTATTAATGTTTACATTTTCATAGCTGACTTTTGAAACAATTTTATTTCCCTATGATTAACCCATTAAAATACAATAAAAATATCAATATAAATGGGATGATTTTAATTGGGTTAAAAAATGTTCTGATTATGGAAAAAGAGGAATTAAATCATAAATTCATTTTATTGATTTTCTTGCACAAACAAATGAAATTCTTTACCTTATTGATTAATTTTTTTAAATGAAAAAAAATCTCCATTTATTATTCTAAGGGAAAATGAATTTCGGAATTCAGGCAAATGTGTTAATCATTAATTTATTGATTTTTAATACATTAATGGTGGTATATAATCTTCCATCTTACTTTTTTAGTGAATTCAACCAAATTCTTTACAATTCACTCATCCCTGTGAAGTGATTATTTTAATGTTTGTCGAGCCACATAGTCTTGATCAAATCCTATCGATCAGGTTATAAAAATGGCAACTAGCTTAATGAATTGACATCGCGAGCACTACGCTAGGATTTGAGGTGATTAGAAGTATTCGACGAGGAGTTTTAAACCTCGTTTTGAAGTTATTTAACACTTTTCAGCAAGGCTAATAAAAAAGGAATTCGCTGGGGATATCTCAGACTGTAAATGTGGTTGAGCTGAGTTTGAATCCGCCAAGAAGCATCAATTTCTTCAAGATTTGAGGCACGTCTTAGTGATGAGTGCTAAATACCACAAAATCTAGGTCCACGACTTTTTAGTCTATCTCCAACCATCTAAGTCGAAATTCTTTGCTTTTTAATGTTCATGTGAACATAACCATAAACGTCTGTAACCCAACTATTTACTGTAATGGCAACTATTTACCTTAAACAGTGAATAACGCATTGTCGTTCGGGAACCCATTTTGTTTGTTTAACCATTTAACGGTGAATTTAGAAACTTTGTTTGTTAGGGTTACAAGATAGAGTTTGACGGTTTCCAATACGCTAGCAAAAAATGTGAATCAGTTAACATACTGAATTAATAGATGTAATTTACATCTGTATTATCAAAAGTGTTAACTGACAGATCAGCTCAGAACGAGAATCACCATTTAATGAATAAGAGTAAAATTGTCTATAAAATAATCACTGAAAGGAACAATCACGAGTTTACATATACTATAATGAATTTTCTACTTGAAACTACATCATACTTCCAGTAATAATATTGTTCTACATATTGTCAATTATAAAAATGTGTTATTACAGCTCCCGTTCGACAACTAATTTACACGGATCTGTGACTATGGGCATTGTAAAGATGAAATACTATTAGTTTACTTATATCTTTAGACCACTATCAAACAGGAAAATAGTCTGATCTCTGAAAACCACCGAATGATATATTAGTTTACTTTGAATTAAAGGAAAATCAATAACCAGTAGAATATTACTGTATAAAATTTTTCCATATCCTAACAGCCTGACAGGCAGATCCACTTCGTTTTCGAAAGAAGATTATACTTTTTATAAACTTTTAGGGTTCAAAATAAGAATGATTGACGATTTTTCTAATATGAAAACTGATTTAATGGGACTAGACCGATTAAATAGCTAATTTACAACGATATTTCAACACTGACAGTGAAACACGAGTACACCTTTTCCTATATTTTAGTTTTTGAGTAGCCTTTGAAATGTCCATGGGCCCGATAAAAAAGGAATTGTAAAATAGATATTATTGAATAATCGTCGCACTATATCGTAAATTGACTGAATTTAGAAATATGAACTAACTGACTCGAACTCAGTGGATTAAGGGTATCTTGCTGGCTAAAGGTCGTTGAGTTATATCCAACCTGCTGTCGTGGAGAAGCCATCCAAACTAATAAAGAAACAGTTATTAAGCCGTCACTGGCTTCCTATGGTTTGTTAGATGAAGTTACCTTATAAAGTAAAACTCTTTAAATAATACCCCTATTAGGTTTTATGACGTTATCAGTCTTACCAATTAATCTGTGTTTCTATTTTACAAAATCCAGATTATCTAGTTGAACGATGTGATGAAACTGGCATTTGGGAACGTGTATCCGGACTAGTTACAGATAATTCAATAAATGTCAAGAATTTGATTAAAGGGAAATCTTACCGTTTTCGTGTATCTGCTGTAAATATGATAGGAAATAGTGAACCAGGGGAGACAAAAACTGCGATACTTGCCAAAAATCCTTATGGTATGTTTAATGTTTTCAATGAGTGTATGTTATATTTAATTCGCTTTATAACATATTAGTACGTAAGTGGTCTAAATTGAAGACAGAAATTTTTGTCCTATTTTATATTTTACTGAAAAGATAAGGTGTAAAGAAATGAATTTCACCTATAGTTGATAATAAAGTATTGATCCTAAAACAAATATTTTCAGCGTAAAAGTCTTAGCGACTTAAATTAAATACCAGAATCCCGAATGAAACTCTAGAAACAAATAGTTTGTCGAAAAAGAATCATGAGTTCATCTGTGTTCATCACATAATTTTCATTGATCAAAAATAATGTATTCTAACTGGAATATTTCCTACTATTCATCCTTTCATTAGTTTTTGTTTGCGACTACATGATAACAATCGATATGGAGTCATGAAAACTTAAAGTTAATTGGAATCACGAACTGATCTAAGTTAGATGACGACTGAAAACCGTGACCAGTGGAGTTAAACTATGTCAGGTGTCAGGAAATTACCCATCAAAGACAATGAAAGATGGATGAATAATATGGTAGATCGATTAAAGATAAACTTGTATACTACTTGATGCCGGCTTAATGGTCTAAAAGTTAAGCGTTCACCCATGAGTTTGAAGATCCTAGGTTCGATTTCCTAGTACATAGGAATCCCATGCTAGGACAAAGTAGTCTTCCATTGCATCCAGGTTTGTAATGGTGGTCTAACTTAGATCAGTTCTTGATTCTAATCGGACACAATAAGTTACCTGAAGATATTTTCATTTTGGATACTAACAAAATTGAAGTAAAACTGATAACTAAGTATCAATATGAATAAAATTAAACTTTATTTTATAAAATTTAGTATTGTACAACACTAACCCTTTTAAGTTTGTCTACATTCCGGTAAGAGTTTATGAGTTGGAGATTAACATATACTACATTTTCAACCTAAAGTCAACTTGATAAAATTAATAATACATTGAATGCTTTTCATATTCACCTTTAGAAAGTCTACTACGATGTGAATTGATCTGTTCCATTTATTAACTCTTAAAGTATATATAGAAAATAAAACCCGAAAAGCGATAGATACATTAACTTACGTGGATAATTAAAACATGAATTTCAGTAATTAAAATTGAAAAATGTAAGCAAAAAGGAATAAAAATCATTTGACCAATAAATCAAACACAAATTAGTTTATGCCACTGATTGAAAATAAACTAAGATTACTTTTTTGCATATGCTATAGTATACACTATGAGATATTAAAAAATGACATTGTATCAGCCTTCATTTAATAAGTTCATTTGTGTATTTTGGTATCCGAGTTTTACGTTATTCAGTTAATCCATCTCACATCAAAATAGCTAATCACTCTTGCTAACTGTAATTGATTAATCACCTTTTAATACTTACACCCCATTAAAACACTTTTTCCTGATTTTGCTTTACAAAAAAAACAAAATATTTTTGTAACTGCGGTAGTTCTTAAATCAATCCTATTTTAAATTGCTCAAATGTTAACCAAAAAGTGTTTGAAAATAGGGTATAGATGCATGGACCCTCGGTAATTAAACTGCTTGCAATAAAGTGAATTTAAGCGATGTTTCGCTACAAGTTTTTTTTAACCATGAACTTGAATAAATAATCTCTTTATATTTCATAGTACTGAGTAGTTGTTTTATTAAACTAACTCATTAACCATGACTTTTCTATGTAGATCCTCCTGGTGCACCAGAAAAATTGAATATTGATGAATATGATAAACGTTCAGTGAAATTATCTTGGAAACCCCCAGCAGACGATGGAGGTAACCCAATCAAAGGTAAGTAATTTGTAGATATATACTTTTTTTTAGCAAAAATATGTTTTCTATAGTAAGGTTTTATGGGTAATTTTAGATAGTTTATTATGCAAGTTCACAGAAGCTAGTAAGGTTAGGCCGGAAATACCAAAAGCAAAAACTGTCGCTTCAGTCCGACAATAATAATAACAATAACAAGCATTTTAGAGCGAAATCGTTCAAATATTTTCCTTCATTGCCTAAATACCTAGTAGTAGAGACTATACGATTGTATAAACCAAATTATCAGGTTAAAAAACTTGTAATTCACTTAACATTTTTCTTTATGTTGGCTGATGGGTAACTCACTCTCTATCAGTGCAATATTCACCATTATTAAAATTGTTCTATACCACAGTAGGATCATAATACCGAACTTTGTGATCTATCACCAATCGATTACTTACTTACTTTACTTACTTACGCCTGTTACTCCCAATGGAGCATAGGCCGCCGACCAGCATTCTCCAACCCACTCTGTCCTGGGCCTTCTTTTCTAGTTCCAGCCAGTTCTTGTTCATTCTTCTCATGTCTATTTCCATTTCTCGGCGTAATGTGTTCTTTGGTCTTCCTCTTTTCCTTTGACCTTGAGGATTCCATGTGAGGGCTTGTATTGTGACGCAGTTGGGTGCTTTCTTCAATGTGTGTCCTATACACTTCCAGCGCTTCTTCCTAATTTCTTCCTCCGCTGGGATCTGTTTTATTCTCTCCTACAATAGGTTGTTGCTGATAGTGTCTGGTCAACAAATCCGGAGTATTTTGCGTAGACAATTGTTAATAAACACCTGTATCTTCTGGATGATGGCTTTCGTAGTTCTCCAGGTTTCCGCCCCATACAGTGGAACTGTCTTGACATTTGTATTGAAAGTCCTGATCTTGGTGTTGGTTGATAGTTGTTTTGAGTTCCAGATGTTTTACATTTGTAAATATGCTGCTCTTGCCTTTCCGATCTGCGCCTTCACATCTACATCAGATGCACCGTGTTCATTAATGATGCTGCCCAGATATGTAAGGGTTTTTATATCTTCCAGAGCTTCTCCGTCAAGTGTGATTTGATTGGTGCATGTTATGTTGTATCGGAGAATCTTGCTATTCCATTTGTGTATGTTTAGACCTGCTGCTGCTGAGGCTGCTGCCACACTGTTTGTCTTCTCCTGCATTTGTTGTTGCGTTTGGGATAGAAGGGCCAGATCGTCTGCGAAGTCTAGATCATCCAACTGCATCTTAGATGTCCATTATATCCCGCGCTTCCCTTCAGACGTTGACGTCTTCATGATCCAGTCGATTACCAGGAGAAAGAGAGAGGGCGAGAGTAAGCAACCTTGCCTAACACCGGTCTTCACTTCGAACGACTTTGTCAACTGTCCTCCATGCACGATTTTGCAGTGTAATCCATCATATGAGTTCTGTATGATATTGACTATCTTCTGAGGCACGCCGTAGTGTCGAAGAAGTTTCCATAGTGTTGTTCTGTCTACGCTATCAAATGCCTTTTCGTAGTCAATGAAGTTGATGTAGAGTGATGAATTCCATTCAATTGATTGTTCCACAATGATCCGTAGAGTTGCGATTTGGTCTGTACACGATCTTTCCTTACGGAATCCTGCCTGTTGGTCACGAAGTTGGACGTCTACGCAGTCCTTCATCCTGTTTAACAATACCCTGTTGAAGACTTTTCCCGGTATTGAGAGGAGAGTGATGCCCCTGTAGTTCTCACACTTGCTGAGATCGCCTTTCTTTGGTATTTTGATCAGAAGTCCTTCTTTCCAGTCTGTTGGTACTTGTTCCTCATCCCAAATCTTATTGAAGAGAATGTGGAGTATCCGTGCAGTTGCCGCTACGTCTGCTTTTAGTGCCTCTGCTGGGATGTTGTCCGGTCCTGCTGCTTTGCCACTCTTGATTTGTCTGATGGCCATGCTGATTTCTTCAGTTGTTGGTAGGCCAACATTGATTGGGAGGTCCGTGGGTGCTGCTTCGATGTTGGGTGGGTTCAGTGGAGCTGGTTGATTCAAGAGTTTTTTGAAGTGTTCTACACACCTGTTTTGTTGCTCTTCAATGTTGGTGATTACCTCGCCTTCCTTGCTTTTCACCGGTCGTTCTGGTTTGCGGCGATTTCCAGAGAGTTTCTTTGTCGTGTCATACAATTGTCTCATGTTTCCTTCTCTTGCAGCCTTTTCCGCCGCCGTTGCTAAATCTTCCACATATTTACGTTTGTCGGTTCTGATGCTCCTCTTCACTTGTTTGTTTACCTCTGTGTATTCAACTTGTGCCTTGGCTTTTCTGCTCTTGTTCCACTGGTATTGATTGCTGCCTTCTTCTTCCTCTTTTCTTGAATCTTATCTAGTGTATCAACAGTGATCCATTCCTTGTGATGGTGCTTCTTGTGAGACAGAACCTCATGACATGTTGAAGTGATTGCCTCCTTTACCCCCTTCCAGTTGCTCTCCACAGTAGTTCCTTCTCCATTGAGTAGATCATGAAAGGCCTGGAACTTGTTGCTGAGGTCTATCTTGAATTTGTTGAGTTTGTTAGTATCCTGAAGAAAGGCCGTATTGAACTTTTGTGATATTGTCCGCCCCGTTGTCCAGTGCTTCAACTTCATCTTGGCGACCAGCAAGTGATGATCTGATGCTATATCAGCTCCTCTCTTGGTTCTCACGTCCTCTATAGTCCTCCTGAACGTTTTGTTGATGCAAATATGGTCGATTTGGTTTTGTGTAGAGTGATCCGGTGAAGTCCATGTGGTTTTGTGTATGCGTTTATGTGGGAATATGGTGCCGCCAATGAACAGCTTATTGAAGACACATAGATTTGCAAATCTCTCACCATTTTCGTTTCTTTCTCCCAGTCCGTGTCGTCCCATGATGTCTTCATATCCAGTGTTGTCCGTTCCAACCTTGGCATTGAAATCTCCCATCAGAATGGTCAGGTCCTTTGTTGGGCACTTCTCGACGATTGACTGCAGCCTATTGTAGAATTGATCTTTAGCGTCTTCATTGTAGTCGTTGGTAGGCGCATAGCATTGGATGATGTTCATTGAAATACCCTCTTTCTTTGTTTTGAAGGAGGCTTTGATGATCCTTGGTCCATGAGATTCCCATCCTATAAGCGCATTTTGCGCTTGTTTGGACAGCATCAATGCAACTCCTTGTGTATGTGGTGCATTTTCTTCTTCACGGCTGGAGTAGAACAGGAGCTCTCCTGTAGTTAGTCGTTGTTGTCCAACTTGTGTCCAATGTGTTTCACTGATCACAAGTACCTCTAGGTTGTATATTCTCATTTCTGCAGCAATTTGGAAGGCTCTCCCGGTGTCCCACACTGTACGAACGTTACATGTACCTAAATAAATGGTCGCTCTGGTTGTCAGAAGGGGCATTAGCCTCGTAACTTCCGAAGGAATTCGGCTTTCATCATGAGGCGTCATAATTCTTCTAAATGAAGACCTTCTGACTCCCAGGGCAGAGTTTAAAAGGTTTGAATAATTTTTTCTGGTTAGCGTTTTTTAGCGAGTTAGTTTTCTACGGGATGGGGACGCTAACCCCATGCCCAACCCTCCTCCTTTATCGGGCTTGGGACCGGCAGTAGCCCCCGGAGGGACTCCAGGCGGAGTTCATCAGTCAATAGTACTATAATACTAATTAGTTTGATTCTGATATCTTCAACGTATCGCAGCTGTCGTTTACGCATTTACTCTATTGCGTTCACCGTTCTACTGTTTGTGCTCACAAGCGCGAATCATCACAGTTCCCACAATGCGAAGTAAGAGTACAAAAGAATGATTCAATTAACGAGTCCCAAAAATCACATCGTCATTAGACCACAATGCAATCATTTGTAAACTAACTTTTACTAAAGTTCACATTTGTCACCCTGACCGAAATTCGTAATGAATTGATGCAAAAAATATTGACCTGAATAATGTTATCTTTTTCTCTCGTCATATATCAGTTGTATAATCGGCTTTCTATTCAACTGATAACGTGACCGATTACAGTGATACATGGTACGAATCCATTAATTAAAAAATAAGTACAGTTTATCGTTTGCAGATTATCTTTACAAAAGAATGTAAGTAGGAAACTAAGATCATTTTTAACTAACCTCAACCAAATTTTATTGTAATCCTTATTGCCTCTCTCTATAACTGTAATTCTCTGTTTACAAAAATGACTAAAATAATTATGTTTCATCCTTACATAAGTAAAACTGGCAGGCAATCGCTTGAAAATTATCTTAAAATTGCTAGCTAAATCTCATGAAGTAACCTCAAAACGATCAACTGTACATACTTTCTGATATATTTTTTAAAGGTTACCTAATTGAAAAAAGATTACCTCGAGGTGAATGGCGTAAGGCGACAGGATCACTTGTCCCTGGCACAGAAGCAACAGTTACTGGAATAGAAGAGGGTCAAACCTACGAGTTTCGTGTCAGTGCTGTTAACGATGCCGGACCTGGTAAACCTTCTAAAGCCACTGAACCACATCTGGTCAGGGATCCAGTTTGTAAGTTAAATTAATAACTGAACCTTTAATTTAATGTACTTACTATCTATTTATTATTTAGAAAAAAAATTTATTTTCATTTTTCTATCCATTTTATTACGATTTACTTGTACTGGTACCATGATCTCAGTCTCGTAGTAGACAAGAAATCTACTGACTACTGTCATGGAATTTAATGCTATGTGCTTCTAGTTCCAGTTAAATTTTGATATATATCCCAACGACCATTTAATACCATCAATGATAACTACCTCAACTTAGATATGGTTAAGCCTTATCAGTTATGAATCCTCACTAGAAATTGAAGAATACACGTCGGAGCTAGTCACTAATGATTGCATGAATGACGTTAAGCTGTTTTTGGTAATTATGTCATTTCGAAAATAAGCAAAAATATCTTCATTTGATACCGAATTCTAAACTAGTATTGAATCAAGCTGGCTGGCTCTTATTGGGAGTTTATATTCGACAATCCTTAGATCGATAAATCTTTTAAACGATCGAATACCAGATAGTGATTAATGAAATAAGCAAATAATAGGTATAGGTATCATGATCATTGGACAACTAGTAACTTAGTTTGATCAAATTCTTTTAGCAATAGTGAATTAACAACACTGTGTTCACTAAATATTTAGTTGAATGAAGCTATCAGTGTGGCGTATGCTACTTATGTTGAGAGATATAAGTATTATGTAGCACAAATCGGAAGTGCAATGCCTGATAGCGGAATATTGCAATGAAGAGAACAGGATGGAAATCGGAAAGCATTCAAAATAACAACAGAATTAAAGAAATAATGGAGTATGTAAAGAACAATGCGAAGATGTGCAAATCATGTATTTAATGTATGATTTTAATATTTTACTAAGCCACCGTTTGATATTGCGTTAAACAACAAATTGGTTTTTCCCGCCTGAGTTTTCGTTCACTTCATCGGTGCATGCAATGATACAGAGAACATCAACTAATATGATATTATCATCTTTAAAGATCAACCACCTCTCATTATGTTTTTATGATTGATAAAAATATTTCATACAGTAGCTGAAATTATAACATTAATATTTAATGACTGCTGATTGTGGAATTCTGGCTTCATGCTTCGTTCTATGTGACATTGACTCATATTGATTTTTAACCATAAGAACAGGTGCTACAGATTTATCCATATCACTTCTGCAAATGAGGATATTCATTGACTTACTATCAACGTATTATGTGAAATGTTTATGATGTAATATTCTATGTACACATTAAGGTGAACACTTGTATTGAAAGAATAGATTAGTCGAACAACATCCAACAAACAGTTACACAATAGATTGACGTAAAAAAATAAATTAGGCATAACAAGTACAGTAATATCAATTTTGGTAATAACAAGCATGAACGAATAAGAAATATTTCAAATGACCTTTTCCTAATATTATCAATGATGTTATACTTTTTGTTAGTAATCTGTGGCATTTAAGATTCAATCGGTGTAGAGTTGACTATTTCCAATTTAAAACGTGGAATAGATAGATAGATAAAGAGAGGAGGAGAGAAAGAGAGGAAAAGAGATTTAATAAGTAATTTCAATCATGCAATAAGAGATGTCTATCATACTCACTTATCAATTTGTGGCAAATCACTGAAAACCTTCAAAAACCAGCTTCAACATTCCAAACATAACTTCTTATTTTAAGTATCTATATTGCATATTTTATAAGACACCTAATTATTCTAAGAATCGAAACCTAATTGATCAACTTTTCATTTGTATAATGGCTGTATAATTGTTGAACATGTGAAAGTATGAAATAAAAATTAGTGATTTAATTAAGAAGTTTTACAATATCAGTCTACTCGTGATAAACGTTAATTATTCTCTACAAAATGTGTTATGAAAGCTTTTAGTTAGAGCAAGCGGTATACATTTTCAACTAAACTGTTCAAAAGATGTAAAAGTAAAATTTTAACTGATTAAATTGTACAAGAAATCCATAGCTGTCTCATATGACACATCTTGAAAATTTCAATACTGAAATCTTGATCAGTGTTTGTTTACAATTTGATGTTTAAATCTAGATCCACCTGGACCACCTGAAGGGTTGAATGTGGAAAAGGCTAATAAAAATGGTGTCAAACTTTCTTGGAACAAACCACGACGTGATGGTAATGCACCAGTCACTGGTTATGTAGTAGAAAAGAAAGGGGATGATGATCAATGGATTCCTGTTCAGAATACAACTAATCCATGCGCATTTGTCCCAATGAAAGAAGGAGAAACAGGGCAATTTAGAGTTCGAGCAGTCAATTCAGAAGGACCAGGAGAGCCAACAAAACCGACAGCTGTAATCACTGCTGTAGATCCACCTGAACCTCCAAGAATATGTACACCTGAAGAGGGAGTTGGAGGTCCTGGCTCTGGAGTAGGTGGGCTGAAAGATATTACTCTCAAGGTAAGTATCCTCGCAAAAAAATAATTCTAATAAGATTCAACGCAGTTAAAACCTCAAGTGATTAACTGATAATCATTTGCATTTTCAGGCTGGTCAAGAGTTGTTACTAGCTGCGGCTTGGTTTGGAAGTCCTAAACCAAATCCTACGTGGACACTAAATGAGAAAGTTGTCAAACCAGATGGCAAACTTATCCAAATCTCAGATGAACCTCCACCACCACCTGCCAACCCTGGTCCTGGCGGAGCATTAGAACAATCTTCCGGTGGAACAGCTGTTCTTCGAATTCCAAAGGCACGTCGAAGTGATGGCGGTAACTATGAATTGACCCTAACGAATGATCTTGGGCAAGTCAAGACATCTTGTCATGTTGAAGTTCTAGGTATGCATTTTGTAAATGTAAAAAATGATAATCATGATTATGATATTAACAACTTCTAGCCTACCATCGTTTTTTATGTACTTGAAAGTTATACGCTCATTGAAATTTCTTAAAAACAATAGAACCTCATCTGCATGAATAATACAGCTATATTGTTCCCTTATTGGGTTACATTTCTATGAAGTGTTTCGATTTCAAGCTGTGATGCAAATGTAAAGCGATGAAATAGAACAGTAAAACTTTTAGTAATCTGCAATACTTCTGTTGTTATTCACACATGTTGTCGTTATTCTTCACAAACTAATTAACTCCCACTTTAACATATCAGTATTCTACCGAATTCAGAGTATACAGTGTTTCAGTTTACTGAACACTGTCATGTAACATAGAGACTCCATATGTATTCACTTTACAACGAGAGTGAACTAAATCAATGTGTGATACAATAAAAATACCCAAAATGTAAAATTACACAAGTCCATTACACTGCATGATAATATATTCACAAATAAAAGGATTATTAGTGTTTCACGTGTAATTACTTCATGACGTAACATAAAGCATCTATCAGTGAGATACTTCGTAAACTAGTACACCTAGTGTAAAAAATCCAGTCTGTCGGTCTATGTAGGGCGAGAGAGAGAGGCAATTGAACTCATACTGATTGTCTTGTATTTTTATTCAATTTACACGTTACATTTAACAAAATTTGAAATTCTTGCATTAATTACCGGTCAAATTTCGTTGATGTTATTCCTATTACTTCTTAAAAATAATAATTTTCAGACGTCCCTGGACCTCCAGAAGGGCCTTTAGAAGCAACTGATGTGAATGCTGAAGAAATTACACTTAAATGGAAACCTCCATTAGATGATGGGGGACAACCAATTTCAAATTATATTCTTGAAAAACGAGTTAAGGGAAGTGATAAGTAAGTACACTCTTACAAAATCTATATGAGTATTTAAAAAATGAGAACAGCACGATTACTGAATGACTGAACGAATGATAATACTATACACAATGGTGGTCTTGTGGTTAAACTACTTGATTTTTAGCCACACGGCTGCAATTAAGTTCTTCACTTCGCTTTAAATAACCATCTGGTACTATTAGACCTCATATAGAAAACCCAGCTCTAAACAAAGTATATCAAAAATGTATTGTTAATTGAATTATATAGAAATTATGCTTGAGTTAATGGTATTAACCTCAATCAGAAAAATCCAGACAAGCTAAAACTGTTTCAGGTATTAAAGTTAGTATGTTTACCTTCATGTTAGGATATTAACTTTATCAATCGACACTAGTGAGCATAAAATCTAAGCTCGGTACCGACTCGTAATTACCATGAAACATTTGATATTTAACAATCAATCACATAAATCAAATAAAATGTGACCGATTCAAAAGTACAAAAGATTATTTAAGGTCATCACATGTACTAATAAAAATTTCAGTATTACTAGGATGGGTTTTTAGTTCCAGTCAAATCACTTAAACATTATCAGTGAGATTTCAACATTAAAATAATCTCTATCGATCTCATAACATAAAGCATTAGTATAATTTCCATAAACTCTCTTGTTCCTCCATGGAATGCATCTTTTCTGTGAAGATAGAAGTTATCAACTTTGAAATAGAATTATTGTTATGTTCAAGCTCATTACAAAACATTTATTATTAGAAGAATGTATAAATATGGTACTGATGAAGTTAATTTATTATATTTCAATTAAAATAAATTTGAATAGAGGTCTGTAGTAATTAAATAGTTGAATTCATGAGTGGTTTTAAGCTAGATCATTGGAAACCAGGAAGCACTTGACGGCTTTTTCATCCTAGTACAGGACTCCTTAACAGTGTACTCATACTAAGACGAAACGGCCATCTAGTGCTTTCAGATTTTCAATGGTGATCTAGCTTAAATCAACTCATGAATTCAACTATAAACTAAATATGTATCATAAATAGTTTTAAAAATGTTTTTCTAAACATAATTTACTCTCCTACAAGATATTTTTAAATTTCTTATCAAATTCTAGTTGGCAGAAAGTTAGCGCTTTCTTGAATTCACCAAATGCAACTGTTAAAAATTTAGAAGTTGGACAAGAGTATGAATTTAGAGTGATGGCTGAAAATCCTATGGGCGTTAGTGAACCACTTTTAACAATAAAAGCTATTAAAGCAAGACACCCTTATGGTAAGTAATAAACTTTAATCAGAATGATGAATTATTGATTTTTTTTCAATAATTCATCATTAATAATATTTTATTTCCATCAATATTAATAGATGATTATGATTAACCAGAATGAGCAAACATGTTTATGACATTTCATTAAAAATATATTATCAAATCAGAACTAATGAAGAAATAAGGCTACTTGGTGAAACATTAGCATTTACACACCACTGTTCAAAAAGAAATAGTTAGTTGTTATTCTCAAAGATTGTTCTCTCTGATACTGGCTATTGATCCATCAAAGGAATGTGAAGCAAACAATGAAAACATCTGGCAGTGTTGAGGGCTTTTCAGTATGTACCTAGTCTGTGACAGAAAATCAAGAAACTATTTTCAGTTTTTTAGCCAATGCGCTAAATTTTCAAAAAACAAACTCATCTTTGTAATGCGTTTTATCCAATACAGATCCACCTTCAGGTATGAAGAAACCTATCATCGAAACTACAACTGATGACTCGGTAACTTTATCTTGGGAACCACCAATGAAAGGTCCAACCACTGGTTATATTGTAGAAAAAAGACCAAAAGGTTCTAGAGAATGGACAAAGTAAGTAATCACCTAATAATTATTCGTTTTTTAATCCATTACAGTGTGTATTTGATTAGTGCACACTGTGATTACTTTGCCATTTCTCTAACTCTCTGAAGATTTAGGAATGTTTTATTGGTTCCAGTTACAGAATCGTGTTAACACCTGATCGAGAATATAATAATCCCACTGAATCAAGAGCCCGCACTCTATCAACCTTAGAAACACTTTTCAATCGATAAGTCATGACAACTTCCAAATAATACTTCAACTTCACGCTAATTTCAGATTATTCAATCTAGTTATTACATAAACAAAATAGTTCACCATACCAAAATCTCAGTCAAATATTTTTCATTTTAGTGATAGCTTTTGACAGATTTGTAGACAGATCCGAATGTTGAAAATGTGAGATCACAATTCGATAATGAATGTTCTACAATCCTGAATAAACTGGGTCAATAAATGCTGTTACTATGCATGAAAACGAATCTGCAGACAAAGACGATAGCACGAGCTTTGAAAGATCACTACTTAGAAAGATCAATTGTAATGTAATGTAAGGAAACAAAATTAATCTTGATAGGCCAGCATCAAGCTTGATAAGGGATTATTATCAGTGTGCTACAAGCCTAACTATAAAATTATTAATAATAATTAGGAATTTAATTACTAGTTCATGCATCATATACAACCCATGTCACCTCATTTTCTTTGGAAAATGTTTCGAGGGCAAACAACTGAAACCATTAATCTTCCTACCATTCACTTAATTATAGATCAAATTAAACAATTTCATGGTAACTTGAACAACTCTAAAACGAACAGTTTTTTTCTGATCGAATATCAAGTTCCAAATGATTGATGAATAACATACACGTCCAACTGACCAATTTATGAAATGGAATTCGATGAGGACTAATTTTATAAAATCTGTGTACGGTGGAACTATTACTAACAAACTTCCGTTGATGCGGACAAGTATGAGCAGAAAGTATATTCCAATCAGGATAATGAGTTTGTAGATTCTTCAGTTAGTGAAGTAATTTATTAACGTGTCCAAATGAATCAATTAATTAGCCTTCACGGAAAAACGTTCAATAGCAGAGATTTTTCTTATTACATACTGATTATTTACAGCAGACATACTTTTTAAGTGATGCACTAAATGGGGCAGAAATTTACATACTCTAAAGATAAATTATTTAAAATCATATTACCGTAACTGATGTTCACTAAAAGTAATCACACCATTTATTGCTACCGTTGAGAAAATTCGTTTCGATTCTATTATTTAGTCCGAAAATATACGGATTTGAGGTTGTAACTGACACTTAGTAGTTATAACTTAAGCTTTTAGCATGCAAAACTGAGTAAGTGAAAATTCTACCAAGTTTCAACTATATCGAGCTGATATGTTATCGAAACTTGCCATACTACTAAAGATTATTTAGTAGGTAACTAACAAAATCTAGAATTTTTCAGAATTGAAGTAAATAAAAATATGTAATTTTGAAACAGATTATGTTCACCATCATTTGGTATATTTATTTGTCATAACTAACATCATAATTTTAATTGTAGAGCGAATACAGGCAATGTAACAGGTACTGAGTACACTGTGAAAGGTTTACCGAAAGGAAAAGAATTTGAATTTCGTATTGTACCATACAATTTGGCTGGTAATGGTGAACCAAGTGAACCAACAGAACTAATCAAAGTTCAATTCCCAATAAGTAAGCAGTGATAATGTTTCAATTATGAATTCAACTAAATTGACGCTTTTGTGATAACGTAATACTGACTTTCGACAAAGTTAAAGTTGTTTGTCATCTTAATTGAATATCAATCACGCAAGCAATGAAATTCCTCCAATACTGGATTGATTTTTTTTCTATGCACTAGTTCATTACTAGAAGTCTATGAATTGTCTTATTTGGAAACGTTGACCTAATTAAAATTTTTGTCAACTAGTTTCAAAAAAGACATGCTCTAAAAGAAGCATTGGAGATATCGTTTCTATCCTAAGATTAACTAGCCATCATTTTGTCACTCATTGGACAGAGGTCATTTTGTGAGTAAATAAGTAATAACCATGATGATAGTAAATTTAATCCTTACTTGAAAGCGTTGGATTATTATTTCAACAATACTTAAGATACTTCATTTACCTATAGATGTCCAACAGGTCACAAAATCACAACCTGATAATCTCAGCCTGAAAAAAACAATGTATATAATATATAATGAAAACTTCAATACTAGTCACGGTTATTATCCCACTAATAACATCATTAACTAATTATTGTATAAAAATAAAACATATAACATCCAATTCAATGTCCATGATCTAGTATGTAAATTGTTATCTATCTTGAAATTATGAAAAATTGAACAACTGAAGAAAATCACATCAACTATGTCACTTTCTCTTCCCTCTGTTCTCCCCCCGACCCACATCACTATTATGCATAGTAAAATGTCCGAAAGATAAATGTCTAAGATCAAATAAAATTATCTTTATCATTAGTCATTTTTCATTGAACTAACAAAAATGTAATAAACATATCCGCTAATATACATCGAGACACAAACATACACACGCATAACAGAGAGGAGAGGGAATAGCTTCGTACGCAAAATATATTCTGAAACTTATATATCAGATATGATAAGATGACAGTTTTATTTTTGATTACGTTAAATAACATAGAAAAGCTTATTGGTTCTATTTCTAGATTTTATTGATTTCCAAATGTATTTGTTGATTCCATGCGAAATTCTACCGAAAGCCCAAATTTTAAATTTTATAACCTTTTTACTTGAATGTGTCAGTGGCCCGATATTTGATTACAGTTGGACTGTATGATGATTGTCATAGAAATATACATGTCGCTAATCCTCATATATAATTATCGCTTTAACTTGAGTTAGTGAGTAACGGAATTAAATAAGTGAAATACAAGAATAAAGTTCGAATGCGTATATTTCATACAATCGTTGATATGAACAGACAGTCAGGGAGACGGGGAGAAGGAAACGAAGAGGAGAGTGAGGAGCGAAACTATGTGATGCACAGTGGAGAAGGCACGTGAGCCAACTCTATTTAACCGAGCGTGAATCGATATTTATAGTCACACAAAAATAAGTTTCAGGTATGTGATGAGTAAGGATAAGGAATGCTTGCACATGAAAACAATCAAGTCTGATATGCGAATAATTAACAAGGTCAAAATGTGACTCAAAAAGAATGAATAAATTGGACTATCTGGAAGTTAGAATAAGCTATGTGGACTTGACATAGTAACCGACACCACAAATATATACCGTGAGCTAGAATTAAGCGATATATTCAACTCGTAATCTCGTTGGACAGATGATCGAATTATGGAAACTATAATGTATTGATCCAGGAAACGTATACGTTTGTTTGTTTTTTGAATTATATTTTCTATTTTTGTGCTATTTTACCAAACCAAAATAACCTTGTTTGCTGGCCATTTGTGTCAATTTTGAAATCAGTTCATTTTGACAGATTGTGCCTTCAGACAAGTTTCATTCGAACTCTTTACGTGGGTTCATACAATTTATTGGTCGATATTTTACTACTGTACCTTATCTTTATTAAAGTGAACATTATTATCATTTTGGGTCAGTGAATGAAACAATCCCCAAATTATACCCAGTTTTAATTTTTCCTCTTCAAGTTCCTTGTAAGCAATCGACACTACCTCTGTTGTTAATTATTCAACCACTAAATATTTAATTTTGTCCTGGCACATAAATCAAAAACAGTGCTCAGAGGGGTTTATCCTAGCTTGGTTACAGAAATTTTTCGGCTTGTATATCAAAAGTAGTCATTAAATATATGAATAACACTATTATTTCTCGTTTGAAAGACCGTGAATACCATATCAAGATAGTGGAGTCTTCTCTAATTTACTACTAGAATCTGATTAATTTACTAGTGGATGTTAAGAATGGGCATCTACTTCATTAATAGGAAGAACCCAAACCTTAGTATTTAAAAGGAATGTATTCAGTCTTTCAGTTCACTCTAACTCACTATAGACATACATAAGTCTTTGCTACCACTTTCTTCAGTGTACATTTCTATCCTTCCCCCTTACCATGAAATATTCTTAATTGAGGATTCATTTTCCTTGATTCATAAACATTATTATTATGAAAACCACTACATCGTGTTTTCATAGTTTGTGTTAAAGCTATTGATTAAGACCCAGGATCTTAAAGTGTTTATTTTCCTTACCCGTTTGAACTTTTCACATGACATTTTCTAAATATTTGAGATCTAATCGACATGAAATAAGTTATTTCCAAGTTAAAAGCCATGACTAAATCAGACCAAAGTTTTATGTCTCCTCTAATATGCTGGCTAATGTACAGCAACAATCAAAGATTTATAACTGATGGGTTCGAAATACAAAATCATTGAACAGTTTTTTTTCAGTACATCCCCTGGTTTAATATTAAACTATTTAAATCACTCACAAATGTATTCAGTAATCTATTATAAATACAATATCCCAAAGAAATTCATCAACATTTATGATATCGTTTAAACGGTCAATATTGATAACCTGTATATTATTGTTCTTAACACGTTCTAATAACGTTTATTTTACTGTTCGATTATCAGCTCCGCCAAAAATAGGACGTAATGTACCACGTGAAGTGACTGGACGTGTTGGAGAACCATTTAAAATTCATGTACCTTTTACTGGAAGTCCACCAGATAAAGTGGAAGTGACTAAGGTAAATTAATTTCAATAAATCCCATGCTATCTCTTTTTTGGAACAAATATGTTTGTTCATTAAACGGTCCACATTTCCAACTTCAGTTAACTAATATATTTCTGATTTGATTATGACTGAGTGGTTGAATCGCCAAGTATTAGCTGGGTGATCTGAATGTCATGGCTTCAATTTCTCTCAGAGTCATGATTGGGCACCGCTGAAGAATCTTACACTGGGACTAAATGACTGCCCATTGGTGTCGTAAATGAATCCACTCAGATAACTACCGAAATACAAAGCGTACTAAACATAGTAATCTTAATATATTGTGCCTATTTCTGGGTACGGACGTTAAGGAATACTGCTGAAAAACCCATCCAATGACCATTGATTTTCAATGTTTTTTGCAGATATGTGCCAATTATGAAATTTAAACAATGCTTTAGATGTATCACTTATTTAAGAATCAACCCAATAACTTTCAGCTCTTCTGGAAACGCACACTTTTAGGCAGTCAAATAATTTACCCGACAAGCACAAATTGCGTGATCTATCTGCATAAGATTTCGTACCATAGGTATTAACGTTATCATCAATCCGATCCACTTCAGAAAGTGTCAGAATATTATGTCTTATATATATAAGGCATTTTTTTAAACCAATATTTTATCGGCAGGGGTTTTGTGGAGATTTTTAAAAATTTCAGTGGTTGAAATCATGAGTCAACTGAAGCTAGATCACCATGGAAAACCTCAAATCTCGCAGGGAGCAGGATCGTGGATGCTCATTGCTGAGGAGTCCCATACTAGGACGAAACGGCCATCCAGTGCTTCCAGGCTTTCCATGGTGGTGAAGCTTCAATCGACTCATGATTTCAACTATTAATAATATTTTCTTCATTGAAACAGAATAGGAAAATATCTTGATGAGGGGTATATACTATCAGTATTTTTTAGTGTGGAAATTTATTTTCCAAAAACTTCGAATGTAGAAATATTCACTTTTACTTACCACAAGTCATGCATTAAATTGAGCTAATTAAGAATGGAAAGAAATCTGGGTAACAATAATTATTTGGCTGAATTCATGAGTCAATTTAAGCTAAACCACCATTGAAAACCTTGTCTAACTTAAATTAACTCATGAATTCAATGACGAATTTAAGGTCAATAAGAACCAATCAACATCGAGGTGCACAGAACAAGCTTTGAAACACATAAGGAGAAATTCAAACACTTCACTTCTATTTGAAGTTTGTGCTGATGATGTCGTTCAGAGGGACGATGAAAGCTCCACGACCAAACCATCCAGCTCAGAGAACAAAACTCCACCAAAATAACTTGTTTTAAATGATAATAATAGTTCTCAATAAAATGTAGAAAATCTAATCATCTTAGAAATCACTTGTGAAAAACATGATTACAATGAATCAAGTCTATAGTTATTTACTGAAAAATAGGTTATTAGATATAAACATAAATATAAAAGCATGAAATAACTAATTTTGTGATTTGCTATTAATTTCAGTCCTTTCTATTATGTTACTGATTATGTATGAGAGTTTTAGAAATCTGAGATAAAAAGGAAAACTGGACCCATGGTTAAGAGATGAATTCAATGTACTGTTTTTGTCCGTAAAACTGATTTTAAGTTGTATATAATTAAGACATTTATTATACAAAGTGGACTGGAGTAAACTTCTCGGAATTTTTTACTAGATTTTGTAAATGCTATTAAAAGAAGAATCTGAGCCTGACTGCTCAAAGTCTAAATATTGTAAAATAGAGAATGTCATTGATCTATGCTGCCCTTTTGAAAAATATGTTGGGTGATGTTCTGAAGTGCAGGGATAAGGAGTCATTAACAAATGACATTCGGATACAGTCCCAAATGAGCAGCTGAACTGATGTATGAATACTGAATTATTCAGAGACTAAATACATAGTTCTGAAGGATATATAGCTTCTGAACCTCTGTGAGATATGAATGTTACTGTAATTGTCTGAGTATGTCAATATGCAACAAATTTCATACAGAAAATTTTTGTAAAACCTGCAGTAGCCACCATCTTATGTGCCTACACATAAAGAGTTGAACGAATGAAAATATTTTCTCTGAACTGATAGTGGTTGCGGTCTCTTAAAGAAATCTTTAGTCAATCAAATTATGCCACCAGTAAACACCATATGACATTTTTAACTGGTAATTACCTAGTCCATCCACTCAGAGGAGATATGCACTTGAAATGTAGGTTGTGTTCTTTGCTTTAAGCCGGCTAATTCGCAACATAACATATGCATGGAATTAACAAAAACTTGAGTAAATCATATAAATATCGGCGAAATGTGCCTATCAGAGGATAGGAACTTAGAACATAATATCAATGTTCATACGTATCATGGAAAAAAACTAACGACTGTAATCAGCGATAATGGGATATTTAAGTAGTATACTGGTTATATCAGACATTTACAGCATTATCATTATAATAATATGTATAGTTTTAAGAAAAACACCGTGTATAAAGTTAGGTCAGAAATTTTTTTGAAAGGACAGTGTTCACTTATGAAACCAGTTAGTGGTGGAAAATTTCAGCTAGAAAATTTGTTTTCGAATGTTTTCCTCATAGTTCTGCACTAATGTTTCCATTCTCGATTTTAATCAAAAACAACACATTATTTTTTTCTAATTGTAATTATTTCACCTTATCGTTAAGAATGGAATCCCTGTACCACTTGAAGGTGGTCGTTTCAAAGTGGAAATCACTCCTGACGAAGTTATCATTACGGATAAAGAAGCAGAGAAAAATGATGGAGGCTTGTATAAAATTGATTTGGAAAATGAGAAAGGTCGTGATTCAGCTCCCGTCAATGTAAAAGTTGTAGGACCACCTGAACCACCTCAAGGACCATTGGAAATTAGTCACATCAAAAATAATTCATGTTCATTAAGTTGGAATCCGCCAGCAGTAAGTAATTGGATAAATCTTTATCAATATTTCCTTAGTTATAAATTGCAAACATTACTAATTAATCATAATTCCTAATGTTTATTAATATGATAATCATTTCTAATGAAAGTTAAAAGTCGATCGTAAAAGGAAAATAAAATTGTTTTTGAATCCACTTATTCATTGATTTGTACTAACTTGTTTCTAACTCTAAAGAGATTAACGAAATATAGTGAATTTATCGGTTAAGAGTCTAAATTAACTAATAGGAACGTATCATGTGCATCGATCGATCGTACTAAAGAGAATTAAAAGAAAGTACATAATTTCACAACGTTATTTTCATCTTAGCAAATGGATAATAGAAATTCAGCCATCTGTTTGATTCATGACCGCCTTTTACTTTTACAGATATCAATTACCAAAGGTCAAACAATGTGACCCTATAAATTATGACAAAGAATGTCTGATGTCAATCATTGAAAAATCCACCTGTGTATATAATCTGCAACCAAGTTACCTGTACAAATGGATTAACTAACAACATCTCGTAATCGTCAGTCTCACATCATAAACTTATGTCTAACAGGTCATTAATGTGTCCAATCACCAAAGGACCGCAGAATGTGGTGTTGCATGTTACTCATCAAAATTCTATACCTATTTATTTAAACAGCGTTATAAAAATAGCTAAACAAAACATATGACAGACGAAGCATTCTAATCTTACTAAACATTCAGAATCCATCCGTAATATTAGCTAATAACCTTTAATCAAATACGTTTTCAGATATTTTCTCTCTCAAAAATGTTAATCATATTGTATTTATTTATGTGGGTGTAATTATCGACTCGTAAATAATGTAGCTCTCCCAGATTTATTCATGTATGTCATTGTATATGTTCCTACATACCTTAGACATTATTTGATTAAAAACGTTGTCACACTTAACTAGGCGTCTTTTGGCTACTAATATTCATAGTTCACATTATACCCATCTATTCATTCAGTTAATTTATCTGTCTATAAGAATACATGAGCTACATAAATCCGAAGAACTCATACTTCTACTTTTTGATGTAAATTTATTATTAACGTACTAAGTTTAAAGAATATGTTAAATAGGATCAATACTTCACCGTCATCTCCATTAGAGTCGAAAAGCTACCACATTAGCGCTCCATGGTCGTCTAGGTGCATTCAACTTTCCAAAGCCTTTCTATGGCATGAATTATCGATTTCAATATATTTGAAATAACCATTTCAGAACTAGACTCATTAATTTTATCTACATTATCTTTTTCGATATTATTTAATTTCTTATTCAACAGGATAATGGTGGAAGTCCAATAACAAATTATATTGTTGAAAAACAAAATACTAAAACCGGTGATTGGAGTGTCGTCAACTCATTTGTTCGCACACCGAACTGCGATGTAACTGGCTTGGATGAAGGTAACATGTACCGATTTCGTGTACGTGCAGCTAATGAAATCGGTGTAAGTGAGCCTCTAGATGCGGACAGAGCAATAGTTGCAGAAAATCCCTCAAGTAAGTCCATTTACATATATACTAAGCTTTTAACTCATGATATACCACCAAGCGGTTATTACCACAAATTGTCAATCATTCAACGTCCAAGGCAATCATAAAGTAATTCATGAATACTAAGTTCTCTTGTCATAGAATTCATGAGTGTCATCTACCATTAAACTCAGAATAACTATCCAGAAGTCCCTTAAGTTCTATTGCTTACTTCAAACATATTCATTTTTTGATCTTTTGTTGAAACCACCCGAAAATTTCTTTTAAAAAGTGATTACATTCCTTTTGATCACGCAAAATGTTCCTGTTTAGCACTTTTTTGATCTCGAAAGTCACAGGATTATAATCTTTTCTATAAATTAAACTGTTAAGATTAAATCAATCTTAATATAATTCCTGATTGATTTCATTTTCTTATTACCTGTGTAAAGTGAGATTTCTAGACAAAGATTTAAAGTTTACATGTTAATTAATCATATTACCATACAGTTATCCACATCCATTAATGTATAAGCTTTATGATGTAAAAATAAACTCAAATAAAATACCTCTGCTTTAATATTTCCTCCCAACATATTAACCAACAATCCTCCATTGGAATACAAATACTGTTCACAAGTTACTGAATATTTATCCCATCAACAATCTGGCTTCAAGATGACATCACTGAAATCGTATTAGAATATTTCACTTAAGGCCTTCAACGTAACAGATAGTTCGAAAAATAACTTAGAATCTGGGCTATATATGTGGTTATTCTATTCAAAGACATCACGATAACTTTTCTTCAAAGAAAAATTCATTCTTCAAAATACCTTTAATACTATTCCATACCATAGTTTACTAAGTAAAATAACATCGATGAGAAATGATAGTTAAACTAACTACAAATTTCATAGATATATTTATTTCAGAGAAATATTATCCTTGATACGTAATCCTTTTAAAATTACGTAATAAATATAATTAGTTTATGAAACATGATGTCAGCTATAGAGAAAGTAGACGTAATAAATTTCTTCTTATCATAAGTATTATTGATAATTTAAAAAATATATATATTCTACCTAATAATGTAAATTTCAATATATACTTTTAGCTGTACCTGGAGCTCCTGGAAATCTTACACCAGCAGATGTGGATGCTAATAAAGTGACATTAGAATGGACTAAACCTAAATCAGATGGAGGACGTCGTATTATAGGCTATGTAGTTGAATATAAACCTGTAAATTCAGATGAATGGCGTTCAGCTCCAGAAGGATTAGTCAAGGGTAATTCCACAACTGGTAAGTATTTATCCTGTGAAGAATAATTAAAATGTAACTCTACATATTTAATTATGCATGACAGATAAATATTCAGGATGAATGGAAATTCCTAGTTAAATACCTTAAGTGGAAAGTGTTCATTAGTGTATTTTAACAAATTACTACTATTATCGTTAATCTCTATTTCCACGTAGAAAATAAACCTATCACATAATTGTAGATAGAAATAAGTAGTAGGTCATTTTCATATAAATTCTGACTTATCAATCAATATCTGTCAAATCTTGACCAAAATTCAAACAGACTATTATTCTAACTACATAATATGATAACAGTATATTTAAATGAATAAACATGGAGTGAAAGAGCCGCCAAATTAACTCACTACTCATCATTATAGCAAAAAATGATTACTCCTTTAGTGAAAATCTAACAAACAGCTTGATCAAATCCAGTGTTTTACCATGAATGTGAGCTGCTGATATTTTCAAAATAGGAATAAAAACAATTACTCGTTAGGATATAGCTTTCTATGACCCTTCAGCTTATGAGAGTTCATGTTTAAATCTTTATTAGAATTAAACAAATCACTCTTAAAACTGTCTAAATGAATTGAAGCTCATTGAAACCATGAACCAATCAATTTTAAACCACTAATAAAAACCTGGGAGCACTATATGACCATCTCGTTCTAGTATAAGACTCCTTAGTAGTGCGCATCCACGATCACACACACGGAACTCCAACAAAGGACCTTCGGTCTCGCGCACGAGCGCTTAACCTCTAATCACTGAGCCGTACTCCAACAGTGTTAATGTCTAAATTCAACCGATCCACGATGTTGCACGACGTTTTCTGTTTTCTTCGATGGGTAACTGCTTTATACCCAACACGACTGAACTCCACTGGTGATGGCTTCTCACTAGAACTCCAAGAATTCCCTCAGAATATATGACGCCTTAATAATTCTGATTATTCATTAGAAACAAAATATTATTACCCTAGCTAATTCCAAAGGTAAAATTGTTGACAGAAATAAATGAATAAATTCTTAGAGAAACGGATACCAGTTACATTGCTTATTACTACTAGTTATTTGGATTGGAACTAGTTAATATACCTAACCGGTGTAACTAATTTATTCTTAGCCGTTGAATACTTATTGCATGACGAATAAAGTTATGTTAACAGATGATGACAGTGATTAGAGAAGTAATCTATGTAAAATAAATAATGTGAGTAATACATAGGAAAATTATTTATATATATTCAGTTTATCCCATTTTAACTTCCCAGAATATTGATTAGACGACACATAAAACATCAAGTCTTGAACACTTCATTTACCTACTTTAGAGGATCATTGATGTTACAATATTCTATGATTACTTTAGCGATTAACGTAAGCACTAACATTACTTACTTACACCTGTTACTTCTAATGGAGCATAGGCCGCCGACCAGCATTCTCCGACCCACTCTGTCCTGGGCCTTCTTTTCTAGTATTTTAAAACCCTTAGAAAAGTTAGACGTCATCTAAGCACAACAAGCGTCGCTAATACAAATATGTACAACATGGACTTCTATATAAATTCCAAGGATACTGTAAATGCCAAGGTTATCAAGACGCTTTAAAAACTGATTAATAAATCCTATAATCCAATTCAGTACATTTAAATCAAAATAATTTTAATAAATCATAAGTGTATCACAAATTGAAAATAAACGATAAACTAGTTCTCTTTTTTCCTTGATAAAACTAATTCCTACAAATTGACATTTCTGTTGGTTATATCTATATTTGTTATTATTGTTATTTGTGTTTAGTCGATGGACTTAAGAAAGGAGAAAAATATCTATTTCGAGTTTGTGCTAAAAATGAGGTTGGACTTAGTGAACCGTGTACAGCTAACCGACCAGTTGAATGCAAACCTAAATTCAGTAAGTAGTATATATTCACAAAATGAAATTTTTTCTAATAATAGAAAAAAATGTTTTCAATTAGAAGTGAATTTTATTATGTGTCTATTAGTCGATAATCGTCAAACCATTTTTGTTAGCGTTGGAATACTATGAATAATAATAATGCACATTTTCATGATATATAAAGATCTGTTGAATAGATCAGTAGGGAGTAGAGACAAGTCAGTTAGGGTAGTATGATAAAAAATAATGCTGAACTTATTTTCTCAGATTATACTGTGCTTTTTCATTTAAATTTCCAGGTAGAAATAATCTGAATTATCTGATTTTTTTAACTTCTCAATTATGCTCTACCGAGTTAATGGTATCTATTGGTGTTACATTACTTGAAATAAGTTTATAAATCTAATTTTAACTTCATCTCCATACTTCTTACAAATTAATAAAACAATATAGAGAATATATAAACTTTTGTAAACTTAATATTTATATGGATCCTTGATAGTTTTTATGTGGTTGTTCAGAAATGATAGAAAACTCCTTCATTTCTTAGATCTATCAATGTTTAACTCATACTCAAGAACTGGGTTCACAATTTTAAAGTTACTTAAAGTGTTTTAGGGACAAACATTTCGATGACAGCAAATTAAATACCTTTCAGTAAAGAATACCAACGTGTAAATATTATTTGCTAATTTCGAAATTATGTTGCACGATGTAACAAATAGAGAATAAGTAGTGTGTTACTAAAAACTTTTACAGCAAACTTGACTTTGTTTAGTCAAAAATCAAGAAAACTTTATTTAACAGGAAGGGTTTTGCAGAGATTTTTAGAAATTTCAATGGTTGAAATCATGAGTCAATTGAAGCTAGAACACCATGGAAAACTTGGAAGCACTGGATGGCCATTTCGTCCTGGTATGGGACTCCTCAGCAGTGCACATCCACGATTCCACACGCCGCGGGATTCGAACCCAGGACCTATCGGTCGTGCGTGCGAGCGCTTAACCATTAGACCACTGACCTGGCATCCAAAGGTGTTAATATCTAACTTCAACCAATCCACGAAGTTGCGCCACCGTACACCATTGTCTTCAGTGAGTTGATATCTCACAACAGACCTGGTTGAACTCCACTGGTAACGGCTTCTCACTAGAACTCCAGGAGTATATCTTGAAGTCAGTTACTAGTGAGCAGATGATTATTATGAGAAACGGCCGCCCAGTGCTTCTAGGTTTTACATGGTGATCTAGCTTCAATTGACTCATGATTTCAACTGTTTATTTAACGTTATCAAAACCAGAAACTCTATGCATGATCAACTATAAAATCACTTAAGTTTTCTTTTAATAAATTCCTGATGCGATATTTTGACTATTCTATCATAAAACTTAATTAATTTTGATAGAATCTCTACGGTACATTTATAAACCAGCATGCACTCTCCTGTTTTGGTATTGATAACTGGATTGCTTAGTCTCTGCTGACGTATAGACTCCTTCGACAAATTGCCGAATCCAAAATTTTTTATTACTATAGATACCAACTATCTATGAAAGATAGATATCATATTTTCTCATTTTCGTAATTCATAAGCTTGATATATTTGTGTTGCTCATCCCACTGGTATTTAAAACCAATTCTAACACTTCTAATATCATAACGGCATACACAATTAAAGCAAAGTATATATTCAAGGATTTATTAATATATAATTGATTTTATCACTGACATGCTGCACACTATTCATTCATAACTAATAATTTCACGCGGAATAGAATATTCACTAACTAACTAGACAACTTGATTTGGTTTTATGAACTGAATAAAATTTTATGACGAATGTAACTAGTGATATCTTATGTGATATTGAAATCCTTGCCAGAATGAAATCGATTTAAAATAACAACTGATTGAGCAAAAACTGAAAATGTGACATTCAAAGTGCTTTATATGGCTTGTGAAATCTATCGTCAGTATAATTCCCAACTATTTACATCAAATAATATTATAACATCATAGTAATGGCATATGTGTTACGAACGATGATTTGTCAGCCTGTTGTACCTTATTTTTATAAGGACTTTCATTGCCTATAAATGTGAAAATAGTATCACTGAAAGCAATATTTCTTTATTTTAGCCACAGCTGATAGTCCTGGTACACCTACTGTTGAAGATGTTGGGAAGAATTTTGTCGATTTAACCTGGTCTAAACCAATGAAAGATGGAGGTGCTCGTATCACTGGTTATTTAGTAGAGAAACGGAAAAAGTTTGCTCCTGACTGGGAACCCGCTACACCAGATGGAAAGCCTGTTATGAATAACAATGCTCATGTTGATGGCCTTGATGACAATGCTGAGTATGAATTCCGTGTGAGTGCTGTAAACGCCGCAGGAATTGGTGAACCGAGTCAACCTACAGAATTAACCAAAATATGTCCAAAACGAGGTAAATTATTAGTGCAGAAAAGAAATACGACATTATTTGTCACGGTTGATTAGCGATGATATTTCTAATTGTAAACTGGTTTCATTTGACAAATCCATAGGCTTCGGGAAAAGTAAAATTATTTACATATGTACATATAGTGAATCCTGTGCTAATTAAATTCGTGTGATCAGTGATCTAGATAATCTAGATAACAAAGGGGGAGAGAAATAATAATCCAATTACAAATCAAATAAAATGTTGACGATTATGTCATGTATAGAATGGCAGTAATGATATAAATTACGGAAATAGTAAAATAGGGTGAGAGTTATTTCACCCTAATGGCTGATACGACCAATGGAAATAACTGAATGAATATTTTACTCGGGTAGCCAAGCTGTACAAAAACCACTGTGTGTTTAATGATATTCCAAGCCTGTAAATAAGCAAAAAGAGTAAAAAAGACAAGTAAATGCTAGTCAACAAGAATCCAATTCAGTGGTCATTATGTCATCATCTTTATACGCTGGTCCTTGAAATACAAAATCCGACCGGTTATCAAACTCTCATTTTGACAGTGTTATGTATTAAAAATCAAACAGAATTTAATAAATCATTCTAAATATAACTACTTTAAAATGTACAGCTTTCATTGAATCTTAGTCAGATAAATATACCATGTTTGTCTTCTTTATATCTCCCTTTAGATAAGCCACAACCACCATCAGACGTTGAAGCTAAAGATATATATGCTGATAGTTGTGTATTAACCTGGAGCCCACCTGAATCAGACGGCGGATGTCCAATCATCGGTATAATTAAAATGACCTTTATTAGATTTTTTCTAAAATAACATATCATTCATTCGTTGTAATGATTTGAACTCATATATAATTTGTTATAGTCAACTTATTCACTAATCTTCAATAATTTATTACCCTTTATACTTTCCATTACCTTGAAGTGATGACTTCACGTTGAAGATATCATAAAGCCACATGTTTAATTAAAACAACCCACGAGCATTTGAGTTCTATTAAAACTCGATGAGAGCAGCGAAACTCAGGATAGAAAACAGTTTAGGGATTTTTGGGAACGATCTCTTAGAAGATCAATTTCGATTGAAGGCAACTTGACATATCTGGGTATGAACCTACACCATATTGAGTAAAAGCTGGTTGTTTTAGCTAGAAAATATCACTCTATATTATTTAGGGCGAACTGTTAAACGATAATCAATGAATAATTTATCTGATGTATGCAAAATGCATATCAAATGAAAATTAGTGAGCTCATAAATCCATCATGACGATTCTACCTTCCTAGATATCGAGACATTCACCAGCACGAATTCTAAGTCGGGAAATATTTCAAAACGAAATCAATTGTTGAAACATTAACTGTCTATATTCATTAATAAAAACAAGAATTAGTTTGTTTACAAATCTAAATCTCCCGACTTATTACAAACTTTACGAAAACAGCTACTGCCAGTACTGTTGGAAACTGCCTGTTCGATTATGACATCTGTCATGGAACTACTTAATAATAACATAATAATATACTTGTAAAAATGTCAGTGATTGTAACTTCATAACACTAACGACTCGTTAGAAAAACTGATTTGAACTTCTCTAATGCAACAGTAAAAATTATGGAAGATAAATAAACAGACTAAAGGTAGCTTTCGGTTACTATCAGGACCATATTAATCATTATAGTATAGGTGGCAATAAACTAAGCTTATCAGAATATACATTCATTTAAAATAAGTTAATATAACTGTGTGTATATGTGGTATGTTAATTGGTAAGCAGAAATGACATTTCTATAATTAACTTATTTCAAGTAAGTTACGATGAGTGACAATTTTAAAGGTCATTATTAATCATTTTGAGAAAAATGAAGTTAGAGTAATGGAAAAAAGTTTAGAAATCGTAAATCATAATAACTCTGAAATACATTAGAAAAATGTATGTTAAATTATTGAAAAAATACGAACTTTAGTCAAATAAGATAAAACAAGTTGAACATTTCAGTAACGTAAATATAGGCTGTTGGATTGTAATACATTGGTCTGAAGGTTTCTTACTTACAGCCTAGACCTGTAGGCACTGAGTTCGATCTTTAATAGGGTTGTAGGCAGATTAAATAGTTGTCCAGGGCTTCCTGGGTAACAATAGTCTACTTCTAATATTATTTGATGACGACACTCATCTACGAAGAAAATCCCTTTCGTAACAATGTCATTTTCAAAGCACCACGCCAATCTTTATATGGAACAATCTGTGCCGTGGTTTCTTGTATGTTTTTTTAACAGTACTCGAGTTTATCAATAAATCTCATAGAGTGCAGTATATACAAGTGTATTAATTAAATAAATTGAATTTATCATTTAGAGAGTTATACGAAGTATAGAAAATGATTGTCCAATGATATTACTGACCGCATTTTAAAAATACTTATGAGAAATGGAAACTGCGACTGAAAATATTAGGGCACAGTAAGTTTAAACGAATGAGACTTCGTGTGATTTACTGATGAGAAAAACATTAACAAAGTCTTCAGAGAAAACGAACAACATTAAAAGAACGGTGGTTTAAATTCGTAATTTAGCATCCCACGCATTAACGAAGAGTTTTTCAAACATCCCCCCATTTCTTTTCCCACATCTTTCTACCAGTAATGTTTGTAATTTAAAAAATGGTATAATCAGCTATTATTAGTTCCGGATATTAATAAAAGCCAATATGTTGTGCAGTTATCACATTTTTAATAACGATAAGTCTTATTAATTACCATATCACTAGTTGAGACCCAAGTTCAAACGCGGTTATAGTCAGAAATACTTTGTTTCTCAGTTTGTTTCACTTTTACATATATAAGCGCAAAAAGATATGTAACTGGACTTATTGAGTACATGTTTCGATAACATTTAAACTAGTCACTACATTTATGCTCGTATCCTCGAAATTTATTGTTAAGATAGGGAAAAATAATCACAGTCACTTTATGTCAGCCAAAGAATATGGAAGAAACTCGAGACATGAATAAAAAATTGATTCAACAAACTCTTTCTGTATTCACAATCGGACTATAGACTGAGTACATCTACATCATCAAAAGATGCAACTATATACATTCCAGTAGATTCGATTAGTTATTACACATAATATGAAATGAGAGAATTCATTTGGGTCAGTATATTAAATGGTATTTTTTTGACTAGGCTAATCGCAGACCACTGGATATTGACCATTACCAATCCAAAAAGTTTTAGATGGATTGTTAATTTAGTTTTATCAGTCACCAACTACGTTTCTGTAATCATAAAGATTACTTGTTGTGAAATTTTGTATTTAAATATTTAATTCTAAAAAATTCGAATGGAAATATGTATTTTACCAAATGAGTAAGAAAAGATTAAATTAAATGTAAGTCGGAAATTTTGTGTAATGGAACTTGGAATAATTGAATAAATTAATTGTTCACCTATCATAACATTATGGCAAAATATGCGTAAACATGAAAAGAAAAAAACACACGAAAGAATACTGAAATACCCTTGAATCAACTGAGAATATAAGTGTTACGTCCTTGATCTGTCTACCCACTTTTGGTGCTAAGGATAACTTGTCTAATCTAGATTATGATTTTGACACGATAGGCTGACCGGTTTAACCTTGCGTCTAGTTCGCGTGAGTTCGAAGTGGGGTAGCGGGAAGAAAACTATCCTATCACCTAGTTGACTGACAAGCACGCGAGTGAGAGAAGTCGACTGGAATTCTACTCGATTTATTCTCACTTCCGATCTGGTTCCCGATTTCAGATCAGTGTAAAAGAGTACATGAATAAATAGATGACTAACCAGACCACAACGCACAACGATTAAGAAAATACAATTATGTCCGAAACTGGAGATCAGCGTCGAAAACAGCGTACGAAATATTACGTTTAAATTACAATAGCTTTAGAACAAAAAAGGCTATGACAGTGAATCATACATCAAACGAAAGCTTGTGATCTGTAGAATAGACTAGGGACAAAAATAAATGTTACTGTTTTACAAGCTCTAAATTAAATGAAATAACGTCTCGAAAAATAGCTGCCGTAGTTTGTCAGGGCTTCTTGTTTCTCTGTTCACATCAATAAGTAAGTAATTCGGATATACTATGGGATTACGATTATATTTGAAGTTGAAATAAATTTACTCAAATATTCTGCTAGTTATCAAGTGTTCATTTTGAAAATCATTACACAATTAAATAATTTAACTGTAAAATAACTGATATTTTGAATATAAACTACATTTTCTTAATAAAATTTGGTTTTTCAGACTATATCGTTGAAAAGTGTGATGCAACCACTGAAGTATGGGAACGTGTTCCAGCTGTAGTCACTAGTACAAGTTGTCCAATCAAAGGTTTAGTTGAAGGTAAACGTTATCGTTTCCGTGTATCTGCTGTGAATGCTATGGGACCAAGTGAACCAGCAGAAACGAATACAGCAATTACAGCTAAAAACCCATTTGGTAAGTAAAACATTAATAGTACATGTAGTGAATTATCAGTAGATATTAACAAGTTGGTAAATGAGAAGAATAAATTATTTAATAACGCTTAAACCATGAGAGCTAATTTAATAGTGTCAGTTATAAGGAGTTCTGAATAACTTTTCTTTATTTTCGACGTTTCTAACCCACCAGAATAATAATTGTATATCTTGCCTATACTAGATTTTAATTACATTTCCAAGTATCATATTTACGTGTATAACTCTGTTACACTAGACTAACAGTCAGGTCAGCTAACTGTCTGACATTTTCATTTACTAATGAAATTCCAATTCATGGGATTTTCATTTCTTTAGAAAAGTAAATTACATAAGCAATTTGCACCGAGTAATGATTGACGTCACCGTAGAAAATATATATTCTAAAGTTTTAGTCGGTTACATTTTATTTACCTGATAATTATTAAGAGATTAAGAACAAAAAGTGTTCATAGAAAATAGAATTCATCCTGTCTAGAAACTTTTAATTAACTAAAAACAGTCTAAATGTAGAGATAATAAAAGGACTGATATAATTTAGTTGAACCTAAGAGGGTATCTCGAAATGCGACAAAATTGGTTGAAAAAATGACATTACCGACTTGTAGTTTTAAGTTTATAAGTTTTTAACTATTCATATGTTGAAAATGTAGCCTTATATAACAAGAGAGGTTAGTGAATAAACAAATTAGCTAACTAAATGATAAAATTAAGATGTGATTAAGTCAATGAGCAAAGGTCACAGATTTAATTAAAATGAGTTAGTTTTTTCAGGACACCGTTGTTAAGAGAAATAAGATGAAGCAACGTTTACCATCTATTATTTATTAAATCAGAAATCAAACCAGTGGAGCTAATCCCTGTCGGGTAGAAACAATATCTACCTCGGTACAGTCGAAGATGGTGGATCGATTGAGGTCAGACATTAACACCGTTGGATGCCGACTCAGTGGTCCAGTAGGTTAAGCGTTCGCGTGCGAGACTGAAGGCTCTGGGTTTGAACCCCACGAGCGGGATCGTGTATGTGCACTGCGGAGGAGTCCCACAATAGTACGAAACGGCCGTCCAGTGCTTCCACGTTTTCAGTGGTGGTCTAACACCAATCAGTTCATGATCTCAATCAAAAACTTAATAATCTCCACAACCCTATAATGATAAATCAGAAATGTCATTTATTATTTTTAAAGACATGGCTATATACTACTTCACATGGACTATCTACCATTTCGATAGTGTAATAAGACGAAGATTATCAGAACTATGTGATATATTAGCGCAATACATCTTGAACAATCTGATCACACATATACTTGTTACGAACATCACATCCCACTGTGTTTACCAATTTAAATGCATGTGTGTGGTCATACATACATAGGGAGGAGCAATCGTGATCTCAAAATTATGGTGTGTGACAAATACCGAAGTGGTTACAGAAACAAATATAACCGAATGATCCAATAAGAGTAGAGGATAAACATCCATCATCCTCTATTGCCAAACACATAATTAAAACAGGTCAGAAGATTGATCTTAACACGGCTTTTGTGGTATTGTATAAAAGTGTAAAATGGTGTATACTAAGGTTTATTAGGCCTTAGTCATACAAAAATTGAAACCCCCTTCGTGTATTCGAAAACAATTTGTTTTCACCTTAAACCTACCCTGGTAATATTAGCTTATCATCCAGAGTGATTAGGTTTCAAATTGTTTTCACATTATTTTCTTTATTATCCTTATCTTCTCGTACCCTCCGTTTCTAGCCTAGTTGACCTTTTATTTTTATATGTAAATGTTTTTAACAATTATATCTGTGATCAGATTGTCTGAAATGTATTGCGCTAATATATCACATAGTTCTGATAGTCTTCTTATTACATTACCGAAATTTATTAATGGGACTAATTGCTTTAAATATCTACCATTAGTTTGATATTTATACTTCTTTGATTAAGGAGATTATTCATAAATATTCTTATTAAAATGTAATATAAAATACAAGTTATAACTTCATATTTGATTTGTTTTCAGATGCACCGGATGCACCAGAAAATGTAAAAGTTGAATCATTTGACAGTCATGGAGTTACGTTAGCATGGAAACCACCAGAAAATGATGGGGGAAATCCGATTCATGGTAAAATCAATATATTTCGAAAAATTTATTCATAAACGATAAATATCATACAAATATTTGTTACTCAAATCTTTATACTTTTCATGATTAATTTAGGTTATTTGATTGAAAAACGCACACCAAACGGAGAATGGAAACCAGCCACAACAGGATTAGTGCATGGAAAGGAGGCCGAATTAACAGGTTTAGAAAAAGGACAAACTTATGAATTTCGTGTTAGCGCAGTAAATGACGCTGGAGCTGGACGTCCATCTAAAGCGACATTGCCTCAAGTTATAAAAGATCCAACATGTAAGTTTTTTTCATTTATTATTAAGAATTTGCCTTTTAATCATTTCTGTTGTGTATAAATATACAAATTCTCATTTTCGCTTGATTTTAGACCCACCTAGTGCACCAGATTCAATTAATGTGGATAAAGTTAATAAAAATGGTGTAAAATTATCATGGCAAAAACCACGTAAAGATGGTGGAAGTAAAATCACTGGATATCAAGTGGAAAAGAAAGATGAAAATGGTAATTGGGTACCTGTGAAACAGACTACAGAACCATGTGCATTCATCCCAATGAAGGAGGGTGAGACTGCACAATTTCGTGTACGTGCAGTGAACGATGAGGGTCCAGGTGAACCGACTCGACCTACTGCACCTGTGACAGCTGTTGATCAACCAGAAGCACCGAGAATATGTACCCCTGATGATTGTGTTGGTGGTTTAGGCAGTGGAGTCGGGGGCCTCAAGGATGTTAAGCTGAAGGTTAGTTACTCTTATTTTTTCATCATAGCCAACACTATTATATTCATTTATCTTATAAGTTGTTTAGATCTTAGATTATACTCACCATACATTATTTCAAGAAGTTTAAATATAAGTGTTTGTTAATTTCATAAATTAATTAGATGAAACATTTTTTTATTAGATTCACTGGTATTAATTTGGCTGTAGAACAGCTCAATTTAAATATTCAGACAACGGTCCTTAATTTTCCCCTTCCAAAATAAATGTTATCAAACAAACTCAATTACTTTAAGTAAGATTTCTAATGTAATCATTACTAGAAAACAAATAATTGCTGTCACTAATTTCAGAGCTATCAAAACTCAAAATATAATAAGTCTACTTCACAAGTTAATAAAATAAGGTTCACAATTTAGAAATATGTTATCTGTGATAAACAATCATTTGCCTAAAGTAGTAGAATATTATCTACCATCCTCAATTGATAATACGTCATTTCCACTCTTCATTTACTATAAACTATTAGCAATCCAAGGTTTCATCTCTGAAGCAAATCATATATGAATATTTGATCTCCATATTCCTATCACATTTTAGGTTATTTATGAAATACTTCAACCATAATTTTATGTACTTTAACATAATTAACGGATTATTGAAATTTAAGTAAAGTAACTTTCAAGAAATTTTTCAATTTATGAATTTACACATTTTAATCAACTACGTTACGTTGTATATTCTGTTACTGTTGAAATAGATTAGTTGTAAAAGTTACTCACTTACTGATATCTACATTTGTTATTATTCAAAATCCTTACTGATAAATAATTTAAATTTTTGATGTACCTATAAGGCTGGTCAAGACTTAAAGCTTCCTGTTGCTTGGTTTGGTCATCCGAAGCCAAGATTTAATTGGAGTCAAAACGATAAACCTATACAAATTGATGGTAAACGAGTAAATGAAACAAATGAAGCCCTACCACCACCTGCAAATCCTGGACCTGGAGGAGTTCTTGAAATGTCTCCAGGAGGTACAGTAGTTTTGTCAGTTGGAAAAGTCCGTCGTGCAGATAAAGGTCAATATCAGTTGACAATTGTCAATGAACAAGGTCAAGCAACTACTTCTTGTCAAGTAGAAGTAATTGGTAAGTATGTTCATTAGTAGTGGAATTTAACATTTCATTTACAAAATATAAGTAGACCAAGTACAAAAATCATATAAATAATTGAAATATTCTTTGAAAATTACAAAATATATAGAAGTATGCAGAAAATGTAAAGAATGTTGTCAATGACATTTAAAATTCATTAAATCCAAAAGCATCAAACAAGTCCCCCATATTCATGTTAACACATTACATAAACATATTCTTTCAGTAATTGAACAATTTAGTATTTCTTTAGCACAGAAATATTACTTTATCTTAGAAATACTCAATCACGGGAACGATAAATCACTTGTAATCAACCTGAAAATGAAATTTTTGTCAACCGATCTAAACAATTAGGATAACTGATTTTCAGCCTGACTTTGATGTCACTGTAATATAAGTGTACTCATTGCATCTTTGGTCTGTCTGCTTACTAATCGGTACTTATTATAAAGGAGGAGAGATCTACCTCGACATAATTTAATTTCTCGTCTCGATAGGTTACTTGGCCCAACCTTGAGACTGGCAATAAGTTAGTTCGACCGTGACTAAACAGTCTCGACGGAAGGTAGGAGAAAACTATTCGATAACTAACATATGACTTATAGGGTGCCAAGCCCAGGGAGAAAAGACGATTAAACGGGATAGTTATCCGTTTTATTTCTAATTTGAACTGACTCAAAATGCATATGAATAAATACATAGCTAGCAAGACAACGACGTACAAAGGATTGGTTGAGGTTAGACATTAACACCATTGGATGCCGACTCAGTGGTCCAGTAGGTTAAGTGTTCGCCTGCGAGGCTGAGAGCTCTGGGTTCGAATCCCACGAGCGGGATCGTGGATGTGCACCGCTGAGGAGTCCCACAATAGGCCAAAATGGCCGTCCAGTGCTTCCACGTTTTCAATGGTGGTCTAACATCAATCAGTTCATAATCTCAATCAGAGACGTACAAAGAATTAGAAAAAAACAATCATGTCTAAACTAGAGCATTATAGTAAAAAAATGGAATACAAATATCACGTTTAAGTTACAATAATTCAATGAAAGCTTATGACTTCTGGAATAAAGCAGGGACAAAACCAAAAGCTAATATATTATAGATTTTGAAATAAACGAGACATTGTCCCTAAAAATAACTTCCATCGTCTGTTACTGCTTCTTCATTTTCTCTTTTCACATCAGTACTATAATCAGATTCCGTATGAATCTACATTAGTAAGTAATTTCTCTTGACAAACTGTTCTACTTCTAAAGAAAAATGTAGTCTTGGTTTTCTTACACTTTTCAAAAGTACATGATTTATTCATTAGGGGAATTGATTTCAAACATCGATATTTGTATTTTAAATACATGGGTATCTTTTTTGAACAGACGTACCAAGTCCACCAGGTGGACCACTTGAAGCAACAGACGTGAAAGCAGATGAAATAACTTTGAGATGGAAAGCACCTGAAGATGATGGTGGTGAACCAATAACTAACTATGTGCTACAAAAGAGACGTAAAGGTTCAGATAAGTAAGTTTTCGAATTTTTACAAAAACCTTGAAATGTAGTTACTTTTAATTCGTTTAGTAATTACAAGGGTCTTGCGTACTCAGCACTGATCCACACAATTTGTGTAAAGGGTTTTACAAATTAGGTTTAATTTGGATCCTCAACTTAATTTAGTATGCATTATAGTGGTAAACCTCACTGTGCAGAGGTGTTTTAAACATCCAAAACAATGTCTCCTAAATGAATATACTTCAAGAAAATAAAAGTGGCTTGAGCCACATTATTCATTTTAAGCGTAAATAATTATACGCATAAAAAATAGACATGAATAAATACACAGACACAGAAAAACACGTACGAAATACGTATGTAAAAGGAAATATGGTCAAGTTCTAAAATCTAATTTTACTTGAATGAGTCCGACACGGTTTAGATACTAGCGTGAACAGATACGAAATTGTATTACCTAACCAATATGATTAGAATGATTAGTCTGTCATATGATTTTACACTACTCTAATACATAGACATATAGTCAGATAAGCTATTAATATTTTTAATTATAATGATGACTTAAATTAGTCTTATATGATGCAAGTATATTTTTCCAATGTTTCCGGTGCCGCTTGAAAAAATCTATTTCTTTATTATCATTCAATTTGCTATGTACCGAAATATTTGTTTAACTTGATAAAAAATGAATTATATATCTACATAACTCTTTGCTTTTAATACTGTTTTCATTGTTCAACTCAAGTTGGGAAAAGGTCAGTGGATTCTTAAATTCACCGAATGCAACTGTTAGAAATCTAGAAGAGGGCACAGAATATGAATTCCGTGTAACGGCTGAAAATGCAATGGGTCAAAGTGAACCTTTAATAACAACCCAACCGATTAAAGCTAAACATCCATTTGGTAAGTAAGAACAAACCTATTTGTTCTGAGAGTATCTAACTTATTTTTTTACTCCGCTTAAAATTCTCAAAGCTAATGACAGTTCATCCAATTTGGCGGTCTGCTTGAATATCTGGACTGTCTGTTTCCTCTCATCTAGATATTTGAACAAGTTATCTGTTTTCTTGTTTGTTTTAAAACATCGTTATGTCTATCAATCTCATAATCTATTCAAGTGCGTTTATGAAACGTCTGTAACCTTTCGCTGTACTAGTTACAAAAAACCCCAATCAGCAACATTGTAGTTTCTGGCAATATGCATTGAAAAAAATGAACATTATTTAGACGTCAATTCCTGAACTGCTGACATTTAACTGTTGATCACTCAATATTTATGGTCAGAATCGGTCAAGAAATAAGAAAAGGAAACTTAATGAAATTATTTGTGCTGAGAATTCTGTATTGTATCAAAAATATAATATTGAATAAAGACAAAATTAGCCTACTTATATTGCTAAACGATCAGATTTAATTTCCTATGTGACAGGTTTTTCGTGGCTAAATTAGTTTCAGAAATGTGAGACTGATAATAAAGTAATTTATTTACATCTTTGCAAACAATAATATAAATTTATGAACTACCTGGTTTTACTGACTACGAAAAGTGAATTAACATAGTGAACTATTCATCAACGTAGTTTGAGGATTGTAATTGAAACAGTTCTCCGATTATTTTTGCTTTACACAGATGAGACACTTACCAATTCTTGAAAGTATTTAGTAAACAGAGTAACATTACAATCATGCTCACTTTATGAAAAAAAACTAGACATTTTAGTGTGAATCTAGTATATATGGAAATTGTAGATATTTTATTACTTTCATCCTTCAAAATTTACGAATTAAAAGTTCATCATGATAGTAAAGAGTTATTTTTCTGCGTGGTATAACTTGACCAAAAACTGGTATAAAGTTGTTCATTAGTGGTTTAGCGATAGACAATAAATTGTTTTAATTATTGGTCTTTATATCATTTCTTCTACTTTGTTAATGGAAATTGTGACTATGTAAGTTGCCATAAATTCGTATCATTTGTTGAAGATAAGCATTAAAAACTAGCCGTACGTCTTTTGATTTTAGGAAAATCATATCATTTTTGATAAATATTTAACTAAATTGCAAAACTTTCACTAAATCAACATTTATTCAATTCACAATATTATTTACACTCTAATTTATCATTTCTCCATGAATTATCCATTTACAGATCCTCCATCCGGTATGCAAAAGCCAACTGTTGAAGATACAAGTGATGATTCAGTTACCTTAGCCTGGGAACCTCCACGTAAAGGTCCTGTTACAGGATATATTGTAGAAAAAAGAGCTAAAGGAGATAAAAACTGGTCTAAGTAAGTACCTTCTTTTTACTTGGACGGTTAAATAGCACTATTGTGAAGATTAGATTTTGAGTTTTCTATGGAGATAAATGAATTTGTTTCGATAATTAAAGTAACCCATTGTTCATTGAACAAAAATAAAAAGAATTCAGCTAGAAAAATTCCTTTCTCACTTACATTTGTATTTATACTTGTAGGACAAATTTATAAGTCTATAGAAGAATAGAAAGACACTGCTATTTAAAGTGATCCGAGGTTTAAAGAACCGAAATGAAGGTTGTTTAATGATCGAGTGGTTAGGAAAGAATAGTAGAATGAAAATAATTTACAGGTCAGACATATGAGAAATAATTAACCACTTAAGAGATATGAGGCAGAAATGAAAAACTCAGAGATCATAGTGCATAGTTGAATATACACCGTGAAAGGTCATTAGAGGTTAATAAAATGTGATAACGGTCTAAAAAGTACAAAATCAGGCAATCGAATTTATGAACGATTATTGAATCACAGAAATTGTGAATGGTCTACATACTGTTCGTTCATGATATGAATATTTGGCATTCATAAAATAACTGATTATTTTGCTAAGATATACCTAGTGGTAATATTATAATCTGATTCTTGTTGATCCCTACGTAAATAAAATCCAGTATTATGCAAAAGATATACTATTAAATGGAGATTCAATGCTGACTGAAGAAATTTCTTCAGAACTTAAGATAATAAGGCTGATTAAACTATAAGTATGAGGGTTGTGGAGATTGTTAAGTTTTTGATTGAGATAATGAACTGGCTAATGTTAGGCCACCGTTGGAAACCTGGAATCACTAGACGGTCATTTCGTCCTATTGTGGGACTCCCCAGCAGTGCGCATCCACGATCCCGCTCGCGGGATTCGAACCCAGAGCCTTCAGTCTCGCACGCGAACGCTCAACCTACTGGTCCACTGAGTCGGCATTCAATGGTGTTAGTGTCTACCATCAATCGATCCGCGAAATTGCGCGACCATCTTACATTGTACTGAGGTAGATACCTGTCTCTACCCGACATGGATTAGCTCCACTGGTCATGGCTTCTCACTAGAACTCCGAGAATTCCCTCACGAAGCTAGCCACTAGTGAGCACACATGTTGATTATCAGCATACGGGTTGTGGAGATTATCAAGTTTTTGATTGAGATTCCACATGGCCGAGGAGTCCCAAAATAGGACAAAACGGTCACCCAGTGCTTCCAGGTTTCCAACGGTGGTCTAACATCAATCGGTTCATGATCTCAATAAAAAAAATAATTAGTATTTGTTTACAAATTTCCTTCCACAAGTTTAGGAATTTCATTTATTAAGTCTAGGAAAATTATTTATTTTAGTGATTTTTGACAAACCATTAAATGCTTCAACTGATTGTTTATGAACCATTAACTCAATAAACTAAAATGAAAGAACTGGCAATCGAACTTCATATGCCATGTGCGGTACCACAAATATCTTTAAAAAATATTAGATCGATACTTGATTTGAATACCTGTACCCTAGTTTAAATTGGAGGGTATTGTATTCTTTCAGCTAGTAAGGCACCACAATCAATTTGAATTATCCGGAATGTTATTTACGTATTCTAAGTTAATCAAAGTAACCGTAGTTACAACACACCAGATGTTGTATGTCAACATAACAAGATATAATTTTTTCTTGTGTTTGCTAATTTGATATGAGAAAAACGAAGGAAAAAATATGGTGATGAGTGTTGTTTGATTTTGAGTCATTGATAATGAGTATGAAAACTTAGAGAAAATTCCATCAGTTGAATTTGCTATAACTAATAGTGACACAGCTAAAGGATTTTATTAAAATAAAAGATGAAACAATTGAAATAATGTAATCAGTGGTAGTAGAAAAATAAACAGAGAATATTGAGGGACGAAAATTGTCAAATTATACTAAAACTAAAGGTCAAGGGACAGATAAAAACTTAATCTATCCATACAGTTTCGATATATTTTGAGCCATATCAACCTTAAATTATGATTCCTTTGAGGACTTCAATTGGGTACTTGAACCAATCTATATGTGCTTTAGTATTAAACTGATATCATATCTTTATTTAGTCAGTAGCATATTTAACATCTTATTCCACTGATTTAAATTCAGCAGCTACTTTATTAACTGCACTAATTCTTCATTTTACTCCTTAATCAATTTCTCTTTATACAACAACAGAGCCAATGCAGCTCCAATATCCGGCACAGGTTATACTGTCAAGAATTTACCAAAAGGAAAAGAATTTGAATTTCGTGTCATTCCAGTCAATGCAGCTGGTCAAGGTGAACCAAGTGAACCGACTAAATTTATTAAAGTACAGAAACCCATTAGTAAGTGAAAAAGTTACATCGTAACATAATATTATTTTTATGCCTTAATACATAAATTACCGTGATTAATCGTTAATTGCAATTAAGGTGACCTCAGGAAAAACGATTGGTAGTAATTGATTGACCATGAGGACTACTAGGTGGCATTTAAATGATTAGTTTCACTGTGTCAGTATGCCGATGGCTTGTACCTAAATGTTATATTTAGTCAGTTAATTTGATATATATGTAAAAGTACAAGACATTCACCATGTGTGTTCTTTTTCCTTTTACATAATTTAAAGTCACATATGTTTGATTAGATGATTGCTTTTGAAGTGTTTTTGATAATCTGTCACTTCAAAGAGTTTTCGTACTTTGGAAAATGTAGCACCAGTAAGAATACCGATCACATTAGTAACCAAATTTAATAATTATCAGTATAGGGTTGTGGAGATTGTCGATTTCTTATTGAGATCATTAATCGTAGATGTGCACTGCTTAGGAGTTCCATACTAGGACGAAACAGCCGTATAGTGCTTCAAGGTTTTCAATGGTGGACTGATAATGGTTGATTTATAACCTCAAGAAAATTTATTGTTTAATTTGTTCAAAGGTGATAGCTAGTACATTATGACTGAACTCAGGGTTAAGTTCGAATTCGAATATGTTACTCTATGATTATCGCCCATATATATCTATCTATCAACTAAGATGCTAAAAACGACATCTTATCAGTACTTATCCTGTTAGTATAAATAAAATGGATTCATTAATTTCTATAGTTCATACCGCATGCCTAGTCCGAGCTTCTTCTCCCCAAATATGTATGGCTGGAATAATAAAAAGAGAAAAGTGAATACAAATATCTGGACCTCAAGGATAAATGGAACTAAAAGTTGTGATGTTATATATGAGTTATGGCCGAAGATAACTTAAGATTTCGGTTTTAACCGGGGTCAAACTTACATACTTTGAGTAAATAACAGATAGAAAAAACCTGTAAATTAATTAGTGACTACAGTCACAAAATTTTCAACAAACACCGGGATTTGAAACATGATGTTAACAACCAGCGTTAGCATAGGTAATATTAGGTGCACGGGTTTTTGCTTTTTTTGTTCCTGACGTTCATGGATGCGCTTGAATATTCTTTATTGACTAATAGACTACCTAAAGGGATGTTTCGCGACTCGTTTCATTCACAGTATGCCTATCTTTACAATGTAGATGGGTTTGAAATTCAGTGTATTCACTAAAGATAAGATCTAGGTCCGTGAAGCTGATCACTCCTGAATAAGATAATCAGTGTATCCTGAATTCCGTTCCCAGCCACTATCCAAACATAAGTCAAAGTGGCGAAGTGTGAGTACTAGTCCGTTATTGGGAGACTTATACAGCGTTATAAAAGCTGACTTGATACCAACCTTATGATCCGTATCAGAGAAACGTTTTGGAACAGAGGGAAATATTTACGTGTCCTATGATCTTATCTGACCATTGTAATACATTCATTTATACAGCCACTTAGGTATGTCTTCAACAACCATAACATGCATATCATGAATGCCCCTCCCCACATTTGTGCCCAAATATACGTAGACACGTTGAGATATAACGTACTTGTTTACATGGTGTTTAGGTTTTTGATGAAACGTAACTCATGACTATCTGATAATCATGAGCTGGGCTGTTTAAAACGTCCTGAAAATCGAAAACTTAAATTTTTGTTTCAACGTAAGACTATTTGGATTATCTCTGAATGATAAGATGATATAAGTACTTTTATTGGGTGCGAAATGGGTAGTAGATTCTACTATATTGAGGCTTTTCAGCTCATAGACTTCACTAGCTGACCACTGCTTATCAACGTTTCATTTAAGATATTTAATTCGTTGTCAATAATATCACTAGCACACATATGATTAAACCTACTGAATAAGCCCTTCGCTAACCCTTGTTCGAACCGGATTAGGCAATAACTAGAAAAACTGATATATTCTTCTGTTCATGTAGATTTCCGATGTACCAAGTGTTTGATAGAATCATCATCTTTTTTACTAATTAGTATATCTAAGAAGAGAAGCTGGTTATTCATCTTTTCTTCATATGTCGAACAAGTTTATTTTTGAAGAGTATTGAGTTCATTTCCAAGCGGGTCGCATCCTCACTTTTGTCAGTTATGACCATGATATCATAAAATCGTTTTCCGTATGATTTTTGTTTTCCTACTATCTGCCAATTTGTTTGGTTAACATTTCGTTTTTCGTATATAAATGCCTTAACAAGTAAACGTGTGATGAGACCTGATGTATCAAACAGTTTTTTTAAACTTTGTCTTCTCTTGGTATTATCTCACTTTATCAAAGGGACTAATTTATTCGACCCACATATATTTGTGATTGTGCAGATTTAACATTAAAGTAGTTACAAAGAGATCTGACTACTGAATCAATTTTTTTAAAACTTTATATTCTACTTTCTCAGAGTTTTATTAAGTCAGTAATTTTATTATTACTTAGGGGTACTTAAAAGAATCTATATGAAAAGTGTCAAAAAATAATTACAAATGAAAAGCTTCCACAATAAATTGATACCACAGTATCGTAAATAAGATATATATTGATATATATTATAATCACTTCTGTTTTCCCAAAGATCTTAGCGAAAACAATATACATACATTAAAAAGAGCTGAAATATAGATATATAATTTGTTTCACTTATAAATTACTTCCAACCGATAAGAAATAAGCCAACTGTTGTTTTAATAAATCATTGATATAATGGAGCCTATAACTAAATTTCGACAGAACCAAAACAAAAAATTTGTGATCCTTGCTTTTCAATGATTTCTAAAATATTGTCAGTTCATGAAGAAATTTACCTTCGAACTGAAGAAATCACTAAACACCTTTTTACATTCTCTTATCATTACTTATTTTGAGATTAAATTTGATTGTGAAATAATTGTTTCTACTGGCATTTTTATCCTTTTCTGTTGCTTACAGCTATTCCAAAGATAACTGTTGATGCACCAAAAGAAATAAATGCTCGCCTAGGTGAACCATTTAAAATTCGAATTCCATTTACTGGTGGACCACCAGAAGAAGTCGAGTTGATAAAAGTAAGAGGGAAAGGAGGTTGAGTACTCATAATATTATTTCATCTTTTATTATTAAGTTGTATTTATTTGTCAGTTTTTCAGGTGAATTAGGTTATTATAGAAACATTCAAAAAAAGAATTTAACTGAACTGCTAGTTTTGGCTTCACAATGATCGGACAATTCATTTAACTTCAGTTATTCTGCTTATGTCTAAGAATTTTTGACTAAATTAGTCAAGACATTATGTGAAATGATATGTATTTGTTGGAAAGCTAAGTCAAGTTTGTCATTAACTAGATGGATTTTATTAGATATAAATAATATTAAATTAGAGTGAAGACAATATTGCTTTGAATACTCAATTCTAAACTGTGCACTTAGTAGCACACACACATATATTCTTGGTATATCTCTTTTGGTTTTATAAATGTATTAGGATATTTTTCGAATAGTTTGTTTTCACTATACGTCATTTTCGCCTTTAAATCTATCCAAAAATAGTTACTTAATTTTAAAGATATCAATGTTAAGTGTGCATGAGCGCTAGTTTACGCCGACTTTTAGCACAGAAATATGGATTGGGTTAAATGACGACACTGGTCACTTCACTTATTTTAGCTGTTACAATAAGACGATGAATTTATGGACAACATAATACCGAGATTGATATGGTAGGTGCCTTGAATATATTGTACTTTAGACTTTGGTTATATGAATGTTTAATAAAAGATAGTTATGCATAACAGAAGTGCTATTCGACATATGAAGGTGGAAGAAATGAAAATTTCTATTTAACTGTCCATTAAGATAAACATTTCTTGCATTTTCAGGTACTACACATTGAGAAACTTCGAGTTATATGCTTTAAGCGAGGAGTTTAAGTCATTCAGTATAAATGTGAATCTAGTCTGACTGAATTATTTGAAACATATTTAACACCCAGTGTAAGCGTATATCTCGAAATGTAATGCTGGTTGTAGTCGAAATAAGTTGGCAAAGCTTGACTGGGTTCATACCAAAAGCTATTGCTATTCCATGTTTCCATTGATTTAAGTTTAATCTGTCCACGATATTGATAGTTTCATGGATGAAATTTTCGAAATTTGAAGTAATAGTAGCTCAGGATACTCAATCTAGTGGAATATTGGTCACACTGATTCAAATGTAATTGTTTTTGATTTTCATTCAGACCTTCATATTATCATTTCATATTTCTTATTCTTTCCGAGTTTATTTCAATGACCTTATACTTTTCGCAAGAGAATGTGATTAGACTAAATTTCATCACTGTTCAGGGAAAACCAAATATTTGGTCCTTTGTCTAAGTTAATTTGAACTGTATATACTTGGGGTCAGGACTACCTATAAGGTATCCCTTCATATAAAGTACTATTAGTTAAATAATCTCAATGATAATCGTAGAACTATTTCAGCTCAACAGCAACTAACCATTCCAACGTTTTATTGATTTTTTTAAATAGCCAGTATCTTTTATGTTATTAATCAGCCACAACGTAGAGCCTGTACGTACGTACATCACTTTTATGCTATTGAAATACTAAAATTTATTCTAAATGCTCAAGTTTTCCAAACTACTGAAAACTCGTATGACTATTATTATTATTTCCTTTTCTTTTTCTTAAAATAACAGGATGGCAAGCCTGTCCCATTAGATACAAATCGTTTTAAACTTGAAGTGACACCAAATGAAGTTATTATCACAGATACAAAAGCGGAAAAAGAAGATGCTGGACAGTATAAAGTTGCTTTGAAAAATGAAAAAGGTGAAGCCAGTCATCCACTCACCGTGAAAGTACTAAGTCCACCTGATACTCCTGAAGGTCCTTTGGAAGTTAGTGATATCAAAGGTGATTCGTGTAAATTAACATGGAATCCTCCAAAGGTCAGTTATAAGTAATATGTAATTCGATACAAATGAAACGAATTAAATCCTCATAGAAAATAGATGCAATTAGGCAAAAAAACTAGTTTGGTTTGTATTTAAAGCGAAATTTGAATAGTGTAATAAAAATTCACTTTATAAAAATCCTGAGCATTGTACTACTCGATAAAAACCTCCTTCCCAAACGTTTTTGGACACAACGTGGGACACATACGGTAAACTTTACAGTTATCCGACAAACCTCTATTTAAATGTTGTAATTTTTCACTAATATATTACTATACGTTATGGATTGTAATATCTACCTAACAGTTACCAGCTACGTTGACAATAAGAGCGACGATTGATCCAAGGATACTCACATCAAGGTTTAAGTGTAAATACGAAACATCATATTTTTTAACCCCGATTTTTGTTTATAAATCGCTTTATCCTGTGACTAGGTACCTTGTTGTTGTTTTTGACTAGTAATCGTACCAAATTTTATCGATCCCAAAAGCAGTATCACCTTTATAAAAGTTGAGATCGAGATTTTCTCAATTCTCATTTGAATGAGGATAAATGTGATTTAAAAGTAATTAGGTGCTCTTTTCATTGACATTAATATCAAATCAATATTCAATTATATGTATTCTCGTAAAAAAACATTACTTGAAAAATCATTAAAAATCAGGGAGGGCTAATCCTAATTTAGCACTCATCTATTATTTGCTCAACTGGTCTCACAATGGATCAAACTCATTAACTTCAGATTCCAAAGAAGGCAACATCCCCATAGAAGACTGAGTGAGTAACCGATATACTTTATACCACTTACTTCAGCCAAACCATGTGACTATCAAACATTGATGACAATATCTAACTCTTGAATTCCAATTCAATTAATTCCCACAAACCGCCACACTAAACACTTATAATGTGTACACTCGAGGTTAACTTTAGGGTGAGATTCCAACGTCTTTATGCGAAATCCTGACTAGTGAATTCCAATTTTATCAGCCACAAGAAAGTTATCCACCAGGAGATCGGATGTTAATCACCTCATGTAGAGAGTCGTTAAAAGTATGAACTATAAACCATTTGACTTCAACCCAGTGGTTTATAGGTATCTATCTCTCTAAAACACATAAGGGTCACGTTTTCTATATTGTGTGGAGTCACAAATGTCTATTGCTAGGGAATACCAAGTTGGTACTAAATGGCTGTTGGTTGTCCTATGGTCTATAAGGTTTTTTAGTCAATATGAATTTACGACGATAAATATTTTCAAATTCAACTAATCTTTGCGAGACACCCAACCAAAAAACAATAAGTAACGTCGGTGACTGTCAGGTATCTGGACTAGTTGCTTAGATAAAACACTGTCCACTCAATCCATTGCCTCCAAATAGCATTTGCAAGCTCACCAATCCATGTAGGTAAATTTTTACGTTCATCTCTCTCAAATCCTGATGCTCAGTTATGAACTCATTTTTTTTAGTTATATTGAAACGTGTATATTAGGTTAATCACTTAAGCACTAAGGTAGCATACACAACCTATGTACGTATGATTGTCCCATATCTATTGTGCATGTAAAGTTACGAAATGAAATTAAGAACGACATTTCAATCTGTGAAGACTTAACTAAAAAAATATTACCTTGTGGAATTGGGAAATAATCATATTCCACCTTGGCACAAATCAGCGATTAGTTTAGTTCCACCTTTTTTAGAGCTCCTACTGTGGAAAAGTGTCTATCTTAAACTTAAACAGCTGATGCTTTGTTACCCTGTGGTGTTTCATTGCATACGTTAATAAGCAATCTATTGGTTTATTTGTTGCCTTGAAATCCCAAGTCCAAGTGACAGACAATGAGCTTTATTCATTCCAAAGCACTTGAAATATGTGGTCAATTTGACGTAATTTGATATTTCAGAATAATGGAGGCAGTCCGATAACAAATTATATTGTGGAGAAACTGGAACCGAGAACTGGAGAATGGTTGCCTGTTAGTAAATTTGTCCGAACTCCAGAATATGAAGTTACTGGTTTAGAACCAGGAAACAATTACAGATTTCGTGTACGAGCTGAAAATGAACTTGGAACAAGTGAACCTTTAGAAACAAGCCGTTCAATACTGGCTGAAGAACCAAGTAGTAAGTTACATATGTGGGTCTTCATTTATCACTCGATTCGTAATTGATTCTTAAATCTAGTGTGTTCAATACAGGACTACTAGACAATTTTTATAACATATCAATACTCTTTGTTATCATAGCAGAGAATAACAGAAATCATTCAACTGAAAAAGTGTATACTTTTTTCTTTATTTAGCTGTACCAGATGCGCCAAATAATTTGACCGTGGCTGATGTAGATGCTAATAAAGTTACACTGGAATGGTCTAAGCCGCGTAATGATGGTGGTAAACGCGTAAACGGTTATGTAGTTGAATATAAACCACTCAATTCAACAGAATGGGAACAAGCTGCTATTGTAAAAGATTTAACTGCCACTGGTAAGTTTCTGAGGCTACCATCCAGTAATTTAAAACATATTAACTACCTAAGTATTAACTAAATATGCCAAGTGTTTCAAATTGCTGCATCATAAATATCTTCCGGGACAAACAGTGTGACTGAGAATGAGCTCAAAAATATAAATGTCTTTATTTGTTTTATGCAAACAAATCATATTCGTTTTATATATGAACTAGAAAGTTACACAAAACTGACGTTTAGTAGGATGATTTGGCTGCCATTGGTTAGCCCAGACAAATGTCATAATAACAGCCTCCAAAAGAATGTTGAATGTACATAGTTTTATGAAGTGTTTAGAACGGTTAATCTTGTATAATACATAGCCTCCTAGCCAACCCTATAAATCAAAACATATTTGGATTATTCACACGACATCTTCTAGATGTCTCTCAGCTCCCACAATATATTTCTGTCAGTCGGCTTAAACCCCATGGATCTCATTTTCAATTTCAATGATCCCACAACATAGAGTGGCAATCATGTAACACCATGGATGCTGACTGTCGTATTACCTATATGGTTAGACTCTACCAGCATGAAGATGCAGTATGACCACTGTCTACCATTACGTGATTTTCATAAGAATGCTTTGAAAGTAAATAATTTGGAATGACAATCATATAGATTCGGTATAATCACTTATATGAATCAGAGTATGTTGGAGTCAGTGAGCTGATTTATCAAAAGTACACTATTAAACTGAATATTGCAAATTCATTTTTTCCTAAGCAAACCGACTTCACTCTCATAGTAATTAGCATAGCAATTTAAAACAGGTTATCTCTTTGATAAATTTAGATAATGCAATAAGAAGACGAAGATTATCAGAAAAGAGTTATATATTTGAGCGTTTATTTCCAAACAATCTGATCACACATTTACTTGTTAAGACATTTATATATGAAAAATAATGGTCAACTAGACAAATTGAGTAAAACAATGTGTACTTTATATTTCAAATGGCTTATGATGTAAACGTGTAATCAGATTGTTCGAAATGTATTGCGCTAACATATCACAGCAAAATAATTCGACAAACGAATCTTTTCAAAGGAGATCATTTTGAAAGCCATATATGCATTAAATTATAAGCATGTAACCAAGCTGACTGATTATTGATGGTATTCGTCAAGTATTGACGTCATTTGGTGTACCATCGAATGTCAGGGGACATTTAACAATTATGGGTATTCATGACCTCTCACAAGAAGGTAGGATAAAAGAAGAGTAAACTTGAGTGGCGATGTAAGGTAGTGAACATACTTGTGTTGTAGCTAGATTACTTTTTGTAGGAAATTACTTTTCATTTATGTTACTTAATTTTAAAAGATTTTTGATAATAATTTCTTTTTGTTTCAAATATTTTAAAAGTCGATGGGTTGAAAAAGGGTGAAAAATATATGTTCCGTGTTTCTGCTAGAAATGAAGTAGGTGTGAGTCAACCATGCTCAACCAATCGTGCAGTGGAATGTAAACCGAAACATAGTAAGTAAATTTATGAAATTCGTAAACTATTACTAATGCATATATATATATATATATATATATATATATATATAGGGACGGCTTCCGAAAATTACGACGGAGCCTCCAAAGGCCTTCAAGGAGCTGAAGAGTTTCTATCAAATCAGAATGTAATGGAGGTTTCTAGAATATCAACATGGCATGCCACGATTGAACAGTAGCATAATTTTACTCTTTGAGGACTGGCTGAGTTATAATGATGTTATAACAAATGCTAATATCTATAAAAACCCGTGATTTTCTCTACATTTTGATTCTTACCCAACAAACACTTCTTCAGCTTTCTTCTGATTTTGCGACTGTGGGGTTCTATATGTTAACTTATTATTTTTATGTTCATAGTAGACAAAAACAAATTAAAATTTCTTCATCCATCTCAATACTTAAAAAAATCGTGGAATATCTCATTGACATCACAACTAATTTGTTGGTTTATTAGACTCTTCCGTTTTCATCATATAAAACTATGAAGCAGTCATAGCTTTCCGACAGATTTATAAAACCTAAAGTAAACATATTCCATCAGTACAGAACACTTCATGGACATTGAAAGCCATTCAACCTCTGCTTGATAATTACAACAATAATCTCTCTGTAAATATTATGATTGATCACAAAATATAGAAATAGTATTGTAGTGAACGAACACTCAGGCGGGAAAGACCGAAATTACAGAGTTCTTTTGTAAAATATGTAAATCATTTATTGAATACATCTTTGCACATCCTCCATAAGTTGTTTCTTACAATCCTCATCGTTACTTCATTTCTGTTGTTATCTTGATTACTTTTGTTTTCTTCTCTCCATTTCAATCTTCTGCTGGCATGCATTCCGCTTCCGAATGGTGCTACATACCACTTATGTCTATCAACATAAGTAGCATATACCACAGCACCACTAGTTTGTAAATTTTTAGGTTTGTGATGACAATTGATTAATTTCTATAAATTTTTGTACAACTTTTTATCTACTGATGTGTAAAATTTCAATTCCACTCAATTTTAACAGCTACAGCCGATAGCCCAGGACGACCAAATGTAGATGATATAGGAAAGAATTCAATCGATTTATCCTGGTCACGTCCAGCTAAAGATGGTGGTGCTAAGGTGACAGGGTATATTGTCGAAAAACGGAAAAAGAATTCACCAGATTGGGAACCTGCTGTATCAGGAAATACACCTGTTACTGGTACACAAGCACACATCGATGATTTAGATGAGAATGGTGAATATGAATTCCGTATCAAACCAGTAAATGCAGCTGGAGTTGGTGAACCAAGTGAACCTACTCCGATGACTAAAATTAGACCAAAAAGAGGTAACAATTATTTTCATGTCTTCTTTAATTTTAGCACTTATAGTTGTAGAAGTAACTGTTCTATTTAAAATTTAGTGATGATAAATAATTAATGTTTACGAGTTATAAGTAAGGTTAAATAAAATAATCTAGATTATATATGATATGACGGATGTTTTAAAATATAGTTCTATCTCTCAAGTATACTTCGATAATAAGACTAGTCAAGTTATTATCAGATCCAGGGTTCACGACCCAGAATAGAGAATCAGATTAATCGCTAGATAATATTTTATTCAACGCAATTAATAGCATTCATACACACTAAGTTCGAAGTAGAAATCAATAACAGGAAATCACATATTTAATAGTCAGTAGGCTAAGTGCCTGCTTGTCGACACTCAGTGACCATTTATATATCACTTTCACTATCACATATCAATATAGAAGTATTGTTTCAGATGCGTATTATGTAAACTTATGTTTATATTTGGTTCTCTCTTGTTCTACGTTATGAGTTACATGTTCTCATTATTGAACAAGCTAACTGGACAGTTGATGAAGTCTGAAAAAAATCGAATGTTTGGACTAAACATTTTTGAGACTCATTAAATGACTATCAATGGCTGTAAATAAATGGCAGGTTTTTATCTCAAGTCATACTATAACTGGCATTCTGTAGACGGTATAAATGTTTTAAGATTTCTTATTACCGTTTAAGTGGGCAATTAAGAATGTAGACATAAGCTTGATTATTATAAAAATTACTTTCAACTGTCAAACAGTTATCGTAGTGCTATAAAACTATTGAGTTTAGTAGTAGACTTATATTGATTCAGTATCCTTTGTATTCTTTTATTTTTGAAACATTTACAGTGTAATCATCAAAACTATCTGAAGACAAATGATATTAAGATGGTTTTCAATAACAACCTGATAAATTGAACAGTTGAATATTATATGATCAGATAATTATTTATTTCCCTTGACTTACGGATATCATTTAAGTAGACTAGATCTTCAAATGTGTTCTAGTAAAGAAGGTCATTAGCTCATGGCACCTTCTATACAATGAACTCATATTTGAAGTATATTTTAGTCAAGATTTCTAAATTACCTATAGAGAAAAATGTATCTGTTTATGAAATGTTGACTGCATTCAGAATGATTAAATTTATTCATTTATAGCAACCAATTAAACTAGTCAATGGATTAGTTTTTCAAATTGATGAAGAAGAATTTAGGTGCTTGCGTTCATATTCTCGTTTAGTCACACGTATATTTGTTCATTTAATCAGTTTTCATCTCGTAGTTAGAAAATGTATGATACTTTTTCTAAGATCTATTGTAGTTAGATTTAAACTGTCACTGATGATTTTGTAATGTTGGCTTCTATAGTCTTATTACAATAACAACTATGAATTGAATTTTACTAACAGCATTAATGTATATATCTATTTTTTACTTACTTTTTTCTTATTTGTCACATCAAGATAAACCAAATCCACCTGAAGACGTTGAAGTCACTGATCTTTCAGCAGATAGCTGTAAACTAAGCTGGAAACCTCCGGCTAAAGATGGAGGCGCTCCGATTACTGGTAAAACTATTTTATGCAATGTGTTATGCGTCACTTTATTGAAGATAATTTTTTATATAGATGATTCTTAGCAGAAACATATACGAACACTACTGGGTCCTACCTCAATTTTAGTAGCGTAGCTGTACCACACTCTTTATTAATCTGCCGCTTCCAGATCTCATTTTGGAGAATTCAGAACTAAAGTTAATTAGTAATTAATTATTCCTTGAAATGGTTGTACTGAAACCCTTTGAACCAAATTAGTGTGAATAATTACAAAGATTTTGGTTATTTATTTATCAATATAAAAAAAGATATTCCTCACCCAGAATTTGTTGCTACCCCAAACTTTTCGCTTATTTCAAGATAGTAATCGATATCTAAAACGGAAATCGCTAGCGTCCAATGTTTCATGGACGCAAATATCGTCGTACGGATCATATATACAACATGGAAAAGTGTTTTCAATGAACATAAGGTTATACACCAAATTTAAATTAAATCACTGCAGTTTGCAATCTCACTTTATCAAGGTGCACAGATTTTCATTAGTTCTAATCAAATATTATTTCAGTTATTGTAATGTGTAATACTATGAGTTGTAATTTATATATGAGGTTGCTGAATTTCATACATAAAAACACTTGTTCACAATGTAAGTTAACTCAAAATGGCAAAACATATAAGTCCAAACTTTCTCAAGTTCCAAAACTTATCCTAAGTCAACAAAACATAGAGTTCAGTCAATAATGCATATTTGTAGAGCTTCTTCAGTCTATTTTACGCTTTCAGGTCTATTGGTTTCATCAAAAGACAGTGATGAAATCTCTCATCGTCAAAACACGATAATACTGTCAATAAAACGCTTTGAAAGCTTCATGATTTTATAAAGGTTGATCATTGAGCCGTGACATTTTGTAACTATATTCCTGGGTAGATTCTTACTAGACGGCTTGTGTGTATTCAGTGTCGAGAAATGAGGGCTGTTAATTTTCGCAAGTTGCATAAACAAAAGATTGAGTTTGATTTCAAACCATACCTCTTAAGATTCTACCATAAAATTACCATGTCTCCCTGAAATAGTGTCACAAGCCTTCTCGCTGAGAGCGTGGATCAAGATTTACTACTGTAATATGTACATGGCTATTCAGCTAAATTTACGACTTGATCACAACAGTAAGATTATGAGGGATATGCAGATTTCATTTTCTTTGAGATTTAACGTTCATGAATGCGCAACTAAAAATGACTTTTACTCTACCTATTGAAGAGTGACTTTTAGTTGGAATGGTGTTATAGAACGGTAAATAAGTATCATCATTATCACCATCTTGATAAAAAAAATTGCCTCTTGCAGAAAGATAAATTCATGTAAGACTAATCTACTCTTTCAAAACTATTTCGTCATTTTACAATGAAATTTTACTTTACTTATTAAATGCATGTTCGGCAACATTGTAAACTTCTCATTCAAGTAGTTATGCATTCTTTTAGCAAAAAGTAACCTGATGAAAAAAGTTATTCTAATTACCGATAAATTTATTTCTTATTTATAGATTATATCGTTGAAAAATGTGACGCAACAACTGGAATCTGGGAGAAAGTTCCTGCTTTAATTGTGGGAACATCATGTCCTATTAAAGGTTTAGTTGAAGGGAAACGTTACCGCTTTCGAGTATCAGCTGTTAATCCATTAGGTCAAAGTGAACCTACTGAATTATTAAATGCTGTAACGGCTAAAAATCCTTTCGGTAAGATCATTTTTATTTTTAAGAATGTTTAATCCATTATGTTTTTTCATAAACAGATGCACCAGATTCACCTGATAATTTAAATATGGATTCATTTGATAAACATTCTGTGGATCTCTCATGGACTCCACCAAAACATGACGGTGGAAATCCTATTAAAGGTAGGTAGTGTGTGTGTTCACTGAAATAATAAGTATATTATGAGATTATTATAAAGTTAATTGTCCTTACGAAGTTATGAAAGTGAATGTTATTATATTGACTGTATTGTGTCATATTAACAATAATAATCTGAACCCAAGGTTTTTATCACCCCAAATAGGATATCTTATTGAAAAGCGTACACCTAAAGGTGAATGGAAACAAGCAACAAATGGATTGGTAACAAATCCTTCAGCTCATTTAACAGGTCTTGAACCAGGTGAAACTTACGAATTCCGTGTAAGTGCCGTGAATGACGCTGGTCCAGGGCGCCCATCAAGGGCCACAGCACCTCATGTTATGAAAGATCCAAGTTGTAAGTCCCTTTTTGAACTATTCGCCACTTTTTTTTTCACAAATCTAAACTTCAGTATAAAACCACTCTGTAATTTCTAATCTGCGTTACGTTGAATGTGAAATTGTATATCCTTAAAATAAATTTCTACACATACTATTTATTTAAGTATTTAAAAACAAAGAGCATTACAGCTAACTATCGTCTTGAAGAAACTGTACATTTACAAATCCATAGTTATTATCTTTGTATTACAATCGACAAAATATTAAAGTTGGATTAATTCGTATTAGAAAAAATATAATGGCAAACTTCTTGTCGATTGAGTTTAAATTAATTCAAATTACTAACAAGATAACATAACATCATTGATAGTATTGAGAAAAAGGTCATACGTAATGGGTAAATAATGACAAATTGTGAGGTCATAAGTTGAAAGCTTATGTAAAACAAGCCAATGAAAAAAATAGGAATTTGTGTTCCAGTTGTTATGATAAATAACAATAATAAGGATATTAGGGAAAATTAGTAACAGGCGTATCATTCTGAATAAGAAAGATGAATGTGTAATTATGGATAAGAAAAGTGCATGGTAAGGGAGTAGAAATCATGAAGAATAAAAAAACACAATGAGAACTAAGGATAAAATGATCCTAATGTGTGCCAAGGTAAATGGAAAAGGTGTATAATTCATTTTTGTGTTAGTTGTTTGGATTTTCTCATTGATTTTTAGGACTATGATTGATCAGTCTCTTATTGGTAAATGTGCATTCTGTGGGGATTGTCTTGATTTACAAGTATTATAAGCAGAGATGGATAGTGGACTTAATAGCTAAGGGAATAACGCTATGGCGTTCGGAACGAACGGTAATGAATTCAAGTGTAGAGTGAATATTGTAGTAGCTGTGCTTCGATAACTAATCACCCTCGAACCGTTATCGTATAATCTTCAACGATGTTTGAAATCAGAAGGCGAAAAGAAGCAGCTATTACAGTTTATTTAGCAGATAATTCGGACCAGACAACAGAGAGGCAAAATGAATGAGCAAGTGAACTACGATTGTAGCAGTAGTAGTAGTTGTAGTGAATGGGTGCAAATGTACACATATATATATGTATAGGAAAATGGATGAGTCAGCGAATAGATTAAGCAGTTAATAATGAAGCTAGCAGAATGAATACATGCGTAGGCGCTAAACAATGTTCAAGCATATGTATTTCATACAAGCACATTAATAATAACAGTACAACAAGTTGTTATATCATGGATGACTTTGTCCATTAAATAAGTCAACAAAAGACCTTGACTGAACCAAACTCGATTGCACGTGAGTCGCTATAATATCACCTCTGGGATGCAGGAACATTCAACTGATGAGTCCAAAACGAGACGAAAGGCGCCTCCTGCTTTCCATTGCTAACTATCATTCATCTCTGATTAGGAAGGGTATATGTATACTTTTCGTATATATAATTTGGGTCTCCTTGAACTGATATCTATTGTTTCAGCCATGTAGAGTAAGCGTAATCTCGCATCTTTTGGTAAATTATTATGAGAATGGTATATATATATCCGAGAAAGCACGTTCAAATTTAATATTATATTTGTAGTCAGTTAAATGGAAATGAATGGTACTGTTTTACTCAAAAACACAAAATTAGAAGAATTAATCAAACAATTAATTTCTCAATCATATTTACTACTAATTTAACAGATCCTGCTGCAGCACCAGAGTCATTAAATGTGGATAAAGTTAATAAAAATGGTGTAAAATTATCATGGCAAAAACCACGTAAAGATGGTGGTAGTAAAATCACTGGATATCAAGTAGAAAAGAAAGATGAAAATGGTAATTGGGTACCTGTGAAACAGACTACAGAACCATGTGCATTCATCCCAATGAAGGAGGGTGAGACTGCACAATTTCGTGTACGTGCAGTGAACGATGAGGGTCCAGGTGAACCGACTCGACCTACTGCACCTGTGACAGCTGTTGATCAACCAGAAGCACCGAGAATATGTACCCCTGATGATTGTGTTGGTGGTTTAGGCAGTGGAGTTGGTGGTTTGAAAGATATTAATATAAAGGTAAGTAGTCTAATAAAATTTTTAAATGCTTCTATTTATATATCATAACACAAACTAAGCTCATTTGTTGTACACGGTTGAATAATTGTATTTATACTATTAATTACAAATTATCTCAAACTAATATAGAAGTATGAAACAAATTGTGATTAACGATAATATTATCAAATAATAATGTTTGTTTATTTCAGGCTGGACAGGAATTAAAATTACCAGTGGCTTGGTTTGGTCATCCAAAGCCTACATTTAATTGGACATTAAATGGTGAACCAGTGAAGATTGATGGAGTTCATGTTACCCAAAAAGACGAGCCTTTACCACCTCCCTCTCATCCTGGACCTGGAGGACATTTGGAACTTTCACCTGGTGGCGTTGTCGTACTCGTTATTCCTAAAGTGAAACGGTCTGATCATGGAAGATATCAACTGACAGTAATGAATGATTTGGGTCAAGCAAGTACTTCATGTCAGGTAGAGGTTATGGGTGAGTTAAATAACAATTGGTGCCTGATTTCAGTCATACTTTTACAACGCCCGATGGTATACATATATATTATAATTCAATAATATTCTAACTTAAAATCATTAAAAGGATAGTGACTATTTTTTGTAACACTATTTTATTAGGTATTTTCGTGCATGATTTTTTGAATGATTTGCAAAATAAAAGGAAGAACAGGAGTATACGGTGACAGAAATCATATCGATAATTTAGAATGAACAGTTTATTAAAACCCCGTGTAATACATTGCGAAACGATTGGTTAGCCTTTTTCTAACCAATTTTATTAATTGATTTGCAAGTGGGTACTAAACAAACATTTTTAAAAAATTCGGATAAATCTCATTTATCAAAAGTCAAACTGAATTAACAATATTATTTACCTTTACCAGTAAATAGCTCTCATACAAACTTAATACGAGTTAAACAACTTCTGAAAAGAAGGAAACACTGGACATTTGTGCTATTCTTGTATTGATCTTTTAAGGTGTCAGTACTAATAACTTCATATGGGATCATGCCCAGGATTTGTCCAGATTTGTCCATGAACAGACAAAAAATCCTCACTAATTCATTGAATAATTTACCAGCTAGTAGATTTAGTATAGTTATCACCATAATAGATGTTACGATGACAGATACTCTAAACAACCCGTCTTTTGCTTGACCGAATACTGGTGAGTTAAATCGATAAAGGATAGATCAATTTTATCTATGATGGGAGACATTTTAATTCTATCCCGATCGTTACCATTTATTTTCGAACTATTACAGGTGTTATAATCTAAAATTTCTTGATGTTTCTTTACGTAGATCTGAATGAATCTCCAATAAATTTTTCGAAAAGATATTAAATACGTACACTTAACAATCATTATATTTTTTTCTGGCATTTGAATTTACTTTTTGCCTAAAAAGGAAATGAAAGCCATAGGAAACAATAATAATTAACACTACTGCATAATATTTGACATAAATGTATCTATGTTGAATATTTTATCCCGGAAGGTTCTTAGTAGAATATGTCACTGTGTAACAAAATTATCAAGTTAAATTTGTATTGTACACTTCAAGTTCTTATTGTCTCGCAAGTAGCATCACTAGGTCCGTGAAAAGGTCTTTCAGTTCAGCTCATAACTTCGAATACAAGTGGTGAATGATGACGGTTATTCAGTTGCAAGTGATTATTTCTGTTAGCACACTTTATCTGTTTAGAGCAGACTTTTCTAAATCTTCCAGTTATTAGTTGGCAGCTGATTTTACCACAAAATAATGTGATCTAGAGGCCTGCAGGTCTTTTATTTCAAAGATTCTTAAATCAAAATAACACATTTGTAATTTTTTGTCCTGTAATTTCAATGGTTTGTTAGCTAGTGTTAATTCATAATGTGAAATTAGCCTACATATATAGAAAATTACCCACAAACTACATTATATCATATTTCGAAATTTGATTCGTTTTTATTTTCATTCTAAGATGCTCCATCTGCACCTGGAGGACCTCTTGAAGCAACTGATATCAGTGCAAATGAAATAACCTTGAGCTGGAAGCCTCCTACAGATGATGGTGGACAGCCTATTACTAATTACAGACTTGAGAAACGTCCGAAAGGTTCAGATAGGTCAGTCACTTTTTCACTTTTTAAATCATTTCTGTCATATTGTTCATTCTATTATAGTCAGATATTTATTTTTTTAAATCACGCTTTACTGTTTCCTTGAATGTAGTTGGCAGACAGTTAGTGGATTTTTAAAATCACCGAATGCAACAGTCAGAAATCTTGAAGAAGGTACAGAATATGAATTTAGAGTTATGGCTGAAAATCCATTAGGACTTAGTGAACCACTCATGACAAGTTCACCAATAAAAGCAAGGCATCCATTTGGTAAGTTCGTCATACATGTAATTCTTTTAAAATTGAACAAATAGCTTTTAATTTTCTCTAAAAATTAACTGGAAATAACAACTATGAGACTCAATTACATAATTTAGTGAAGCTAGTGTTAACAATTTTTCTACATATCAGGGAAAATTTTTTTAAAATTTTACTCGTAATATCCATTGAATAGTCGTTCTAAAAGAGTAATACATGGAAAAAAAAGCATTCAATATGGACACGTAAATTGATTCATTTGCGAATTTTTCTGCGCTTCTATGAATGTGCACATGATTAAAAAGTTACATGAGTCAGATGTTTTTTAGCACAACCTTGAATTACCGGTGAACTAAGCCATGTTGGTAGGTGTAGACGACCTGATTGGGATCAGCGAGGCGAAAGCAACCGATGGTTAGAGACTCTGAATGACATGGCTCAAAATCGTTTGCAATGGCGCAGGTGCATCCATTCTTTCTGTTCTCCCTAATTCTAATCTTCTGAATTCTTCCTTTCCCCTTTTTTCTCTTCCCAAATTTATTTCACTGGGTCATACTTCTTAAATAACATCTTCAAAACATAATCTTTCCGACTACTGCTTATACTCTTACTACCTCTACCACTACGGGATTTGAATCGACAACTGCATCTCTGTTGTAGTGTGGTACGACAACTCGAACGGATGTACGTACGTACGAAGTTCTACGTTATTGATGACTGACTGAGATCATGCATGACTTTTGAATATATGTTCCAAAAATATTATCATTACTAGTTTTTATTCAATCAAACGTTTACATGTAACAATATTCGTAGTTTACTTCTGTGGATCTCGAAAAAATTCAATAAATTAGTATACTCGTTTAATCTTTCAGTTTGAAAAACTACTGTCACACTTGTAAGACAATATTTTGCATAACTGTACTTTGATTTATCTCAGCAAATGGATGAGACGTTCATTACATTCACATTTATTGAAATACCGAAAGTTGTCATTAACATAAACTGAAGTTTAATACTAGGGCAACTTTACTATTACTGATATTTAACTATTTAAATGAATACAATTTAAACAACTGAATTGTTGCTTCTAGTGAAATTGATTTGTTAGGTATTTTAAGATAGTGTATTAGTCATTTCTTTACTCTTTGAAATAGCTTGGAAAAATTGAATTGAAGAGGAAATAAAGATACATTAACTTACTGGCTAAAGTCTTAAATAAGACAACATCTAACCAAGGGATGTCTTTTTTATATCTGTTCATATTTTCATTAGCCATATACATTATTCTCTGTGTTCTAGATCCACCTTCTGGAATGTCACAGCCAACAGTTGAGAATGTTACAGATGATTCAGTGACATTATCGTGGGAGCCACCTAGAAAAGGTCCAATTACTGGTTATACAATAGAAAAGCGTGGAAAAGGAGATCGTGCTTGGACTAAGTGAGTTTATTATTGAAGTAGTCAAAAATAATAGTATATAGTTTGTCACCTTATTGTCTAAGCTTGTCTAAGCTTTTTTGTTGCTTTAGACATTATTTTATCATCGAGTGTCACACAACATTTTCATTCAACTACTGAACATGCTTCAAGTTAGGTCAGAAGTTTTATTATTCACAACACTACTTCCGTTTCTGTATTAAATATACATGAGGAGAGAATGTGCAATCTACTACTTTAAAGCAAAACTTAGACGGATCGGCATGTCTTTTTTATTGAAATAACATCAGTTATTTACTAAAAACATATTCTTGATGAACTGAAAAGTTAACCTTTTAACTAGCTCATATTATTCTCAAAATCATACTGCATCATCCTTTATAAATCTACAGTGAGAAAACAATTCACTGGCGTAGATGTTACACTAGAGCATTTTTAGGGGATTTTAGCCAAGATTGGTTGAATGAATAATAGAAATTTTAAAATGATAAAAAGTTTTATTCACCTTACACCGAAACGTTTCACACATCCATTCTTAATATATTTGATTATTGGATAAAAGATAATTATTAATCAAAACACATTAGCAAAGGTAGTTCTGGAGGTTATTATTTTGAAGACTTAGTCACGGACGACTACGAAATTAAAATCTATTTTGAGGATAAACCACTAAGTGCTAATCAGCTACCTTGTTTTCGCATATGATTGTTTAATAGTGTGACCACTGGTTTATGAAAAGATCTGAAATTAAGATCGTTAGATCTGAGGACTTACACCTTGTCATACATCTATCAGGTCGGAGTTCTTTCAGTTGTTATTTTTGTTTATTATTTGTGTAAAATTTGACATCTAGTACTGTCAATGAATAATTATCTTCATTACATACGCTATCGACTTAACAGTCATAGTTTCCCTTCTCATGTTATCACTGACTAGGAAATCATATATGGAACAGGAAAGTAAGAAGTAGTTGTTCCATAATTCAAATATCCCCACTATCAATAGTAATCGTAAACCGACATTTCCAGTTCATTAGCATGTGTAGAGTGACAAAGTTTGAGAACTGCAGGACAAAGATGTGATTCCTTAAAAACTTCTTAACTCTGTATGTAAACGCACAAATTATCATTGATTTTGAACTCCCTATTTTAACATTTATGTATTTCTTTGAAAATTAAACATTACCTAGGGTAAATGTACATCCATTGTCAACAAATGAATATACCATAAGAGGTTTACCACAGAGTAAAGAATTCGAATTTCGAGTTGTTCCATTCAATGCTGCTGGTGCAGGTGAACCTAGTGAACCGACAGGTTACGTTAAAATTCAAAAGCCCAAAGGTAAATACATAAAAATTAAAGTTAATATGAATATGCTTTACATTTACAATATTTAAAACATTTTTGAAAACTCATATTAAGATCAGCATAAGGTATTACTCATGTTAAGATTAAGAATACATTAGATCACTCATTTCTGAAATATTTTTGCTGTACCAAAGACAGTGCTTTACAAGTGTTCAATCCATTTAGGTTCTTCCAGTACTACAGTTATTTACTTCGAATCCCGACTTATTTACAGTGAGATTAGTTCATACACAAACGAATCTGTATAGTCCAATAAGTTGAATCAACTGAAAACTTACGATATAAAATTCATAATTATGTATTTCAACAATTCATCAATGCAAATCAATGTTGTGATTAGTCAAACTGATCAGACCATAAACTTACTAATTTCTCATTTTTATTATATTTTAACTTTCTTAATCAAAATATTTATAGAAATTGTTTTCATCAGAATGATAATATCAGCTACTTATAAGTCGTTTAACGTGAAGTCATTAAACATCTAATAATTGTAATTTGATCCATTCTCTTATATTCACTTTTGTTCCTTCCCATGAATTTTCAATGTAATGCTAAAGCATGGAAATTTTAAATAGACACAATTTGTGTATGACTATGATTTATATTAAGCAAGATCAATAATGTCTAAAGCTCCAAGAATGTTAATAAAGTCTACTGTTAAAATACTACTTATCATGATAGTAAAGGTTCCTGCTTTCATATAGATTATTCAAATTCATCAAACTTTTAACTAGAGACAAAATTACAGAGCTACTTGATGAAATAGAAAAACCATACTCCAATACTTTATTTGTATAATGTTCATTAATTGTCTCAGACTTGATTGTTTCTGCATTTCCGTACTAATTATTTAGTAAATTAATATATATATATATATATATATATATATATATATATATATATATATATATGTCCTGGGTTCGAATCTCGCGAGGCGGGATCGTGGATGCGCACTGCTGATGAGTCCTACAGTGGGACGAAACAGCTGTCCAGTGCTTCCAGGTTTTCCATGATGATCTAGTTTCAATTGTAATTACTATAATATTCGCAGAAACCCTTCTGGTATGAATCAACATATGCTCGCTAATGACTGGCTTCAAGAGGTATTCCCTGGAGTTCCAGTGAGAAGCAGTGATCGGTGAGTTCAACCGGGTCAGTTTTGAGATGGTAAATCACTGAAGACAATGGTGAACGGTCGCGCAATTTCGTGGATTGGTTGAAGTCAGACATTAACACTGTTGGATGCTGGCTCAGTGGTCTAGAGGTTGTGAGTACGCGATCGAGACCGACAGGTCCTGGGTTCCACTGGTGTGTGTGGGATTGTAGATGAGTACTACTGAGGAGTTCCATACTAGGATGAAACGACCGTCCAGTTCTTCCAGATTTCCCCTGGCGGTTCAGCTTTAATTGACTCATGAACTCAACTATTAAATTACTACAATCTCCACAAAAAACCCCTTCTGAGAATATATTATACTTTCTTCACTATCTGTTAATGTGTACATAAACATTTGTTAGTTTAACAAATTTTTGTGATAACTATCAAATATAACGAATATGAATGTATACATTGGTGGCAAGTGACAGTTTTTCAAAAAAAGAAAGTCTACCTTTTCAACACATTCATGTGAAAGCTTACGACAACAGAGATTAGAGAAAATACATTAACTACTGAAGTATTTAACATTGTAATCTACTGTAAGCTTTTCATAAGAACATGCAATAGTAAATAGTAGATTGGTAATATCAGTTAGTTAAAAAAGATAATCGGAAATATGAACAAAAGTTAATTTCATGATATGAATAATTAGGAAAAATGTAGTTATGATATTTAAGATTGCCGCCAGATTTTTAAGACCCAACAAGGTTTATTAAACAACGATTAGGTATACTTAAAATGTTAACTTGAATCTCTTACTAATTATGTTTATGTAATCTGACATTTTAGATAGATAATGGTATTTTTGTTAATAAAGCTAGTAATTCTTTTTTTTAAAAAACACTATCTCATTTTTATATAAAGCTGCTCCTAAAATCAGTCCTGATGCACCTAAACAAGTAAATGTTACAAAAGGTGAACCGTTTAAAATTCGTATTCCGTACACTGGAAGTCCACCAGATGTTGTGGAAGCTACCAAAGTGAGTTTACTACTTTCAAATTTCTTATGTAATCCAATTTAATTTAATTACTGTTACTATATCAGTAATATTATAGCGAACGAGAATATAAGTGGGGACAGTCGAATGTATTTGAACATAAAATTCTAGAATCTCGTACGAAAATCTGGGAACTATATAGTAAATTATTCGTTTACAAAATATCAACCAATCGTATCAGTCTTCACTGTTCTTTCGTTTCCACCCTAATCATTCTCTGTTCTCGTTATCCATTCTTCGATGTTCTTAACTTTCTGCCTACAGATATTTCACTTTCGATTCATGTTGCATACTACTTATATCTGTCGACATCAGTAGCACACACCACAATAAGGCTTCATTCAACCATATTTAAAAAGTATTTCCGTAATAATAATATTTTCATATCATTCATTTCACATTTAAATCGATCGCATATTTTTTCATAGTGTACAGTGTATCGAGACTAAACGTGGAAAATAATTTGATACTTTTAAGACAATTTCAATGACTAAGTAGGCCAATGAACATTTGGTTACTGTCACTTCCTATATTAAAGTTACTAATCAAGGATCATTTTCTCCTGTATAGGTTTCATTCTAAACTGTTTAGTGCTTTCAGAAAACATATTATCATTTGTCTGCCATTTTAAAATCTAATGGTTAACATTTTAAGGTTTTCGGTGATACTGCATGACAGTCATTTGAAATTTGTTGGCATCAACTAGTCACTAGATATAAATTAGGTAGAATATGGAGAACTGAATAACTAAAAAGTCGACTTTATTTGTGAGTAAATCTATATAAAAATCATCAGACAGCTCTGTTACTTTATTACGATTCATGAATAGACCCATTTGATACAAAAATGAATCGTTATTGAGTGGATAATAATTGTACATATACTTGTTTTTATAACGATAATAGCTATTTTGATTGCTCTCACCCAGTAGATATTTGTTTGCTTTCAAGTCACGAACTTATTAATGAAATTCAAGTTAAACAAGTGTCATGATTAATGTGATATTAATTATCTATTTATCGACATTTGTTTTATTCTTTTAGGATGGTGTACCAGTTATTTTAGATGATGGTCGATTCGTCGTAACTATTACACCTGACGAGGTTATTATCGTTGGGAAGAAAGGAGATAAACAAGATGAAGGGCCATATAAGATTACATTAAAAAATGATAAAGGTCAAGATACTTTACCAATTAAGATTAATGTTCTTGGACCACCAGATAGTCCACAAGGACCACTTGAAGTGAAAAATATCAAGTCAGATTCATGTACACTTGGTTGGAAGCCACCAAAGGTGAGTTGAGTTCATCAAAGTTTGTTGCAATAAATTATAATATATGAGTGTTACACTTCGAGCTGTTAGATGTAAACCAGCTATCTGTGACCCAAATTCAAGAGTACAAATATCACCTGAATAAAACAAACTAGCTAACTAAACAATATATATTATCAAAATAATGACAGAATCCCTTGAAATATCATCAAAGTCAAATTGATTGTAGTCAGGTTAAATAATAAATTACCAATTTAGATATTTATACTGTCATAAACATGTAGGAAAGTGTTATTGAAATAGGTAAATCAAATATAATTGAACAATATTTTGAATTAAATTTTCTGACGTCTCATGACTCAGTATAAGCCACTTCTTCAGAGAATAAACAACCAAATCAAAATTAATCCAAGTTTAAATAGTACAAGGGAGAGATCACAGGTCTGAATAAATCAATGTCATGTTATTTCGGTCAAGGTGATTCATAAGCAACATGTATGTAAATTTGTGTGTATCTGTGCACGGCTAAGGATGAAAAATGTGTGACTTTTATGGTTAGATTTTTCTCACATAATATTCTTGTGTTGTTTCTTTGTACTATTTAAACTTGGATTCATTTTGATTTAGTTATTTATTCTCTGAAGAAGTGGCCTACACTGAGTCACCAAACGTGACAAAATTTAATTTTTCTACTCATTGGAATAGACTCAATTTGTTCGAAATTATCAAGTCAAACCTTGATAATAATACCTACAATAATTTGAATTGTTGCGTAAACAAATAAATTACAATGATCCAAAAATGGTAAATATTCAATGCGTAATAGTGAAATCTAAAAAAAAATGGATAAAAGCGAATACTTGACTTTATTGAAGCTTTAACCGTGTGAAAGTTCAAACTTCTCTTGTGTATTAAAAACAGTTTACAATTAAATTAACTTGACTCTGAAAGCAATATTTTTTTAGTATCATTGTGATTTCTAATATTGATGGTAATATGAGTAGTGCTTTTCTTGCCGCTCTTGTCGTTATTCTTATGTTCCAGTTTATCTACTTAAGGTTTTTTTATATTTTTGATCAATATCTTAATAATTTAACGTTTGATCAGTTTATTCCCGAAGTACTGAGCTAATATGTCATATTGGTTTTGGTGAACTCTATGTTCACATTAAACTACCTAAATAATAACCTATAAGTATAAAGAGAAATTATTCGATAAGTAGATAGGTTTCAAAGTTTCACCTGTAAATACACTCTTCCGTTGTAGTCAAGTTGTTTCTTTCTAAATGAATAACATTCAATTAAGTTCATCTTGACAATGGTGATTTCAAGAGAAAATAAATCTTTAAAAATACATTTCAAGTGGATGTATTTATGTAAGCATAAAGCATGAATTGTTCATTTTAAGTTATTTAACATTTATATATCATGACTGAATTGTACCGTAATAAGGTAATTCATTACACGATTATCTAATCATTAATTATCGAGGTGGTTTTAGATAATTTCTTATATTCTAAAAGTGATATGTATCACACATTTACATCAGCTAAAAACCAAAGTGATTTGAATATTTTTAGTTTCGATGCATTATGAGACGATCTACATACAACAGGGTCTTTCAGTAAATTCTGGTTTTTAATGATTAATTTAATAAATTAAACTTAACTATCATACCTAAACTTTATAACATAATTTTAGGAAACTGGTGGTTGTCCAATAACTCATTATGTAGTTGAGAAACAAGATCAAAGTACTGGCGAATGGACACCAGTTAGTAAATTTGTACGTGGTACAGAATACGATGTACTTGGTTTAGATGAAGGCAAGAAACATAAATTTCGTGTTCGAGCTGCAAATGAATTTGGTCTTAGTGAACCACTTGAACTAGATCATACAATTACAACAGAGAATCCATCAAGTAAGTTATGATTTGATTTACATTTAAAGTTATTTTACATAACGGAGTGATATCAAGCTAGACGACAGTGTGAAATAGCTATCAGAATGATGAATTTCAATATTCTATTTTTAAATCATTTCAGTTAAAATGTTGTATGATATAAATTTTGATATGACTAAGTTGAATGATAGCTCTGTTATAAGGCTTTACAGTTCCCATCAAAGTTACATACATATAATATTGTCTAGAAAGATAATGAAAGCTTCATTCACGTAAGACAAAGCAACGGTACAATTACGGTAATTACACTTAATATCGTATATATTGTGCTATAGATTTCCTTACTTTATCTAAATATATAACATCGAACAAAATAGTGAGTATTTTAATCATAATTGTATGTGACTTTTTTAAAGTTGATTTTATTTATTGCTTTGACTATTATTTTAGCTGAACCTGGAGCACCAGGCAATGTTGAAGTAGCCGATGTTGATTCAAATTCAGTTACATTAGAATGGTCAAAGCCAAGATCCGATGGTGGTAGTAAAATAAACGGCTATGTAATCGAGTTTAGACCAGTAAATGGTGGAAGTTGGGAGAAAGCGCCAACAGGACCTATTAGAGGAAATAGTGGAACAGGTAGATACAATTAATTCAATTGATTTATATCGTGTATTTTACTGTATTTTGATACAATTAGTACCATAAGTAGTCAGTACTAATTACAATGAATTAGTTCAAGTTAAATGATTTCACAATAAAATAACCGAATATTAGATTAAATTGAAGATAAAAGGCAACAGAATACAAAGACATTAAAATATCAAGGTTAAAAGTGGGAACATAAACTGACGTATCTCTATGAATGATAATTTTGATAAATGGTAACCTAAGTTTTTAAATACTGATGTTTTATTCTTTCAAACTATGTGGAGTTAGTCAATAGTTTTTTTGGAATAATATATGCTTATTTCAGACATGTTACGATACAATGAGAAACGAACATTTTTATCATTCTTCAGACAATTCACAGTTTTAACACTGAATCCAGCATTTTAAGATGTTCATTGTAAAACATTCAAAAGCAAAGTAACATTTAAAGTATATAAAATTATGTTCTTTATATTGAAAATGACTAAACACTTAACCTACCATTGAACAAGATTAAAGTGTAATGAATAAATTCTTCAGTGTTTATCACATCCAAGATTTTGGCATCAGTTTTCAAATTCAAAGTGGTTTAATTACTTATTATTGAAGGTTATATTAAACAGAACTATTCTATCATCATTTAATAATTCAAATGAATAAGAATTAACATTCATAGCATACAGAAATAGTTTTATGTTTGTACCAGACTTATTTCTTAAGTGAATTTGTAAACAATATCTATCATTGCTTACAAAAAGCTTGTGAATTAAGGCAATATCGAGGCATACGCACAGTATACACATATGCCGATAACAGACTAATCAATTGCAGTCTTAAACCTCAATGGGAAGATACAAGCCAAATAATACCAAGTGAATATTCATCATCTTTAAATGTTTCCCTATGTTTCACTTTTTTTGTTTAAATCTATTTTCATCATTGTTTTTACAGTTACTGGTCTTTCCCCCGGTGAAAAATATGTATTTCGTGTTCTTGCTAAAAATGATGTTGGCACTAGTGAACCAAGTTCATCAACACGTCCTATTGAATGTAAACCAAAATATGGTAATTCATTAAAACGTTTCTTTGTCATTTTGTTTATTATTACAATTATTATTAAACTGATAATATTTCTTTCTACGTAACAATTCTCTCTTATATGAAGTTGTGTATTACTTACAGAAAGTTATTAGTATGAATCTGTCGAGTTGGAGTCAATAATTATTCAGAGAACATTGCAGAAACCAGGAAATCCTCAAAATCCTTTTAGTCAATCAGTTTCCTCAATGATTTCAGGGAGTTGAAAAATTTATTCCCTTTTTTAAATCATTTTTTCAAACTCAAATACCAATACTAATTTAGTTTCTAGAGTTCTAACTTTACTTATGATTATATGAATAACAGTTAAGTTTTATATCTAACCTAACTCAACCTTAAAGCAAAGCTTCGGTTATCTTTGGCTTATTTATTATTTTACGAATGTTCAAGATTTGTAGATTGGTGGAAGTTTAGAAATTCGCGAGAAAGCCAACGTTTTCTTCCAAAACCTAATAAAATTAATTTTTATAATGTTGTTCCGTCTAAGTGACCTCATAACATCGTTAGTTTTATTGTACCGTTACTTTAATTTATCGACAATTACACACACAATTATATGGTCATTGGCTTTTACATATGTATCTGATTGACTATTTCGTTGTTCCATAAAATCAGATCGTATATTTTAATAGTCCACTTCATATTTTTAAAATGTTTCATTTATTTTTCTAAAAGACCTTCTCATATTTGATTGAATTTAGCAAAAGTAACTTGTGATATTTTTAAATGACACTTGACTCCAAGTTTAGGCATACAATCATCAATCTCATTGATGCATCATAAGAAAGTTTTAGGACCAGTTTAATAGCATTTATTAAGTGCAAATATTTGTCATTCATCATTGTTATTCATGATCTTTTATACATGTGTTGATTATTGATGGAATATGTTTTAAATCAACCGTTATTTGTTTAAGTAGTTGCTTTCACATTATTTAAATACCTTTGTTATTTCTGCATAACTCCTAGTTATATTACAACGCGTATATTACATCAGCACAAATATAAATCCTTATTTTCAATGCAAAAAGCAAATAATAGGTGATAATTAATAAATGTATTTATTATATTATTAGAGTAGTGCATGAGTAGGTTAACAAATGATTCAAAAAAGTGCAAAAAATATTGGTTGCACTAAATAAACATAACGACAGTGAATGTTAGCTGAAGTAAATCAGTGTTCTCATTTTTAATACATTTTTCCCACTCAAAGTACCAGCAGGTAGCCCTAGTGAACCCAACGTTGATGGAGTTGGCAAGAATTGGATTGATTTATCATGGTCAAGGCCAAACAACGATGGTGGTGCTAGAATTACTGGATATATTGTTGAAAAGCGCAAAAAAGACTCTCCAGATTGGGAGGTAGCGACATCAGACGGTAAACCTATCAGCAGTAACTACGTACGTCTTGATAATCTTAACGAAGGAGATATGTATCAATTCCGTGTCAAAGCAGTTACTGCAGCTGGACCAGGTGAACCAAGTAATCCGACTCCCATTATCAGAATTGAAGATAAAAAACGTAAGTAGATTTATGTTATACTTATCAGAAAAATATGTACCTAATAATTTGACTAGAAAACGTAAATTTCCAATAGGCTGGCGAGAGTATTTTGAAAAAGTCCTTTGATTACTGTAGCTACCAATATAACGAAAATCACGCAATGCAAAATTGATTACCACTATCATAAGATTATATAATAAAGTATTGAAAGTTTAAGAAGCGAGTTTCAAATTATTACTGTTCGACATGATTATCCCGTAACTTTTTTCCCAAAAGGGCTTGATTTATAATGTTGTGATGTTTAAATAAGTAATTGCTGATATCTACTGATAAAATCTACCATAAGTTAGCCAAATGTGTCTGTAATTACGAATAGGATTAATTTCGAAGGGTATGCGTTTGAATGATTTATTCAGTGTTACTTATTAGTCACTTGTTTGTACAGACAAAAACATTTATCGTCAAACCATTCATTAAAGACAATTATTAAAGGTCACTTACCCAGAGAATATGCTTATACGAAGTAACATGAATTAACGAACCGTAAAATAACCGAACACTGGACACCCAATTTATTTCAGAATTATATATATGCAATAATAGTTCATAAATTAATCATGGCAGCTACCATTTTTCCAGACTTTCTCAAATATAAAACTTAACAAGTGCACCAGCTTTGTACTGGTTCTCTATTTGTACACTACTGGCCGAGTTAGAGCTTGTGGAGAACTATAATCAAAATCATGGACCTTAAGTAATCTTTATCAAGATCGTCTACTTTCTCCATTTCGATGTAATTTTGCTGTAGACATTCTTATACAAATGACTCTTGCATCTTTTAAGTTTTCACTAAATGACGTACAAGGAGATAAATTTTCGGACTTATAACACACAGATGATTTAGTTCTGTTCGGAGATGAAGCTGATAAAATGGAGAGTCTTCTAATCACCTTGAGCGACAATGCTAACATGTTTGGGTTGCGGTTCTCGTCCTTCAAAATCAAAACTTTGCTACAAAGTTGGCTTGCGTCAGCGCCGGAATTGACAATAGGGAGTGAAGTAGTTGAGCACGTTGACTGCTTCACTAATCTTGGGAGTTTCAGTGCTAGTGGTACGGTGTCTGACGAAATCTGGGTATGGATCCAGAAGGCTCTGTTGGTTGTTGCCAACTTGTTTCACTTGTGACGTAGACGGGACATCTGTCTTTCATCCAGAGGACAAGATTACTGCGTCCTCCGTCCTATTTTATGGATGTGAAACGTGGCCATTAAAGATAGAAGATACTCTTAGGTTGCTAGTATTCGATTACAAATGTCTTCGGAGAATCATTCATGTATTTTGGCACTACTGAGTGCCTACTATTGAGCTTAAGCATAAGGTATTAGGTAAACATTTTGAATCGATTGACGAAGTAGTGAATATTCATTAACTAAGGTGGTTGAGATATGTGATATGCATATGATCAAATAGTGCCAACCTCAATGCTATGTTTCCTAGTGTGAGAGCGTGCTGGAAAACAGTTAGAAAAAGTCCAGTGGAGATGTGGCATTAGTTCGTGAATTTACTGATAATTGGACTTGACTATGTCAATAGGTGTATGACCAATGGTTGGAGAATTTCGGTTATATAATTCATAATGGTTAACAATGGCTCAGGTGAATTCACTCTTAGTCTTCCTTTATATCCTGATTTCTGAAATCTCTTTATACTCTTGTCTCCTTTCTATACCTGGTTTTTCTTACGACTAATGTTACTTTTACCCCTTCCGCCACTCTGGTATTTCTCTTAATAATTTTATCTCATTGTGCTATTGTGATATGGCAACTTGGATAGACTCACATATGTTCCCGGTTCTACGTTGCATTTCTGGATGATTGTTGGAAATCTGACGACCAAGCCTCTCTTCAGTCATATGTGTATACTACTTACTAGCTCAATATAACTAAGGTAATAAAGAACTGAACAAGTTGAGGGAGTTTATAAAATCCATTTAAGAACTTATATATATTTATTAAATAATATTACCATGACTTAAAACTCCACCAGTTTGTAATTAAGCCAATAATCAATTTATTCTTTCCTTTAAACGAAAACCAGCTACCGCAACACCTGATTTTGTCACGAAAATTCGTCCTACAACCGCACCTATCGGAGGCACAGCTGGATTCGAAGTACAAGTTGATGGTCAACCACTTCCTTCTGTACGCTGGTTTAGAGATGGTATAGAACTTTTACCAGGTAACCGTATTAAGATCAATCCACCTGGTCCTGATGGAAAAGCGAGCATTGAAATACATGATCTTGACGAAAAAGACAGTGGGACAATAACTTGTCAAGTATCGAATCCTTCTGGTAAAAACTCATGTTCAGCTCCATTTGAAGTATTGGGTAGGTTTCGTGACGTTCATACACCTAATTATAATATGAATTATTAAATTATTAAGAAAAACTTAACAATTCCCTAACTTTACATTTATTTGTTTTCTTTGCATAGCAATACCCAAGATACTGGGCAATATTGATGATAAAGTGGCTTCAGAAGGCGATCTTGTTAAACTTAAAGTTCCTTACTCTGGTCGAGGATCTATCACGTTGAAATTAAAGTGTAATGGTCATGAATTACCGGAATCTAGTCGAGTTAAATTGATGGATTTAGATGGAACAGCATCTATTCAACTAAAAGGTAATACTTTATTGAATTAAATTTATGTACTTAAATACAATCGTGTTATTTAAATTTAAGCAGAATATGTACGAAGTTGTGATAAACTGAGTAATGAATAACCTGAATTTCATTATCTTAATGAAAGAAATAGAATATATCTGTAGCTAATTATTTATAATGATAAGTGTAGATAGATAGCGAGTGTGATAACACAAAAACCTCATACAAATCTCTTTAAGTTAATAATCTCCACAACCCCTATACTAGTAATCAACATGTGCTCACTAGTGACTAGCTTCGTGAAGGAATTCTCGGAGTTTTAGTGAGAAGCCGGGATCAGTGAAGCTAATCCATGTCGGGTAGAGACAAGTATCTACCTCAGTACAATGGAAGTTGGTCGCGAAATTTCGTGGATTGGTTGATGTTAGACACCATCACCATTGGATGCCGACTCAGTGGTCCAGTAGGTTAAGTGTTCGCGCGCGAGACCGAAGGCCCTGGCTTCGAATTCCGCGAGCGAGATCGTGGATGCGCACTGCTGAGTCCCACAATAGGACGAAACGGCCGTCCAGTGCTTCCAGGTTTTCAAAAGTGGTCTAAAATCAATTGGTTCATGATCTCAATCAAAAAAATAAATCGTAATATTTTACAAATAATCAACCAAAACCCAGATTCAATAAATTACAAAAAGATAGATCCGATTAGAAGGCGGTAACTAATAACTGAATGCTGATATGATGTCCAAAATCTAACTAACCATCTATACATGACACATAAAGAACTTTAATTCTGAAACCTAGACCTACCTACACAACTAATTCTTGAACTGATACCATGTCATAGTCTTCTTAATTTTAAGGTTCTTGATGCTCGCTAATTATAGTCAAAAATGTATATCGAACTATGTATTAGCTTCATCTAAACACCTTTTCTATTGTAAATTCATAATCTCATCAATTAATATGCACTAGAATTAACTTGAAAATTATTTAGCTGACCATTTAATTGTAACTCAATAGTTTCTTATTAGACACGTATCCTTTAAGTAGAAACAATTTTTAAAGTGTATTCAGAAACATCAGTTTATACAGCATTTTCCTCATTCACCTTAATTCATTATAAATATCAAATAAAAGAAATTTCTATTTATTAATGATCAGAAGGGGTTTATGGAGATTTTTAGAAATTTTCACAGATTGAAATCATGAGTCAGTTGAAGCTAGACCACCATTGAAAACCTGGAAGCACTGATTTATTTATTAATGATTTGGATTGTTCTTCATAGCGTTATAACTTGCGATCTGTGTGCCCTGTTAATGTATAACGTGATAATACTACCAATTAAAGAACAGTAATTTGTCGATCGGACCAATGACGTATAAAGCCCGTGGGAGCAGTCCAGAGTAATTATCGGTCCTGCTTCCTGCCTAGCCCAGCCAGTTACGTTCAGAACAACAATCTCAGCTTCTGCAATATGAATCGGGATATAACAATAGTATAGCTTTATTAACAGTAATTTATTTTGTCTAATTAATTTAACTATGTATTTTGGTTGATATAGATGTAACAAGAAATATGAGCGGATACTATACTTTAGAAATTGGAAATGAAAGTGGTTTCAGTTCAGTACCATTCAATTTAAAAGTAACATGTAAGTTATGGTAAAATAATAGCTAAAGTATTACTATAAAACAATAATTGTTTACTTTTTTCATTCTTGATATTTATTATCTTATTTGAAAATTGTCTAGTTAGTTGTTCTTGTAGTTAAGCGTTCTATGCGATTCCTAGAAGTCCAGGATTCGAGGTCTAATAAGTTCGTGGATGTCCACTAGCCATTGAACCTGATTTTCACTATGTGACGAATAAACTCTAGAAATATCTGTCAGTTTTTCTAATATATTGTCACTAATACTTAACTGTTATGTAAAAATGAATACTTAAATGTGAATAATATTTATGTTATACTGCTGTGTACTTACCGGTGATATGTCACATGAAATAGTTATAATAGACTATAAAAAGGAGATGAAACTCCGAATAAGACTCCGGGTTAGAGAATACAAACTAATGTAAGAAGTTATGAACTTACTTTCGTAGACACATTAAGCTATGCTTCAAAGTAGTCTATGAGACACTTGTTGCTGATGATATTAGTGTTCAAATTAAAAAAAGGAAATCCTCTTTCAAACGAAATTTTAAACGTAGCTTCTAATTATCTCTCCGATTCCTCTAAGTGTCAGTAAACTATCATTGCGCATATCTCATGGCTTTTAACAAAACTGGCCATTCCTTTTTTATCTAAATTATACAGTTCATAACTTAGTAGTAGTTTAAACTAGCAAAAATCTGGTCCTCAAATGTGTGATAAACCTATAGTTTCTGTAGTGTCTTTCGAGAACTTAACTCTTTAACTAATCGTAATACAAATAAATGAACTACTAGACCTCCTTTATTGGTACTTACGTCATCAAGTCAATAGTGTAAGTATTGTTATTATATAAACTGTAGCAATGTTAGGGGTAGCTAAATAAGTTAATAATTACAGTCATTTGATATGAATTCATTCGCTTTAAAAATATAAACATATGTTTTTGGACTTTTATAGCTCCTCCAGGAGAATGTCAAGGCCCAATTACTGTTACGGATACAACACCTTTCAGTACGCGATTGTCATGGAAACCTCCAAAGGATGACGGGGGATCTAAAATTACTCACTATGTTATCGAGCGTCAAGAGGTTGGTAAAGATCGCTGGGTCCCTGTATCATCTGGTAGTAAGGAACCAAATTGTGAAGTACAAGGTCTTCAAGAAAATACACATTATCTGTTCCGTGTGGCTGCTGTCAATGATTGTGGTCAAGGTGATTGGTTCCAAGTGCCGAATGAAGTAATTGCTAAGTATCCGTTTGGTAAGTCATTGAAATATTTTCAGTCGTGTCTGTTGTCAAAATTGAATTTGGAACTAAGAATGTGAGTGTATTTGTAGAAGTAGAAGCTTTCTCGAATCAAACCTATCTAAAAACAGATAATATTTGAAATTTTGACCTCACAAAATGTTTAATAAGTCAGCTGAAGTAATTCATGGGATTTAGTTTTAAAATTATTATTAAATAAATGTTTTTCGACATAAATAAACACAGTGCCTGGTTTTATTAGGTGTAAACCGACTTTCCTCACTAAGTTTGCTCATCCCTTTTCTATTCTCACTTACCGTGATATAATTAGACAGTTAGAAGTATCTGAATCTCTCATACAAAATCTGTTGCCAAAAACAAGTACATAAATATGTACTTAGTTATATATATATACAGTTAATCATAGTATGAAAGAGTACTCACAAACGTTTGATAAAATAATTCCCATATGAAACGTTTTATTTCACTAACATCACTGAACGTGGTCACACTAAATACTGTAGATACTGTGATCATGGTTACTAAAAATATTCAACTAACCACCATAACTGAATTTTAAATTTTACAAAACCATATATTAACTATATGTATGAAATTATTCATTTTGTAGACAAACCTGGAAAACCAGGTGATTTAACTGCTAACGAAGTTGGTGGAGATTTTGTTAATCTTGCATGGACTAGACCTTCCACAGATGGTGGTGGTCGTATACGTGGTTATATTGTAGAAAAACGTGAAGTTGGTGGACAGAACTGGTCGCGTGTCACTCCAAATCCTATACTTACACTCAGTTACAATGTTCCGAATTTGATTGAGGATAAAACCTATGAGTTTCGTGTTATGGCTGTCAATGATGCCGGCGAAAGCGAACCAACTATGATAGATCGACCCGTGTGTGTTAAAGATCCTAAAGGTAGAGAATGTTTAATTTCACAAAGTTTTATCTTGGAGAGTTTAATATTTTAGTTATGGTTTCTTATTTTAAATATCCCTACATTGTGACTTACCTTAATTTTTGTTTTCACATCCAAATACCGACAGTTTTATTTATTTTTCAAAGATGCATATGAAAGAACAGAATAAATAGTTAGGAGGAACCATTTTTAAATCAGTGGATGGTTGAGAAACGTTGTTATAAATTAATGAGTGTGATTAGTCAATACTTCGCCCTCCAGGTATATCTGGATTGAGTGAATGAATCAACTATAGAATCTGGTAGATATTTAGTCACGGAAGTAATTAATATAGTTTCATTCATTCGTAAAGAGACTGAATCTCCCTAACAAATCATAGTTTTTACTTATATGCTTTAACATAAATAAAAACATCAATCTATGGTATTGAACAAACAAGTGGTAGCCGCTGAGTGTACCTTGATGAGTGGCATAATTTTAGGTTTTTGATAATATAGTCTGCAATAAATTTTACTCCGTTTATGTACAGTTAGGTGGCTTTTGAAAAATTCAATAGTTTTGAAATCACTGTCTGTGAAGTGGAGTACCACTGAAAAATTTGGGTTCATTGGACAGATTTTTTTCTCTGTACTTTAAATCCTTAATATTTTAAACCTGAACAGGTTATGAAGTTCCACACTAAAACTTTAATTCTTATAAAGTGTATATTGGCATTTATCAAATGGGTCGCGAATGAATAATCTTGTGCTTTCCATATTCCATTAATTCACTATTTAATTAGACTACCATCTAGAGTGAAGTTCAACTGGAAAGGGATATTAATGAGATCACGAACTGATCTATATTGAGCAACTATTAAGAACCTGAATGTCTAACTTAGATCGGTTCGGAATCTCAATAGAATTCAACTATCTTCAAAGGGATGATTAGACAAGCCTTTTTATTTTAAAGGCTTAAAGTTTTGTTTAGTTGATCATCACTCGGCATCAGAAAATTTCACATTAAATTATCATAAAATATTTTTAAAATTTAGCTCTTAGTTAAATCTATAGTGAATTTCATGTTTTGAAATGGTTTAATTGTATTTACTTTCTAATTTTTCTTACTTATAAAGCTGTTTCACGACCGACGTTCATCAGTGGTCTTAAACCACAGATTGTAAATGAAGGTAGAGATGCTGTATTTGAAATTGAAGTCGACTGTTCATCGAATTACGATGTAGTATGGTCAAAAGGTCCTCGAGATCTTGTTGAGTCCCATCGTATTGAAATGACTAAAGAAGGACGCTTCCATTATTTAACGGTTCGTAACTGTGGCCTTGAAGATGCTGATGAGTATAGTATCAAAGTTTCAAATCGAGGTGGTTCCAAAGTCAGCCGAGCACCACTGTCTGTCAAATGTAAGTGTAATGTTCTACTTTAAAATAGACAAGGATTTCATTCAAGCTTCATATAATTTCTATAAAATGGCAGTAATGTATTAGTTTAAATGTACAACAAATTGCTTTATGACTTTTTTCGTAGAATTCAGTTTTATCAGGAATATTGATGTCATTAGTTATAAAACCAACAATTATTATTTCCACGGCTAGCCACTATAGAAATATATGTGGTACATAAAACGAATGATTTGCGAAATTTGTACTGGCAGTAATTTTAAACAACTACTGAAAACTTGTAATGTTAATCAATAGTCTAGAAGTCTATTCATATTCTAAAATAAAAGGTTTTTTTCATATCCATTTATCATAATACCTACTTTATAGCTATTGCATGGTTATGGCAACATAATGTTACAGTTACTTGTGATGAAACAGTAAGTATTAACATTAACAGTTGTTATAACTTTATGATATCAAAAAAGTTCCATAACTGATTGTTCAAAATAGCGTCATGCAAAGATAACGTAGAATAAAAAATTGTCCTACATGAACGTTTTAACTATAGTTGTCTGTTATTATTTTGACATTTTATCTTACACAAAGTTTTAATTAAATCTAGTATAATTTAAGAAAAATTAATTCGTGAATTGGTTGAAGTTAGACATTAACACCGTTGGATGGCGGCCAGCTCATCGGTCTATATGTTAAGCGTTTGCGCGCGTGACCGATAGGTCCCGGGTTCCAATCTCGCGATGCGAGATCGTGGATGTACACTGCTGAGGTATCCCATAATAGGACAAAACGTTCGTCCAGTTCTTCCAGGTTTCATTGAAGTGATAATTTGCACTTTATAGTTATTGTCTTAATATAAGTAGTATTATAAATTTGTAAATAACTAACGTAAATGAAGAAAGATGTAAATTTTTAAAGTGAAGTTTAAATGTCAAGAAGTTAATTTTAATTACATAACTTCAAGTTAAACGTTAATGGAAATGACTTTTTTTTTCTTGCTGGTTGAAGATTAATTTTAGTTATGTAGAATCTGGCTTTAACTAATTTCAATATTATAATATTCTGCTTGTCTTAAAAAATGTTCAAATTGACGATAACTCACAAACTCAATGAGAACACAGTTTACACTAGTATTATTGCGTTATTTAGCCAAACAGTTAATGCAGTCAGTAATAGCGGTCTGCATGTATATATGAGCTACTTGTTCCTACCAACTAGATACTTCAACAAGTTATCTGTTTTCTTGTTTGTTTTAACGCTTCATTATGCCTATTAGTCTCATAATCTATTTAGGTGCGCTTATAAAAAGTATATGACCTTTCGTTGTAAAAGTCACAAAGAAGTACAATTTTAAACATCGTAGTGGCTGGTGATATGTGTTGAAAAGAATGCATATTATTCAGATGTCAATTACTGAACTACAAACATTTAACTGTCGATCACTCAATATTTATCGTCTGGATGGATCCAGAAATAAGAAAAGGAAACTTGTTGAAATACTTTGTGTTGAGAATTCTATATTGTACCAAGAATTGAATAAAGCTATTAAGAATAATAAAAATAAAACCAACAGAATCAGTTCAATATACATCAAATATATGCGTATACGAGTTCAAAGTTAATCATGTGAATATATATGAAGGTTGACGATGGAACTTATAAAATGCCACATGTTTATCGACTATCATATTCATTATGGATATACAAAAAATTAAAGAGGTCTTATATGATTATTGTGTTTCTTGACCAGATTTTTGATAACCCAATTTTACGTATGATGAAAAAAATGTACAATTTTCAGTATTATAGATACTTGACCACCAACTTATTTGTAAATGAACTAAATAGTAGACATTGTGTTTCACCATGTGGTAATAATATTTCATGTTTGGGATATTTTGGTCAACTAATGTGTTGTGTTTGAAATGCATATTTTGTTAAGAAAACTTGTTATTGTTATATTCGTACTGTTTATTCATCAGCTAAACCTCAAATACATTTACCAAGCCGTTGGCAAGAGCCTACAGAATGGGAACGTGGTGATTCTATTGTAATCAAAGTACCATATACAGGATTCCCTAAACCGAAAGCTAAATGGACATTAAATGGTAAGGATATAAGGGAAGGGAAAAATGTCAATACTCTGCTGAAAGATCGTCACGCTATAATCACCTTGGAGAATGTAGGCGAAGAATTCTCGGGCAAATTAAATATAACATTAGAAAATGAAATGGGATCAGATTCAGCAAATATTGAATTACGAATAAACGACAGACCACCACCACCAATCAATTTAAAAGTAGAAGGTGTAGCTGATGGATCAGCACTTTTATCTTGGAGTATGCCTGAAGGGACTGGGTATATTTCTCAGTATATCATTGAACGATGTGAAATGCCTGGTGATACTTGGATTAGAGCAGGTACTAATCGGTAAGTAAACTAAGGGCATTACGACTCATGGATCATACAATTTCAATATCATCTATTATACAATATTGAGACATTAATTAATGAATCTTTATAAACTTGTATATAAAATAATGAAATACCATAATATGCTGTCAACTTGCAATAATTCATGGAAAAGCGAGCAGTTCAATTGATTATATATTAAGGATGAATTATGAAGGCAGTTAATTAGATTTATGCATATAATTGCACAAGATTTAATTATTTTAATTATAACGAATTTCATCCCATCTTTAAAAGCATTTAATAACTGAAGGATATAATAATTGATCGTCTACAGGAATATATCCAATTTCTAATTACTTTTCTTTACGGACAAATATCCTCTCCAAGGCTATCAAAAATCAGAAAGAACTAAATTGTTATTCCATCCTAGTTACGAACTTCTCAGACGACTATGATCTACATACTTTAACTGCGGGATTGAAAATATGGACTTTATTTATGCGAATTACTGATTTGAAGACATTTTCGTTTTCTGAAATACATAATGTCCTTGTGTTCAGTACAGTATAAGATGATGGTGGAACTTTGTTGAGATAAGCAAAGTAACTATAGTTTATTGTCACCTGCAAATATAACCACAAAAAATTTACAACTTTTGTAATTAATCCAATCCATAATTTTTTTCTAAAAAACCAAATCTACTATCTTAACCCTATACCTATTATTTACTATTATTAGTTTCTCAACGTATAATTGTGAAGGACTTGTCAATGGTAAAGAATATCGATTTCGTGTAATTGCAGAAAATCTGCATGGTCGAAGTGATCCATGTCAACCTACTGAAAGTCACTTAATTGCTGCAGATACTCGTCAGCGTGGTGCTCGTCGAGGACGCGAAGAAGGTCGTAGTGATTATACTGGACCTCCAATTGAAAACTATGATAGATTTCGTAAGTTTTATTCTAAGTAATGACAAACCACTGACTGTACATGAACCAATAGTGAGATTTATTTTTTTAGAGTTAGCAATTAAATATTAAACAAACAACATTTTTATAATCATATGAGTGTCATTTTCGAACAAAGGAATTTGATAATTTTTTAATGTATCCAACACGACCATGCTTGTTAATTAGTCATTTAAAAGCAAATAATTTCATTATATACTTCAGAAAACAAGCTTTTAAGTAGTATCATGATTTCTAATATGTGTGATGGTGCATTTTTAATATGCTTTCGGTAATCCTAATTATTTATTTGGGGTGATTTTGTAGAAATACGGTTCACCTAAAACCTGTTTCATAATAGATTGACATGAATTCAAAGTTTGAAGAAAATAATGGGCTGTTAAAACCCTGATGTTTACAGATTTAAAAAGCGATGTTGACATACAATTTTTTCTACTTGTACTGAGCACAGAGATAAAAATGATTATATTCAGTAATGTTATTCATTTCTATTCGGTTTTATTCTTCATATTTGATTGAACCCCAGCTGGAAATGAATATTCTTTAGTTCTTTCATCCATTCAAAGATTTCTCTCTTTCGTATTTAATCGAAAAGCTACGTTAAAACAAAATACCACATCAAGTAATTCGGAATTCTTAAAGCGAACCAAGCTGTATGACAGATGGTTGTTTAATTAAACTGAATATTTTTTGTTTTATTGTTGACATTTTGAAGTGCGATCCAGTAAATCCTATCCTTTGAATTAATATCTTGAATTATTGCAGATCGAAATATTTGGGACAAGCAAATACCACTGCCAACTCAAGTTCATAAAGGTGAAAGTGTTTATGACTATTATGACATCATGGAAGAACTTGGGATGTAAGTTATCTAACAATAAGCAAATGGTTTCTTTAAGATATTTCGAATTATTACTCTAAATAAACATTCCAATTAAGTGAAGTGTTTTAAAATAATTTATTTTCATGTTTCAAAACGATGACTGAATGTAAAGTTAGACATTAGATAAGAATTAGTTATGGCCATAGCGCTAACAAACATTGCTAGACAAAATAGGTTTCCCAACTGTCTTGGTTTGATAATTCTCTTAAATGTTAAACTACCACTACTACATGTGATAACCAATCCTATCCTATTGTTAGTTACTAAGTGAATTATTTCTTTTGAGTTCCTTATCCTGGACCTGGATTTAAAAAAGCACTCGAAATACTACCAAAAATCCTTTTTCCAGCTTTGTTATTCACAGTCTTATTGAAATTCTACCTTTGATCTCAATATTTCTAATTTACGTAGCCAGATTTGGTATTGCCTTCTGCCTAAACCACCGAAATTATTATTCTGTTCAGTTGGAAGAATCTAGACCTAAAGTTCTGTATTATTTAACGGTTTTCGGCAAGGTGTATCTGTTATTTTGGAAGAACCGATGCTGCCAATGGGATTAGAGACCATATCACTCAGCTTCACACTCTGAAACGTTACCACTGAGCTTTTAGGGACTCAAATGACCTCCTGTAGAACCGATTTATCCACAGTTGAGCGTTCATTTATTAGCGAACAATTTATTGTTTGTCTAGTTCTTTAGTGCTGACCGAACTCTATCGAATGAATTTCAAGATAAATCTTACAAATGTAGACTACAGAAAAATACTATAAACAACTGATCAATAAAAGCTCTTTAAAAATTGTACCCAGCTTAATACAAGGTAGTTACGCAAGTTGTGAAATCTTATACTTCCTCTCTCTTTTTTTTAATAATTTAGTGGAACATTTGGTGCCGTTCATCGATGTCAAGAGAAGACTACGGGTAATTCGTATGCGTGTAAATTTGTGAACACTGATACACCACAAGATAAACATGTTGTTTTAAATGAAGTTGAAGTGATGAAAGAATTGCATCATCCGAAATTACTCAACCTTCACGAAGTATTCGATGATAAGAATGATGTAGCGATGGTTATGGAACTGTAAGTCTTTTTCTTTGAATAAACATGAACGTAAGAATGGTGTGTCGTTATAACACTTGTTGCATATTTAAATGTTGAACAGTCATAGTTAAACTGGATCTATATTGTCGGTTTATAGCTTATAATCGATCTAACATTACTAAATAATTTGATAACCGTGTCAAAAAAGACTCACAAATTCATAAGTCTTAATAAGCTAAACTGTCTTGACTACTTAAATTTCAATCATACATAGAATTTTAGTGGTTTGACTTTTGACAGTTTTCTAGTACTTTGGGATGTTTTATGCGGAAACTGACTAAATTTATTCAGTTACTGATTAGTTCTTTATTTCCTAATCATAAGATCTAAACTAGATTTAGGATAGACATTAAAATCACTGCAGGGATCTCACTGGTAAATAATTCTGGATTATAATGACAGTTTAAGACGGATTTTAGGAATTACCTGTAAGGAACTGTTATCTATATAATCCAATAATATTTAGAGTGAGACACGTATCCCTAATGATACTTCGTGATAGTTCTGTGTTATTTCTAATGAAATAAAAATTCGAGTCAATAAATTTCAACTCATTGGTCTATAGGTTTAATATGGAGTCGCCAATACACATTACTGAGTAGTCTGAGCCCAGGATGAGACTTTTCAGTTCTCGCTGATTCTCACTATATTTCCAATTGATGTGTTTTTCATAAAAGCAATATCCAAATATTCACAAAGTTCTCATAGAAATTAGATCTATTTTGAATTATTCAAGTGTTTTAAAATATCAGAATACGAGTCATAGTTGATGCGAATGCAGCTGCACTTCAATTACTTAGTAACATGCTAAGTACCCATGAAGTAACATCAAGAATATCGATAAGCCATCCTCATTCGTTCCGTTCGTTTGGCTATCAAGGCCTTAATAAGGTATTTATCTCAAGTTGAAAATCATAATGTATACGTTAAATGACATCATATTCGTGAATTTATTACTGAAGCTCAGAACATCGTTTGGCTATGTATACTCGTGGTTCATGCAGTAATAATGTATTATGATTAGTTCTTGAGAATATTCTTTCTAACAGATTAATAACGAGTACTTAAGGAGCTGGAACTCTGTGTTTTGTATTCTCTAACTTCTTAGAATTTATTTACGATACTTTAAGCAAAAAGATTTATCTACATTAATTATTGTTTAATTATCAATAATTTAGACTTACTGGCGGTGAACTACTTGACCGATTAGCAGATGAAAATTCTACAATGTCTGAAGCTGATGCTATTAATTATATTCGACAAGTATGCGAAGGTATACAACATATGCATGATACAAATGTCATACATCTGGACATAAAGGTAAGGTATCTGTTGAAAATTGAAAGTGAAACTTCTTTTATCAACATTTACATAACACCTGTAAATTGCTCACTTATTTATATGATTGTTGCTACTTACAGAAAAAGGCGGCCTGCTTGAGCATCTGGGCTACCTGTTCCTGCCATCTAGATATTTCAACAAGTTATCTATTTTTGTTTGTTTTAATATATCGTTATGTCTATTAATCGCATAACCTATTCTGCTGCGTTTCTGAAAAGTGTACAACCTTTCGTTGTCAAAGTTACAAAAAAACTCAATAAGAGACAATGTGGTTGCTGGCTATATACAGCGAAAAGAATGCACATTATTCAGATGTTCATTCAGTGAACTGCTAACATCTAACTGGCGATCACTCAATATTTATCGCCACGACCGACCAAGAAGAATGAAACGGAAACTTGTTGAAATACTTTACGCTGAGAATTCTATATTGTACCAAAAATATAATATTGAATAAAGCTAATAATAATAATAATAATAATAATAATAAATGTTATCAGAACGCAGCAGTGCGCACGAAATTGTGTGACCAACTTCCATTTCGTGGATTGGTTGATGTTAGAAACTATCTTCATTGGATGCCGGCTCAGTGGTCCAGTTGGTTAAGCGTTCGCGCGTGAGACCGGAGACCCTGGGTTCGAATTCCGCGAGCGAGATCGTGGATGCGCACTGCTGAGTCCCACAATAGAACGAAGCGGCCGTTTAGTGCTTCCAGGTTTCCAATTGTGATGGCCTAACATCAATTGGTTCATGATCTCAATCAAAAAAATAATAATTTGTTTAATTTTTTAAATTTGTTATCTTCTGATTACAGCCGGAAGATTTAATGTTTGAAACATCGAAATCAAAAAATCTAAAAATTGTAGATTTCAGTTTATCAAGGAAATTAGATCCTAAAACACCAGTTAAAGTTAGTTTATCACATCCAGAATTTGCTGCACCAGAAATTACACGATCTGAACCAGTTGGATTTTATACAGATATGTGGGCAATTGGAGTTTTGACTTATATGATGTAAGTGATTTATTTCATTTCTAAATTTTAGATAAAACTTATCTTAGATGTTCGGTGGTTAAAGGGAATTAGGGGCATATTAAATCCATAATCTTCATAAATTTGGTCCTATTCTTGAAATGAGAACTTGAATCACTCAGTGTTTTAATCAAAGCGAACTAAACAACAAATAACTTCGTGGAGGATATATATATACGAAAGGACTTTGTCTTTTACTTTTAGTATAGACACGAGTTATGAGATAATACACTCCATCAGCATAAATAAATGATTTTTAAGCCAAATAACCGGTATTCTTTTAGCGGCCCGTGGATCTGACTCCATTTAGATCGTATAAATGTTCGTTATCACCTATCCTCGTATATAATCATCGACTTAAATCACGTTAGTCAACAACGGAATTTTAGATAAGTCAATTAACGAGAATGGCCTTTTAATACATATATTTGTGTGTAAAGTGAATGTAATAGAACAAAGAAAAATGCCGCGTAGTGGAGATGGCTGGTAAGCCAACTCATTTTTAACCAGGCGTTACTCAATATTTATAGGCAGACAAAATAAACCACAGAAATGTGATGAGACATGGGATATGAAGTGTACACACATATACAATCAAGACTGATAAGCGAGTAATTAACAAGGTCAAAATATGACTGAAGTAGAATGAACAGATTGGGCTGTCTGAAAGTCAGAATAAAGTATTATGGGCTTAACATAATAACTGACACTACATTTTTCTACTAAGATGACATATGTCTAGGATGTTATTGGAGTAAGATTTACATAAATAGCATATTAACAGTCTTACGTAATTGTTACTATAGTTTTTTTCGGTGCTTTATTGAACACTTTTTAAAACTTGTTTCTTTACTAATTACTGTCAATAGAGTATTTTATCCTTTATAATTATTTTTGTTAGTTTAAGCGGTTTATCACCCTTTGCTGGAAATACTACAGCTGAAACAATAGAGAAAATTGGAAGAGGTCAATTTACATTCAATCATGATGCATTCAATGGAATTTCGGCTAATGGTAAAGATTTTATTAGTAAATTGTTACAAAAACAACCAAAGTAAGTTATTGTTTCTATCGAAAAAAGTTTACTGAATCATTTTAATCACAAATAAGTTTTGTTTGCGAGGAAAATCTTATTTATATACAGTTCACGAATTTTTTCAAAAATTCTGCAATGCTGGACAATAGACATTTTTATCACTATTCAAGTATTATGCATCGGTATACACTGACGACCTCTTAAGATTCAAACTCAAGGTCCTAAGAATGAGAAAGAATATAATTCGACTACGTTTCTAAAGGCTTATTTCGTAAATTCACTTTCGGCGATAAATATCTTCGGTGTACAAACATCCACATTTTCAGCACTTACGATAAGATTCTAGCGATAATAATAATAATAATAATAATAATAATAATCTACATAATTCTTTTATGATATTTGTTGATATTTTGTGCATTATGAATTAATGCATGAGATCATTGAATATTAAATGAATATTTAGACTTTGAAAGATACATTAGGCGGTTTTCATATTTGATTCACTAAGTGTTTCGTTACAAACTACCAGAAAGCTAAATATTTTTATTCTAGGACATGACGAAACACGAACTACACTAGTTCAAGTTTGTACTTACCAACATTTTTATTTATTTTGTCTAGAGAAGGTTTTCGAAAGCATTCAATAAATCCCTTTCTCGTACATTTATATAAGTTTCGAAAAGAATATATAACTGGAATTTACTGTTTGTAACATTTTAAATAATTGATCAGTCAAACGAGTAACACGTTCAATATTTTTTTCATCGGACACACTTAAAATAGATTATGCTTATGTTTAACGGGCTCAACACGTGAATAACATTCCATACACTTATTTATAGACAAACATCTCAACCGCTAATTTAAGTAGAACGAAGCTCTGGATACATTTTACCCCAAGTTAAATGGCAATTCTTTCAATACAATAAAGAGTTGTGAAACAGTTTTTCGACAAGGCTAACCGATATTTATTTTAGAGCTTTATAATCATCAAGATTGACCTTTAGTGTCATTAAAACCTATCCTCTGAATGAATCGGAATGAAGACAGATTTATCAATTTACTCAGCTCATACCAGCATTTCTATACTGTTAATTACACCTGTAGATTGTAATGTTTGAAAACTCTACTTAATGCCTTAATTTTTCGCTTTTTTTATGTATCTTAACAGCCAGCGTATGACTATCTATGAAGCCCTAAAACATCCCTGGCTTAATGAAGCAATCACAGACGAACAGCGCCGACGTATTCCACCTTCACGTTATAAAGAATGTCAAAGACAAATGCATGAAAGAATGGTAAGCGGACGGTAAAAACTAAATCATCACAAAATTTAAGCTAACTACAACTATATTCTCATATGATGTACCTTTTTCACCAAAGGATAAATAATCATCAAGGGGTCTACATCAAAAATCAAACTCATTCAGTTATGTATACTGTTTATGGAAACGATGAATGAAGTCCAGAATTTCTGTTGTGACCAGATCACAAGTCTTTGATTATCGACATATTTCACAGTTTAGTTGATACATATTGCATGTATCATAAACTAAGATTATGATATTCGCATAAATTGTAACTTTATCTATTGAAGACTTCTCTGATTAAATATTATGAAGTCCATTATTTCTGTTAGTTTAAGGTAACTTTCAAACGATTGAAGAGAACTGTAAAATAATCTTTTATTAAATAAGATTTAAAAGTCCAAGAATCATGAAATTTGGTATTCATTCAAGAATAAATAGACTTTATTGAACTCAGATTAATGGGTCAAATATAGAAATAATTTACAACCAATTAAATATTTCTTTTTGCAGACAAAACGTGTGCATCATTTCAGAATGAGTACTTATTTTGATAATAATTAAAACAGTTATTACTTTTTTAGTATTCATTCATTTTCGACCACAGTTGATCTAACGTCGACGTGTATTTTCATTATAATTGGTAACTTACATCCTTTTGTTCTGGTTGTTATCAAACATTAAGAGAAATCTCAGTATGACATTGCGGAGAATGTTGAATTCTATTGAAATCGTGAATCGATCATGGTTAAACTGTCATTGAAAGTCTGGAAGTACTGAAAAGTCGTCCTGTTTTAATACAAGACTCCTCAGGAGTGTACACTCACGACGCGAACTACGGACCTTCGATCTCGCGCGAGAACGCCTAAGCACTAAACCACTGAGTCAAGAAAAACACCTACAGACTGGATAACATTTTTTGTGGAACTAGTTTGATTATTGTGTTCCTTAATGTTTTTTAAATATAAAATATACTTTAGGTTAAGCAAATTATAATGTTAAATGAAAAATATCTTGGTAAATCTTGTCGGATGATCCATAGTTCTTTATATAGATGTTTTTTTTACTTATTATTGTTTTCTTCGGGCTTAAAGCCGTGCTTTTCTGAGTCGTGCCAAGAAAAACAGACGCTGAGTAAAAGGTTACCAGACAATCACCCGTATGTAATTATTAATATGTTGGTAAAACTGTGTACTTCATATTGTATGAAATATGTAAGGGAAGCTGGTTTATTTTCTATATCAGCTGAAACACTAGTCTCAAAGCATTTTAAACATGAAATTAGTTATGAGTCAAACTTCAGTTATTTTCCTGGTGATGTCCTCTCTCAGCTAGTTGGTTTAATTATGGAGCGTTCCTTGTCGTCCTGGACAACAGTAACAACTACTTCATGTAGAAGTGAGGTCTACAGGTATCACCTCAAGTGTTTTACTAGTTCTGATGACCTTGTTTGTGATTGGTACTTTTGACAACTTATGAAGACTACCAGTCATAAACAATTAAATTAAAACCAACTTGTAGAGTAGTTGAAAAGTTCACTTTTACATGAAGTAGTTGTTACTGTTATTCAGATAGACAATGAACGCTTCACAATTAAACTATTCAGGTTAGAGGACGCCACCACCAAGTCGTCTATATCATTTCATAGTCATTTCTTATCCAAACAACTTTTAAATACTATTATCTAATCATTTTTACCTTTTGTGAAATGTTCTTTTTGATAGGGTGATATATATCAAAGAAGCCCGGCTATTGGTCATTTGGCAAACTATTCATCAATACGTCAAAATAGACGAGATAAATATCAAATACAAGAAACAAATTTCGGTATGCGATGTAAAAGTCATGCATAAAAGATTTCTTTTTATGCTCTTTAGTAAACATATGCTTGCCATACTGTATAACAATGATTTAACTCGGACATGCTTCATCATTACTGAAATTTTTGATTGTTTTTCAACATTTGTGACATGTTCATTTAGCAACACAGTGTACTTATCATCAAAGATCTAGTTTTTTGAATGTCTGAAAATACTTAATCTATGACTAACCAATTCTGATTGAATTCATCTCAACATGAACTGTTGTGAAGACAGTGTCTTTCCAGACCAATTATTCTATACCTAACCAATTTTTAATGCTTTTTAACCTTCTTATAAGGACTAATCGTAATTAAGAGAATAACTCATCGTTTTGAATGGAACAGTACAGTGCCGGGTACTGGACATTTAGCGCTGGTGTGATACTTTTCTGAAAAAATAATTGTTTTTACTGGTTTTAGCTTGGTGAGACAATTGAAATAATTTAATAAGATTGAGCTTTTCAAATGATTTGACCTCATCATGGAGGGAAAATACTAAGAGAACTGATCTTGGAGAATATACCTGACTTTCTCAAGTGCACGTAATCAACATTGATACAGGCTTATTTTTAAGTGTATGTATTCAAGATGTTTAAATGTCAGCCAACTAAACCAGACATATAGTAAGAGGATAATTTTGTTTTTATTTGTAGACCATACGTATGGGGAAAACCATCTTTTTTTAATGTTCGATATTAATGAGATATCTAACATTTTCAGTCATTTTTCAGTTCACTTAGTATGTCAGTGCTGAGTGTACACGTTTAATTTTGATTGCAACTTCATTTAAATTACTTAAAGCTATCTAGATGTGTCATCTGTCAACGTGCTGCCACAGCGCATTCAAACTTTCCAAATAAAAAGCAAATGAAGTTAAGATTTAAAACTTTGAATGAAATACTCAGTGATAATTTTCCTCTTACATTCAATATTATCTCACTGAATGAACGGGAAGATGCCAGATATTGCACATATATTGAACAATGAAAAGTAGATGCTCTACAAGTTCACAGATGCGTATCCTATCCCAACCATAATGCTTAGTTGACACATTTTAGCTATATTATTTTTAAGCAAAACGTTTTTATGTTTCAGATCGTAAAGAGGCTGGTCCACGTTTTGTAAAATGGCCTAGTAATCAATTGGTGATGGAAGGTGAAAATGCACAATTTAATTGTCGTGTTATGGCACTTTCTGAGCCCATCGTCACATGGTAATCCATTACATCACACTATTTTGATTATTTTGAAATGAACGACAATTCTGTTTACCGTAAGATTAACTAATTAGCTTCATATATATCATAGGATACACAAAGCTAACATTCCTATATGTTAATCACTTGATTATGTAACAGTAATTATTAGACTATGCAGACCTCTAACAATAACATAACTCTCAGTTGCTCACTCTCATATTCAGTTTTTTTTAATTAATTCGTCACTGAATACTGACTAGTATCATGTTTGTCCAGTTCTTAGTGTTGATCGAATGACACTGGTTACTACTCACTGACAAATAATTATCAATATAATATTCGTTATTGAGTGCTCAGTTTTACGTCACAGAATGTCAGCTCAAGTGATGCGGATTCACATCTAAGAAAACATGACTTCCTTCTAGTTTTCAAGTACGCTTCGTTGAAGCGTTCCAACTAGTGTAATGGACACTACTCACAGGATTGTTTGTAAGTAGTGTGTAGCGGAAGGAGATGTCGAAATTGCTACAATTGTCAGATGGAGTGAGGAGTCTCAGTGCATCGAAACCACGGCGTTGGTAGAACATTTGGAGACCAGATGAGAAGACTGTTCAGATTGCAGAAAACACAGAAAGGTCCAAATGGAAGATTGAAGGCTGTGTATATGTATGATGTAAACGCTTAGTAACTGCTTTCAGTAAACATACAATTTCCCTGTCTATTGGCGTACTTCACACAAGCATAAAATTCAAGATGTACCTTTGACTATCGCCTTTCAGTCAAATTCCACTATGACAAATGTCTATGCTATGAAGCTTAAGAATAAATATCTTTGTACTTACAAACTTGTAATAATGCATTAGAAATGATAATAAGTGGTCAGAGACAGTCCAATATTCTTCTGTAGTACAGTCAGATATTTGAAACATGAATAGTTTCACTAATGGCGTTTCCACTCTCTGGTCGTTGACTGCTACTTTTTTATACCAAATGAGTGGAATCTATTTTTAGTACATCCTTTACCTTACCAAGAATATTTTGGATTTTCTTCCTAATGCTTAGACTAGTGATAAAAACTAAATAAGATGAACATAATATTCTTCTAATCAGGTTTTACATTCTGGTGTGGAATTTCCCGAACTAGTAAAATAACCTCTTTCCAAACTCTTCATTATCAAGATACGGTTTTTAGGTTAATCTTAGTAATCATTTCTTTGCATATGGTAATAGTTTCATTGTGTTTATTCATGACATTCAGGCATTTTGGTGACGTTCAATTATCTCAAAGTGTAAAACATATGCAACGCTATGCTGGGCACGATTATTCCCTAAAAATAAATAGGGTACGTACGGAAGATGCAGGACATTATACTGTTCGTGCTGAAAACAGTTTTGGAAAACGTGAATTCCCTGTCTTACTAACAGTACAACCACTACAAGAAATTAAAATTGGTAAGATGCTGTTGTTAATTCTCTTTAATTTTTATGTTGATTTTATTCCAAACATTCAAATTTACATCGTTTAAGTATACTCAACCAAATAATCTACTTTTACTTTTCATTAATTATAGAACCGTTGCCACCAACATCACGTAAAAAGATTGAACCAGCGCCCGTCGAAATGTTCCATGAAGAAGAGACAGCACCGCGTTTCGCTTTCCATCTACGAAATCGTTATATACAAGAAGGTGGAAGTGTGAAACTGACATGCTCTGTCGATGGTTGTCCTACTCCAGTAATCACATGGTTTAAAGTAAGAAAACAGTACTCAAGCGAAGAGTCATTTGTGGAACTCAGATTTCATACATTTTTAATGACAATTTATTATTCACTGTGTTAGATTTGAAACCAGTTTATGTGATTCGTTTCTAATCTATTGACTGAAACTATTTAGCTATCCGATAGATCCATTTTTATAAAGCATATGAAACTACCAACTAATTGAAAAACTACCTAACATTTCCCTTTATAGTGTCACACTGAAGCGATCAGTAATAAGCCCTTAGTTTGTTGAATCCACAATCCTACAAAGATTTAAATGTAGTCTGTAGTAGTAGTCTGTACTTTCATTAGATTACTAATCATTTTCACTATGCGTCAGTATTATAATGACCATGTTTTCATCAACTTATGATGTCAAGTGAAACCAAAGAACTCCCGAAAAGTTTTTTATCCTAATCTCGAATCCCTTAGCACCACATACCAATTAATCACAACGTATTTCAACAAAGAAAGTTTAAGTCTTACGATAAACACTGGTATTCTTTATCCAAGTTGAGATTCAACTACTCAGGTTTTCAAGCTGCATTTCATTTTTTACATAGTCCTTTTCTCATCGGACAATTACGGTGTAAATTAGTTTAGAAGTATGAGACTGTCATTCAACCTATTGGGGGGATTTAGTGGGTAGACAATTGTTTGACCAAGTTGTTTGTGAAAATATTTCATGTCAAAGAGGGTACATGTTAACTTTTTGAAAAATTGTATGTGAGATGCTTAAAACGAGACACGGTATTAATCACAAATTAATGTACTGTATTAGGGTCTTGGCTTTAATATATTAGGATAGTGTAATAAGGAACCGAAGATTATTAGAATTATATGATGTATTAACGCAATACATTTCGAACATAGTTCTGATAATCTTCGTCATCTTATTACACTACCCAAATTTATCAAGCGGACGAACTGCTTCAAATTTAATATATTATTCGCGCACCAGATTTGGCTTGAGTATTCGAGAGTGTTTGTCTGTATTTCACTAAACGATCGCGAAATGTAATATTTAGTGTGCTAATATATCATATTGACCACAATTAAATTCATCTCCTTATCATACTATCTAATTTTATCAATATGTTTTTGTCTTTTTTTCTCCGTTGGTAAAAAGAGAAAAAAATAAGAGGTAGATTGCAACAATAATTTACACAACTTTTATTAACTCAGACGTATCAAACTTGTAAATCAGAACGGTAAATAATGTCTTGGATCAAAACAGGGCCCTATTTATTCGTGCTTAATATACAACGAATGAAATACTGTGTTATTCATCACAGGTTAATATATGTAGTGATAGATAGTTTTTCTGAAACCTGTGTCATAGTCACTAGCGTATAAGTTATCAAACAGTCCATTAATTATGTTTGATTGAACTGATATTTTATACTGTTCGTAAGTATAGATTATGGGGGATTTATAAAACTACCATAATACTATAGATATTATGATTTATTGTCTATCGTCATTCGTAATTATATTAATGAAGTGAATAATGGAGTAATAACTGTGTTGTTTTAAATAGTTTCTTGAGTTATTTCATACAAATCATGATAAAATACATAGTACACTCACTATATAATTAAAATCACAATTATTATTAAAAATTCAACATTTACTATTGTTTCTGAGACGATACTGAAATTACTTGTAGATGGCTATTTCCTTATTTTCGTTATATCAATTTTCACTTTGGTATAACTTGTGGCCTTGTGCTCAATTATTATATAACGTAATGATACCGTCAATTAGAGAACAGTAGTTTATCGACCGGATCAATGACGCATAAATCCGTACAAGCACTCCTAGAGTATTTATCGATTATTCTTCCCGCCTAGCCTTCCTGCCTCTCAAGTTCAGAACACCAATCTCAGCCTTCACGATATAAATCATATATTACAAACATAATGCGTTTATATACAAACCAAACAGACCATATAGCATCACAAAATAGAAAACAACATTTGTACAAGATCTAGTGAAAAGTGGCTGTGAATATGCGAGACTGTAATTAATAGACTGGGTATAACTCAAGAACGGCAAATCGGATAATAATAGTTTATGGATCAAAATAAAGCTTACAATAAGAGGAACACGAATATGAATAATTTAGTTACATAACGATTATACAGTAAAAACTATATGTATAGTATTAGTCCAGAAATAGATTCCAATATTTATCATTCATTATTCTCGTCGGGATATAAGACATTTCAGTTCGTTATTATAGACACATTTACTAAGATATGATGTTACATGTATATGATACACTTAAAATATAACCAGTTTATAATGAGAACAGCATCAGATACACATGTCTTATCAATTGACACAAAAAAAGTTCACTAACCTATGTGAATCACGATTCAGCCAGAATTATAAAGAATTACATATATCAATAGTTGAGATCATGAGTCAGTTGAAGCTAGACCACGATTGAAAACCTGGAAGCACTGGACGGTTGTTTCGTCCTATTGTAGGAATCCTAAGCAGTGCGTGAACGCCTAACATCTAGACCACTGAGCCGGCATCCAACTGTGTTAATGTCTAACCTCAATAAAAAATGTATATATATAAATATATCTACTATGGGAATAAAGTATTTATGTGGTGATGTCTTTTTTTTTGAAAATTTGTCAAGATAACGCAATTAATGTTGACTAGTAATTCTCGTATACTACTTATTAGTAGTTGAAAGTTAACATACGAATTTCTAAGTATTGAATTTTTAAGTGCTTCATATTACTTTTGTGGTGAAAATTTTCCTCGGAAATATATATATATATATATATATATCAGCAATTAAAGAAGAAATCCTTTCTTTTGAGTTGTCGCTTAATACTTTTGATTCCCTGCAAATGTTTCTTAAAGATTAATCAAACTCAAGCAAATGCACTGAGATTTTAACCTGAATTGTTCCGTCTAACATTATGGTTTTATGATAGGACTTGTTTAATAACTAAACTAATTTACTTATCTACATTATACTAGTTAGGATTTATTTAACTTAGGCCAAACTATTGAGGCACAAAACCAAGAACATACAAGGAGAGAGTAAAGAGATTTCATAGTGATATTAATAGTTCTAATATCAAATGAGTCTTTCATATTCCTAACTTCAAAGACATTCTGTTTTTCTGAATAGTGAGAAAAGTACCATTATAAGGCCTATCTTCTATTTATTCATCTGAATTTTGTTTTAGTCAGTGGTATTACCTTCTGGAAAATCAAGGAAAACTTAAAAATCATAGATATCCCCTAATGTCATTTTATGACTGGTTTCCGTATAAATGTTATATCAGCCACTTGTGATTTGAAGAAGAGAGGTGGTGGCATCTTATTTAGATGAGGTCACACTTGTTACACTGTAGTCTGTCCTATTTGAAAGCTTGGATATTGTTCTAGACGAGTTAGGAATGTGTGGAAAATAATTATTTTCTATCATGCTCTTTTACTTTCCAATTTAATCTCTTGTGTTTTGTTTAAACATTGAGGTTTAAAGATAAGTTTTTTTATTGTATCACTAGTGTAGAGAAGGTATTGACACCTTGTGATTTGAATATTTATCTAATAAAAGAAACTATATTCACGATAAGTTAGCTGTATAATAATTATGGTAAACAGGAGACTATTCATTATTCAAACATAATCCTAAGGATTTATTTAGACTTACAGTTTAGGTAAGAAACTTTAGATTGTTGACAATAATTAAATGGATCTACAGTTATCAACTGCCTTGAATTAATTAGCCGGTGAAATTCATATGCACTATAGTTGTTTTTGTACGTTGACAAAATTTATTTTATACATTTACCTGGTAAAGTAACAAAAACATTTTATTTTGGTAAAATTATTTCAACAGAATGGTAAAGAATTAAGAAAAGGTGATGGGAATTATGAAATTCAACAGATGCTTGGTATTACGTCACTTGAAATATATTCCTGTTCAGAAAATGACTCTGGACGATATTCCTGTCGTGCAGTGAATAGTCATGGTGAACATGAAACTGAATGTAAAGTTATCGTTGAAGGTGAGTCATATTAAAAAAATGTATTGGATTATTCTTTCTACATTTTAAGTGTAAATAGAGGTAGTCTGCATCAATCACTTACGTTCTCAAGAGGATTTTGTTCACACTATTCTGTCTATACAGAATTCATAATTTGTTAACTTCTATTTGTATACAAGTTTACAAAATTTACAACTCAAGAACTTAATGTTTCTTAGGAGAAATGCACTCAACTAAAGATAATCCTCCTAAACAGGTATATTTCGATTAATTTTTTCATAGCGAGCCGTGTTAAACGATTTCTCAGTGCTCAACATGCTGACCGAAAAATACGTTCAAGTAGTCAACAACCTACTGGTTTTGAATCAAGAAATGAAAATTCTTCATGGCGTGATGATAAAAGAACTTTGACTCGTCTTACTGAAAGACATGCATCAGAAGTACGTGAAATTAATGAAACACGTGATAAATGGTCAAATAATGAAATCAGAGGATTACGTGACTTAGTGGAACATAGACCTTCCAATGGTGAAATCCAACCTATTCGAGTTGCTGCACCTAAATTGTCAAAAGGGTTAAAACCCATTACACAAGTTGAATTAGGCAAAAGTTTCAAATTGGAAGCAAGATTTGAACCAACAAATCCTCCAACTAAAATTCGCTGGAGTTTTAATAATCAAGTTAGTTGAATAGATTTTGTAACGAATTATTGTTTTATGATAGTTTAATTGAATGTAATTAAATATTTGGCTATATATATCGGTGTTTTTGGCGAAACAAGTCAATAGAGCAGGTATTGTACGGCAATTACAATTCAATTCGATAGATGCTACTTTTATGGCATATTTTCATCCGTATATTTTTAAACACTCACAAATACTAATAAATACCAGTCCGTCACACTGCATTTGTTATTTCATTAAATTTCAAATTTATACTTTCTGTTATTTATTGAATACTAACTGATCACTAGAATCTTGTTTTACCTAAGGATTTTTAAAATTTGACTAGACCGTTTGTTATACCACTGGCTCCCACTAGTTTTACGGTATTCATCTTATAGAAAATCCTCGTGGTTTATTGACAGCAATCGGATGAAGTTATCTCGTTGAATGAACTGAAAATATAGATCAGAGAATGCCCTGGACTCATTTCACGTGATACTTACATCAGTGAAAATAGTAATCTGATTCAAATTTAGCAACTAGTTCCTAGTGCATGACATAATCGGGCTAATCGACAACAATCACCATCTCTATATTCTGTGCTTATCAACACTAGCTTTTTATCACAGATTTGAAATGATATAATCCAACTATTGAATGGAAATTCTGCCATTGGGTTATTCAAATTCATACGCATACCGCTATGCATTTCCATGAAATTTAAGCTTGGTTGTTTGATAAATATATTTCATACATTATAACACTTTCAATTCATTTGGTTACTACTGTTATTTAAAGATGAATTTATCAAATAAGACTTGATATAAATAGAGAAAATCTTTATTAAGTTGACTTTTAACCATCGTGTAACGCTATTTGGCACTAAACAAAAATCCACTTTTTTCAATTAGGAAACGTTTTTATATCATAATAAAACAGATTGTCTTAATTGTGTAACTGTTTTTAAAATTGTCATATATTTACACTGAATTGCAGGAAATCACTTCAGACGGTAATATAAAGATCACAACATCTGAAGATGGTGAATTCAGTTATCTTGAAGTATTTGATTCTAGTTTTTCAAATGCAGGTGATTATGAAGCTAAAGCTGGGACAACTATTACTCGAACCAGTGTCAAAATTGAAGGTATGTATCATTTATTCAAGAAGAATATTTTGAAATGTTAGTTGCTTTGTTTAGATTAGATTGAGAAGCACTAATTTAAGAATTGCTTTGATAATTCATTTTATGCTAAACTCCAAACAACTGATTCGATAACAGTTTTCCATCACACACCGTTAACAAAAAAAGGAACTGAATGAATATTTCATCGTATACATCACATTTTTATAATTGTCTTCTTTATATTTCTTTCACAACAGAATACAAGTACATTGTTGTGTTGCTAATAAGTTGAAATGTTGTGTTCTACATGTTATAAGACTGTTTGACATAATCTAAAGACTCATCAATGATGTTGATAACTATATGTATACTAGTTGAATCTAGTGGCTGAAACTTGTTTCCACTTATTTTATGCTTATAGTCAGTAAGATATAATACAGGGAATCAAATATTTTTTTAAATTCCATACTAAATCTTGTCATTTGAATCATATTCCGATTCAGTAGGAGGAATGGCTGATCTGCAAAACTCCATCCTTTGATTTCCTAATTACCAGATTTTAAAACATGATTTGCTCGAAGATAGCATTCAACACTTTTATCAATCTTAATAAGTAATGAATTTAGTGTTAAACTCTCATTTATACGACAAATTTAACAGTTGTGAATCACATTACTCTTAATATAAAATACTTTTTTACTGCATATATAGCCCCAGCTAATTCATTGAATGGAATGATAGATGAAAATGATGACGAACTGTCAGATGAATTTTCTAGTCAAGCTGTTGAACAAGTAATAAATGATAATGATGAAGGAATCATACCTAAAGCTGTTGGATTAGCGCCATTATTCACTGTCCATCCAATAAGCCAAACTGTCAAAGAAGGAGATACGGTTTGTTTAGAGTGCACTGTATCAGGAGATCCCATTCCAGAAGCTGAGTGGTATTATAATGATGGTCCCATTCAAGCTGGACATATATTTTCTCAAGATAACGAAATCATAAAGCTTGAATTACAAGCTCTATTACCCGAAGACACTGGTACTTACGAATGTCGTGTCACAAGTTCAATGGGAAAAGCATCGACTGTTGCCTTCCTTGTTGTCGAACGTAAGTTAAATAAAGGAACGGTTTTCTTTTTGAATACTCTATCAAGTTACTTCTTCGAACTAGTGAGTTTTTATCTAGGCTGATTTCAGTTTATGATGAAAATCTCCTTCGGTATTAAATAAACCAAAAGATTAAACGGTAAACTGTTTCCCTAGTCCAAAGTAACCATCATAATTTTCATGCACAAAAATAGATGGAAATGGCACTTCTAATTGGAACTATTAAGTTTAAGACTAAGGCATTCTATGTAGAATCGTTTTATTCATTGACAATTTTTTCATTACTTAAACTGGTTATAAAATCGTTAAGTTAAATGTAAGTTTCTATTCACTGTCGGCACATTGCGACGCCTTAACAACAACAAAATGGTATTGGAGTTCGATAATTGATTGTTCTATATCTGCAGCTCAGTTAAATTTAACATTTAATTGTAGAATAACAATATTTAAACTGGAGAAATAGTGTTCGTGCTCCTCATCTCCCACAAGTATTTATATCTGCCTTAATTTTAGTGAGATACTAAAGGCTTTGAAACGTCCTAAGATAACTATTAAATAAGCATTCGACACATACTTTGGCGTATCGAAATTTCTAGTCAAGTGTTTATGGATATTTCTGTATCTATATACCTGTCAACAATCATCACAAAATATATCTCACAAGTGGCTAAATGAACAGAAGCCATCTACTGTAATTCATTGTAACTTAAGGATTTCCAAAAACAGATTAAAGGACTAGTCAGAGTTATGAAAGTACGTTTACTAAGTGGGTTGTGATTTTGTATGAATATCTCACCTTGCTTTTCACTTTAAACATCAAGTAGTATCTAATTTTATAAATCGAATGATTTAAAAAATTCTTGTTTTATCATCTTACAGCTGCAAATGAAGTGCCGAGAGGACCTAATTTCCTTACGTTCCCACAATCACGTAGTGCTGAAGAAAATGAATCTGTTACTTTGAAATGTTCCTTTAGTAATTCACCAGTTGAAGAAGGTGAGTAAGCAGTTCGGTTGAAAATGCACAAACATGTAGATAAAATGTGAAATAAAAATAACTTGAAATTTCACCAATCTTTTCCTCTGATTTACTTTGTATTGCTTTCATGATTTCTTTTGCTTTGGATTATATTACCCAAGAGTTGAAAGTAATTCATCGTTAACTAGTTTTACATTCAAAAAGGTACTTAATTTAACAAAATTCTCGAAACCTGTGTAATTACACTGCGGAATGAAACCATATTCTTTGGGTTATATATATATATATATATATATATAGAGAGAGAGAGAGAGAGAGAGAGAGAGTAAATGAATGAATTAGAGTAGATTTTCTCATTTGCTTGCTTTTATACTAACTTGTGATTAAGCTTCCTAAATTAAAATGAAGCATAACGAGTGTAAATATAATATAAGGTTAAATCGTTCAATTTTCATTATATGTAAATTAAAACTTACTAGTGGAGTGAAGTTTAACATATTTAATGTTATGGTACATATGGAAATTATTCGGGCTTCATATCTCAAGAATTTGTCTTTAATTTTATTAAGCATTCTATGGTTCACATTGGTTCAGGGAATTCATTTAATTCAGAAACATTTTCTCGGTAGATTTTCAGGAATTATTTCATAAAGTAAAAACTTAATTCTAAGCTTGGCGACCAAGGTGAATCTTTCTGGTTTAAAGTTATCATAGAATACTGTCCACTCATTAGTGACCTATTTTATGGATTGCAATTCGTATTCACCGGTTAAGGAACTTGGATGAAAAAGGTATCGTACTTGAGCCGAGGCTTGAAGATTATTAGCTCGGTCACATGTAGGATAGTGCTACTGGGTCCAGAGTCTCCGAGTTGTGAATAACTCGTTTTCTGTTAAAGTTTTGTTCTTTGAGCTGAATAGCTTGATCATAGAGCTTTCACTGTTCTATTAGATAACATTATAAGTACAACATTGGGATAGAAGCTGAAGTTTACACCAATAATGTTTTTCAGAAGAATAATGAAAGCTTTACGATCAAACCATTCAGCTCAGAGAACGATCTCCAACAAAACCATCCACATGAGCTTCATATCTTCCCGAACATCTTATTTCCCTGTTGATTTTAACTTTCGAACTAAGACTCTAAAGCAACCTAACAAATAAATTAAATGTGTTTAAAAACCATTGTGATCAAAGATTTGGTATATTGAGTAACAACAGTTGATCAGTGATGTGGAGTAAATAGTTCATTAATAAGTAGTTCTTTCCTCATAGGTTTCTACTAATAATTTAACTTTTCATATATGCTTCCACAATGTTAACTGTACAAAGAACTACGAAAATTGATCAAACTTATTCTTTTTGAACCATTTTATAAAACTTTAGTTTTTTGGTTTCGCAACGATACACCGCTGGATCCTAATTATTGTGATTTTGATAAGTCTGCTCAGACCAGTATATGCATCCTTCCATCGGTGAAAGCATCAAAAGATTCTGGAATTTATTCAGTAAAAATCAAAGATATTAATGGTAACTCATTTGTATGTAAATTTTGCCTACAAGTCATACCATCTTTATTGGTGAATGATAATAATTCAGTTAAAGTAATTTAAAATTACATATTTTGTACAGGAAAACTAACTTATCCTAATGTTATCATGATAAATGGCTTCAAAATTGTAATAGACCATATACTAACTAGCATTTCAGAATAAATTTATGATCTAAAAAGAAAACATTATGTTCCCATATTCAAGCACAATATCACACACAATCTATGAACTATTATCATTAATTGATTTATACATTTTTTTCTCTCTCAAAACATTAGTAATTCATAGAAACCTTTTATTCTCCTCCCCTCCCCCTTGATTATACTAACAACAAATGCTTTTTCCCAATTTGAATAAAATTCAAACAACAACATAGAAACAAACAAATCAATAAAAATCTCCGGAAATAATTGTGTAAATGATACAATCATTAGAGGAATATTATTTTTCAAGTAGACAAAACAACCAACAGAAAGAATATTCCAAATCAGTTTTGTTTTTCTTAAAAGGAAAAAGAAAAGATTTCATTTTCTTTTAGTTCATGTTATTATTTTGCTAGTCATTTCAATGTGTATACATACTTGTATGTATAAGATGAGATCATATTCACTAAATAAAGAAATAAAGGAAAAAATGATACGTTATGAATGTTATAGAAAGTCAATCACTGACTGTTCACTTCTGTATTTTGTGACTTGAAACAACAACAACAACGAAAAAAACGATTACTAAAACTTTTCATTTTCAACGCTTTACTTTCTCCCATTTCGTTTTTTTTGTCTGTTTTTGTTTTTAACTTTCCAAAGTACTATAGATGTTTTTTTTTGTTGTTGTTGCCAAACATGGAAGGATTATCTAATATCATACATGTGTATACTATTATCTTTTATTTATCATAATAACTATTAATGTGATTAAACATTTCAACATTTATCTTGCCTTTCTCTGTTGTCTTTTTGTTGTTGTGTTTTTAGACAAAATTCTTTGATGCTTCCTCCCTTTGTTTTTGTTCTCTCTTAATTTATTTACTTATTCTCATTCCCATGAATATTTCTTTATTGGAAATAAAAAGAAATCTGTTCCCTTCCTCGCCTAACCGGATGCTTTATTATACTCATATTTTCTTTAAATATTTAAAAGAAATTTTATGATTATATACAAAGAAAACGACTATACAAAACTTTATTATAATATAAAACAATTCTAACAGTTATTGGTTAGTTAGTCTTTTGTTTCCAAGTTGTATGTACGTAATCATAAAGCATACATTTCCTCATTTATTCATTTAACTCTTTTTAAAATAATATTTTCTTTTTCTATGTTATATATTTGTCTTCTATTAACAACGTAATTGTTGAAAAAAATAGTTGCTAACCTCTCTATTTGAATCATTTATCATTATTATTGTTGTTCTGTTATGATTTCTTTCGAATTTAATGAGTAGTTATGAAATAGGCTACAGTGTAAGTAAAAACTTACTAAAACTGTTGATAAGATCTTATGATTTCCAAAAAAGAAAACACAACAAGAACGACGACAACAACAACAACAACGACCAACTCTTCTGTTTTATTACAAATAAGAATAATCTAAATGAACAATGATTAATGTTATCATTTAAAATTATTTCAATTCCCCTTGAAATTTTTCTTAATTTATCACTAGTCTATTCGCATGTTTATTTACTTATACAAAGTAAAATCTTTTCTCAATTCTAAATCTTTTCTTTGTTCTTTGATATATTATGCAAGTGACTAAATGGTATTAATCATAATGATGATAATACTGATTATTCTTATTATTCTGTTATCCATTACTTGATAATGATAAATAATAATAATCATCTCACTCATTATATGTGCTATTTTTTAGCCATTGAAACAAGAAGTTAAATTGATTTTACGTAATCTGTATCCTGTTTTTACATGATTTTTTCTCTTCCTTTTGTTGTCGTACTTTTTCTCATCGTTAAGTCCTTTTTTTTCTTCTTTATTGCCTATTTGTTTCTTTCAACAGAACTGAAAAAAAAACTCTTCTTCTACCTGACCCTATATTAAATGATAATTATTTACTGACACAAATTATGTTCGATCTGAGAGAAAAAAAGAATCTGTTTTAAAAAAATAAAGTTTGAAAATTTATTTTCTGTTTTATAACATGAACTAATTTAAGGGCTTACTAGTATTGCTTTAAGTAATCTTTGATACTGAACATGTTTTATCCAGTTGATCCAAATTCCGTTACAGAGTGAAAAAGATTTCAACCAGCGAGAAGCTCTGAACTTGGATTTTGAGCTTATTGTTGCTTGTAAGTACGGCATATTTGTATTCTTGAAGCATCACATACTTTCTGTACAGTTTGGGCCTACATTACCAAGTGTCATTGTAGAAAATACTATTACTGTTCTGTTCGAGTCAAAATTGACTTAATGTACAGTTGAAGTATCTTACAGTGGTCGGTCACCGATTAGTAACCAATATCATATTTATTTATTCATTAGTACTGGTTGAACTCGATAGATCAAAATAACGATATGGCCACTAGATTACAGACACATTTCGCTGACGTGTAGTAACTAGCATTAAGTTTAGATATGTGTTTTGGTTACTCACAAACATCCAATATCAAACTTATTGCATCCAATATTGATTCAGTTAAACCAGGAACCACTTCGCAACTTGATCAATACAATTCGATCAACATTCGAAACTGGTCAAGGACGAAATTAATTATTATTCAACAATTAATCGGTGCAATGTTTAATTACTTTTCAGTAAACACACGAGAATTGTACTAGTTAATTCTAACTTTAATTAGGAAGATAATCGATAATGATAGTTCTGATATGATGGAGAGAAAAGTCAATTTTCGATTGATTTACTCATTATGAATTTTGTTCAAGATTACTTCCGTTTTGATTCAATGTAATGATTACTCAATGTAGTATTTGTTTCCCTTTCTCGTATGATATTTTATTCTGTGTAACATACGTTATTCTTGTATTCAGTTGACATGAGCTATGCTCAGTATGTGATTTGTTATAACTAGGTATTTTTCATGTGCGATATCATCCTAATTATTAATCAAAATGGGTGTACAATCAATATATAAATGAGTGTATTTTAGACTAAGGTCGTCGTCGTCGTCATAGTGTTTTGTGGCCAATAAATCTTCACTTATACCAGTCTATGTGTTCTTACTTTCGCATCATGGGAATTGCAGAGGTCCCTCGTTCCGTATAGCTATTTCGAATTACCAATGAAATAGTACAAAAATCATGCAGTTTTCAATAAACAATTCATTTTCTAGTAGATTTCTTTATTTTCATTTTTGTAATTCCATTTTTCACGCACATGACTTTTGAATTTGTACAGTTCTGTATATATAATCACTTAGATCATGACCAATATTTATTTAGGAATGCTAATATATGCAGAATAATTAATTTAATGGATTCATGTAAATCACTTTGTTAAAAGAATAATATTTATCGGGTCAACAATTACATGTTATTGATTAGTTACTAAGCCATTATTTTACACAAAGGCTAGTATATATATATATATATATATATATATATATATATATATATATATATATATATATATATATATATATATATATACATAACTTTCCAGAAAAACTTGAACGATGAATATATTCATGTAAAAAGATCAATAAATTAGTAAACATATTTTGTTAGCCTTTGTTGTTAATAGTAAAGCTGAAGTAGATCAGAGTCAATATTTCATAGTCTCATGACTATGGTATAATTATTGTATATTTCATGTTAGTTTTAGTTAAGATAATTCTTCATATATCTAAGACACTTCATTTGACCTTCTGGATAAATGAGGCAAACAAATCTATCCTTTAACTACTTGTGAGGTGGTGGAGAAGATTTGTAGCTCAGGTGGATGATTTGGGTGGTTTTGTCCTCTGAGCTGGATGGTTTGGTCGTGGAGCTTTCATCGTTCTTCTGAACGACATCATCAGCACAAACTTCAGATAGAAGTGAAGTGTTCGAATTTCTCCATATGTGTTTCACAGCTTGTTCTGTGCACCTCGATGTCGATTAGTTCTTATTGACTTTAAATTTATCATTGTTTACTTCTTTGGGGAGACTTCTTTTGGGAGACAACCAAAACAAAGAAGTAAACAATGATAAATTTAAAGTCAAGAAGAGCCAATCAACATCGAGGTGTACAGAACAAGCTGTGAAACACATGAAGAAATTCGAACACTTCACTTCTATCTGAAGTTTGCGCTGATGATGTCGTTCAGAAGAACGATGAAAGCTCCACAACCGAACCATCCAGCTCAGAGAACAAAACTCCACCAAAATTTAACTGCTTGTCTTTTGAATGTATTATACTGTGAGATTTTAGGAATTATTATCATTTCTAGAATAAGGAAGAATGATAAAATTTTCATTTTTATCTGTTATTTCTTATTAGTTTATTAAAGAAACTAAATACAGTTGAAAATTTCACTAGTGTTTCACTTTACAAAGAGGAGATCAGTCAGCTATCTTCCTTAGTTATATGGCAAATCGAAATATACAGGAGGCCTGAGTGAATAAGACAATAACTCAGTTTTTATAGCTTCTTTGTAGTCATTATATTAATAAGTCTTGATAAAAGTTCGATTTATTACAATCAGTGGCGTTTGATCAAAAGTTGTTAGCGAAGATGAAGTGAAGATATTACATGGAATAGTGATATAGAGACTACAGTTATTTTAAAGTGAAAATAGATAAAAGAGCCAAAATATGTTGGTAACTATGTTGACATCACTAAAATAATATGTTTACATAACCATATCATTCAGTAGTTAGTTTAGTCGCCTTGTATTCAAATAGAAACGTGAATCCGTGGTCATTAATGTCTTTTACTCAAAATCACAATCGTAACAGGAAAAACAAAGCCTATGCTTTATTAGACAATCAAACTTGATACAAGCTGTTTCGTCAAACACGTCCACATACAACATAAACAGAAGTTATTAGAATATTCAAATAAAGGTAGTTGAATATTTTCCTGAATATTTATAAAAACAAACACATTCTAATGAACAGATAATAAATACCCATTCTTTTTTATTGATAAACGTAAAGCAGAATTGATTCATAAAACCTATTTAAAGACAATCTTTATAGTGTTTTATGGAAGTGATCAAGGTTGAATGCACAAATTTATCAAAATCTTAACCATATACATATTCAAAAAAGAGTTTGTACTTACAACAAACCTACCATAATTATAGTAACTCACATTTTTAATATCAAAGGTGATGTGAGTTGTTCTGTTTTATCTTATTATCCTTTACTTTATCTAATAGTTTTGATTGTTGTATTTATCATATAAATCTATTTTCATAAAAATAGCGTATGATTAAATCGTTCTAAATTTAATGTACCAAAATTTTGGATGGTTATAACAAACATTATCTTCTCATTAACTCACTTTAATTTATCATTCTTGTAATTGATATTACTAATGGTGGAATAATATACAAGAATTTATATCTTATTGACAAACATTCAGAAATTACACAATAGGTAATAAGAAATTAATAATATCGACAGTGATCAGGAAATGATTAACATTAGAGAGTTAACAAATAGGTTCTGGACTTACAATTCTGAGAAAATTGAACAACATGATTTATCTTGTACTGGAAACTGTAATTATTTCAGTACTAAGCCAGCCCAAATAAACATGAATCATATCATATAAATAATTGCAAAGTTTATTTTTAACCATAAAATGTTAGATGTTCTAAACCATTGTGTTAGATGAATAATGTTATCAGTTGAAGAGCAAAAAAACTGCTGACTTTATCAAACCTGTTATTCTTTAAAGTGACTGATAATATCTCTATGGTAATGATAACTGATTAGCTTTTAAGATCTTGACATAAACAAAAAGTTATAGGACTATTTAAAAGAGTATATACAAGAAAGAGATATCGATGAAGTAGTACCTAAATTAAGACAGTTTTTGTTCTGGTAGATAAAAATCTTGCCGAAAAACAGTGAGATTCGGAATATTGTGTTCAGACAACAAAGTTAAAGAATCATTTAAATGTATATCTAAAAATGTTTTTAGGAAATACAAAGAAAAGTAATCTGGTAAGCATAAACAGAAACTCTATTTTCTATTTTATTTGGATAAGATTTTGCCAAGAATTTATAGAAGAATTAGGAGGGGCACAAAAAAACGCTTTCTTCTTCAGATCAACTGGTTTCAGCATAAAATAAGGAATGCTTATTAGACTATTCAAAAGTTGATTATAACTCTATTGATACCACCGTCAACTGTGTTATTGGACTTATACATATTTGATGTGACAGGTTTATAAAAAGAGTTAAGAAAAGGACTTCTACAAGATTTTAGGAATTAGTATTCTCAAGTCTTTACTTAAATGGAAGTATAGTCTTCAAAACTGAAAATGCTGAGAGTTCAAATTTATTGAATGACAATCTTACTTTTGTTTGTAGCCTTAAAATCGAATGAATGCGCTTTTAATTCTGTCTCATCATTCCTATGTTGTTTATTATTATTATCTTGTCTTTTATTTACCATTATCTGCGAAGTTAAAATACGATGAAATCTTTCAAAATAAATTGAACTTCAAGATTATGGGGTCTCTGAATTAATTTTGATATCACGTTACCGAAGGTATTAAGAAATTTGAAAAGATTGATGAGCCATTCAAATATTTTGTTTCTAGAAAGAACTGGTGATGTAATTAACTCATAATATATGAGACAGTTGCTAGATTAGTATTAGTATTGTTCTTTAAATAGTGAGTTAAAATATTAAGTACACTAAGGTATTGCTTACTGAAATGCCATTTTTAACCAATTTCGCTTAAGTTGTTTAACGGATAGTTCTAATAGAGTGATTTGGGTTGAAGCTACACGATGATTCCCCCCCCTTATTTTTGATGCACCAGAGATTCTTATGTCATACCTGAAGCATAGAGTTTCCTTGCTGGTAAATCTATTTATGTATCTTTTTATTTTAATTGTGTTGTTCTACATATCTAAGTTCATAGTCGATTGTATAGGATTTAAATGGATACTCATTTTCAAGAAGTTGGTATCTCACTTCATTGGTTTCCCAAATCAATTAAATTAATGTATTGTAATTAATTAGCTGATAACATTAACCAATACATTTATCATTTAGAAATTAGTTTATCTGGACTTTGTATAACGTTTTTGATACTCAAAATTGTAAGAATTTAATCTAGACATACGTAAATACACGAAAGTATAACACTGACGTTTTTTGCAATGTGATTTATTCATGAACAATAATTAGCATTTCATCGTGTACACCACAATATTCTTAGTGCATGAATAAACGGAAATCTGATCATTATTCTGAAGCTTCATGATAATTCTGTTTCGGTAACGTGTCAGTCAATGACTAAAACAACTGAAAACGACGCTGTCTTCAAGCTTTGAATGCTGATGAAATATATGTTTGATATTATGATTAAAGAGCAGGAAGCACTGGACTGACGTTTCGTCTTATTGTGGGACTTCTCAACAGTGCAAATCCATGATTCCGCCTCACGAAGTTCGAACTCAGAACCTATCCGTCTCGAGGATGAACGCTTAACCTCTAGTCCACTGAGCTGACCGGCATCCAATTGTGTTAATGTCTCACTTTAACTAATCCACGTAATTAAGCGATACATCTACCATTGTCATCAGTTAGCTTCTATCTCACAACCGACCCAGTTGAATTCCACTGATCATTGCTTCTCACTAGAACTCCAGGAAATACCTCTTGAAATAAATCACTAGTGAACATATTTTGATTAGTATCAGAAGGGATTTTGTGGATATTATAGTAATTTAATAATTGAATTCCTTAGTCGATTGAATCGTGGATAAGCACAGCTGAGGCATTCCATACTAAGACGAAGCGGCCGTTCAGTGCTTCCAGGTTTTCCATGGAGGTCTAGCTTCAAGTGACTCATGATCTCAACTTTTGAAACATATATATATGTCACAACTGTTATTTATGTTTCTCACTAGTAAATTAAGTTAACATCTCTAATAAGTTAAGCTAATTATTATCATATAGTAAAACTTTCTTTATATGAACCATTCTTCATAGAAAATTACTTACTAACATAAAACATTTCAATAGTTATTCTTATTAAATTTGCCTTAGCAACATATAGAATAGTTGATCTCAATTTTATTATTACAACTCATTAATGATAAATATGGATTACAGCTCAATAGTTGTGTTTTTTTAATAAGAAAATAGCATAACACTTAAAAGTAAATAAATGTTTATAAAATAAAACATGAACAAATCAATATTCCATTGATTATATTGGAAAATCAAATAATTCATTAAAAGCTTTTTTAATCCTCAATAGATCATTGATTATGAATATATATATTAGTCAATTTCATGTGCAGAATATAAATAAACTGAACCATTATCATCTAATATATTTCCTTGTACAGGATCATAACGTACATGTTTAATATCAACTTCCCATGATTTAATATTATTATTCTCAATATAATAAGAATCTGTTTGACATAATTTATTTTTTATTTTTTTAGTTTCTTCTTTTTCTTTTTTTATATTATGTTCTTTTCGATGTTTATTATGATTATGATTATGATTATTATTATTATTTGAAGTACTTGGAATTGCTTCAATTATTCTTTTATCATTATATAAATCATGATCATTTATATTATTATACGTATGCAGTATTGATTTATGCTCATTATAATGATGATTTGATTGTGGATTATTATAATCAATTTCTAATATACCATTCGATTTATCAATAATTGTTTCATTTAATTGATTAAATGAATTATTTCTTAATGAATTCAATCCAATTACATGATTTGTCATTGAAATCATTGGATTTTTATCAATTAAACCTTTTCTATTTAATGCTTTATTCTTTAATGGTATTAATTGTAACTTATTATTGGTTATTAATTTTTTTTTATATAATTGATAAGGATAATAATCGATTTGTTTATTAAATGTATATTTCCATATTAATAATTGTGTATCAATTAATTGAATTAATTTATCAATATCAGTAATATTTTTTGTTGTTATAATTAAAAATTGTTTTTCAATATAATTATCATCATATAAACCAATAGCTAATTGTAATTTATGTTGATTAAATAGAATAATTTTTTGTATTGTTTTATATTGAATTATATTTTCATAACGATATGGCCACCATGAACCATTTTTTAATATTAATGATGTATAAGTTAATATTAATTTTGTTTTAATACATTTTTTTGGTTGTTTCCATGGTTTATTATAATATTGTTCATAACGATATTGTAATATTGGTAATGAATAATCATCATGTATATATAATTCAATATAATTTTCTATATGTATTGTGATACATAATAATGGTGTAATTGTATTCAATGATTGTTTATTCATTATTATTATTATTATTAATGTAATTAAATGATCATTTAGAGAATACAATCTATTTGTATATATTTATATACTTATATTACATTTCAATGATAAAAGTAGGATGTTTATTTGAGTCATAGTTTTTTTTGTTTTTTTATTTATTTTTTTTTAAAAAATGAAGTACAATTTATTAAAAAATCTTAATTGTATATGTGACTTGTTGTTATGCTCAAAGTTTCTTATAATCAAATGAATATTATAGTCATTCTTCATAACATTCTATATGGAATAAACCATATATATAAATGAATTGATCAATATGCATAAATATTGATATCATAGTTTAGAGAGAAACGTTTGTTTGTTTTATTTTTATTTTGATTTTTTTTTAAATTTTGGATTCATCTTAATAACCAATCAGATTAATATAGTGTAAACTGTTTTGTGAATACTTGAAATCATTCAAGACAGAATAAAAATAATAATATGTGTAACCAATGATTCGATTCGAATCGATTAGTAGTGAATGTTAGATAACAGAGAGAGAGAGAGAGAAAGACAGAGAGTTGTAATGAGAAGTGAATAGACGCCAAGTCTATTGTAAAATATATGTATCTATGTATATTTCCTTGGTTATTTATTCAAAGAGAAAATAAAGTATCGTCAATCATCCAACGATTGATTAGTTGATTGATTAGTTAAGAAAACGATTTGTATTTTTCATGTAATGTAAATATATGTATTTTTTAAAAATGACAAACATTTCAAAGATTTGACTACAGACGGTCACTATGTTGAGATAAGATGGTGGTTGGAGGTAGTCAACAGGAAACCCTGTACCTAGATTTCGTGCTACTTGGCACTTGTCAGAAAGATATACCTGAACTGATGCTCTATGACGGATTTTATACCGTGTCACACGGCTTCGCAGTCGGCAACGTTACGATTGAACTATCCGGACCGCGACCGACCTCCTGTAAGACTGAGATATATTTACAATTGACTGATAACTGGGTGGTGACCACTTTCATGTATGTCAGGTTCTTCTTAGTGCAAATCGAATCCTATCAACCAAGTTGAAATTCGGCCAAGAAACCTAGGTCCAGGATTTCCTGTTGGCCACCTCCAACCATCATCTTATCTCAACATAGTGCACGCAATGTCGAGTCACTTATTCTGGTTGTCACATTTCGACGTGGTCGATAGGATTCGATCTTCACTAAGAAAGGCCCGACATACATGGCATCGATCATCACCCACTGATCAATCAATTGTATAGATGGTCATATTAACTGAACAAAAATTTTAGTTTAATTCGAAGCAATTTATTTTTTGCGAAAACGAACACATATTCTGTGTAAATTGGTTTTTCTCACATGCCTAATTGATTCTTAAGGAGAAATTCCTTTCGATCTTGAAAATGATATTACTATAAAATGGTATCATCTGAAAAAATAATGAAAACCGGATAACAGTTCTTGGTCTGATTTAAGAGCTTTTTATTTTTATATACCCACTACCAAAAACTGGATGAAAATAAGCTTGGTAACATATAAAATATTTCTGCCAAATTATCTACTGTATTAATGGTTGTTTAACCAATATTGACAGAAGTTGAGAAAAGGTGTATTGAGAAATCAATTTTAGTGGGTTCAGCTCAAACACAGATAAGTTGATAATATACTGATAGTTTTGGATGAAGACTGTAAAATTTTTTAGGCTGAATGAGTTTGGAACGGTGGAATATTGGGATTATGAATGATCAGTGTAAGGATATCGAGCATATTACAAAATCTGTATATCGTGGGTTCGACTGTATGTGGAAATGTAAGTGATTACTGGTGTGGCGCCCCAGATGTGCCTACAAATTATTCTTCTACACTTTTAGATTACACCTATTTGCAAGTCAGTTGACATTATTTACAATTTCTCTTTTATCTGAAAACTATCTGGCATTTAACTATAAGTTTACATAACTATTGTACTTAATCTTTCAGCTCTACATATTATGCATGGATACCAGTTCTTACATGCTCGTAGCCAACAAAATTAATTTCTGGAATATTAGCAGGTTTTGTATAGAACAATCTTCAGGAATTTTCGTCAAGCAGTGATGGTATAAATAACAAGCTTTTATGTGGTATGAATAGATGAATTATGATTTTTTTTCTCTTAAAAATACCCCTTCCATATATAGAAATATATAGCACCTTATGAAAGAACCAATGTCGAGCGTACATTCCCCAGTGTATGTTTAACCTGCACAACTGTGTTTTTGCAAATTATGGGCTTGTTCAAATGCTTTCTTGAATAATAATACCCTTTACTACAACCATCACACATAAAAAATTTTGAATCCACTGTCCATTTCATCAAATACCATATTTCTGATTAATTCAGTGAATGCATCATTCAGAATAACAGCGAAATAACGATGTAACGTTATTAAGCCAACTTTCTTTCTGATCATTTGACCGACTGGTAGATTTGTGAATAACTCATAATTTTATTGTTAACATGATATCCATTTATACAACACTATTTATTTAGCTGTATTTTCTTTTTGAATAAACATATTCCACAGTTGAAAAGAAAACAGTCGTAATAATAATGGTATACAATGGACTTAAACGATTGAGTCAAACTTTATTTTTCCTTTTTCATGAGGAAATTGAAGTAGATAACACACTCATATTCAGACATAAAAAAAATTAAATGAGTAGTGAAATTTCAACTGTTTACATAATATCAGTTACCAAAGATCAGATTACACTTGTTGCCTAGACAAGCACAAAACAATTCAGTTTCTAACAGAGTAGTGCGAAGAAAAACTGATCTTATGTCAATATAGGGTTGTGGAGATTGTTGAGTTTTTGATTGAATCGATTAGTGTTAGACCATCATAAAAAACCTGGAAGCACTGGACGGCCGTTTATTTCTAGTATGGGACTCTTCAGCAGTACGCATCCACAGTCCTTCACGCGGGACTCGAACCCAGGGCCTTCGGTCTTGCGCTCGAACTCTTAATCTCTAGAAAACTAAGCCGGCATCCAACGGTGTTAATGTTTAATTTCAATCCCTCCACGATATTAAGCGACTGTTCACAATTGTCTTCACCGAGTAACTGCCTCACGACAGACAAGGCTGCACTCCGCTTCGTTGGATGCGCCGGCTCAGTGGTTTAGAAGTTGTGCGTTCGAAAGCCAGACCGAAGGTCCTGGGTTCGAGTCCTACGTGGGGGATCATGGATGCGCACTGCTGAAGTGTCCCGTAATAGGACGGAACAGCCGTCCAGTACCCAAAGTATTTATCCGCCAATTATGTTGTCCCAGAACTTTATCTGAGAATGAACATAGAAAAAAACCCCATTGGATCGACTAAAACACTTCGTAATTCCAGTAATAACAAAGAAGTTTTGAATTTTTGAAACACTCTTTAACAATGAAATGGAATCAAATCTACTAATGTTGTCTCAGGTTAAGGCGAAACTGTTCAATAATAATTAATGAGGAGAACCTAAAATGTTGTATGGCATAGTCTCTGACAGTGTAATGGTTTAGAGGTAATTTCATGAATAAGATTTTTACTACTAAATCAATATGCTTCTTTGAGATCTATACCTGTCATGATCTTTGATCTCATATTATCCTGTAGTTATACAAAACGTATGTCTCTTTATATTCACTTGAAGAGTTCAACACGGTCATTTTATATACTTTACTTATTAAAAAACAAACGTCGTTTATAAACTGGGTTAACCATAGTACTAATTTATATCTAAAGCATTGTACTATTTAAAAATAATTTCAAGATTTATATTGGTTTTGAAATCCGAACTTGTTTTGAGGAAGAATGGAATAACTAATAGGCTATATATTTTCATTCTACAAGGAAATACTATGCATGTTTTCGTGTTTTGTATGTACAAAGATATATAACACTGAATAGTCGTTTCGTTCTTGTTTTGATCTTCTTGTTATTGGTCAACTATAGCTTTCAAGTGCTGGGGCGATTATCATAGCTTTAGATTAGGTTTATACTTCCATTTAAAATGAATTTTTGATGCACTGAACTTTTATTGTAGCAGTTTTGTGATAAAAATCATTTGCGGAGATTTCAGGCTTTATTTAGAAGTTGTCATGCGTTTGAACTTAAAAACTGTTTTACCACGTTACATAGTTGATTATTCTATTACCATCATTAACACTGTTATGTATATTTATATAATGTTTTCGATAGTTATTTATTCTGTTCATTTGCATTATTTGATATCAGACAAAATTAAACAGCAAAGTGTCTTTCCGTCAATAAACTCTTTGTTTAACTAGTAACAAAACCATAAATAGTGATAATTACTGTCCAATTGTTTAGGTAGTAAAACTCAATACTATGTTCTTTGTTTAGTAGTTTGAATTTGGTCGACTCTAATACTATTCATAAAGTTTGAATTTTCCTATGCTCATTTCGTAAAGTTTGGTAATCAGAAATGTGTCCAAAGAGTTTTAATGTATAAAGAAAAACATATTGTATATCTAGTATCACATTGTTATAACTTGTGGCCTTGTGCCGCTAATTAGAAGACGGAGATCTATCGACTGGACCAATGGCGTATAAATCGTACTGGCACTCCTAGAGTATTTATCGATCATTCTTTCTGCCTAGTCTTCCTGCCTCTCAAGTTCAGAACACCAATCTCAACCTCCGCGATATAAATCATATATTACAAACATAATGCGTTTATATACAAACCAAACAGACCACATCGCATCACAAAATAGAAAACAACATTTGTACAAGATCTAGTCAAAAGTGGCTGTGAATATGAGAGACTGTAATTAACAGACTGGGTGTAACTCAAGAACGGTAAATCGGATAATAATAGTTTATGGATCAAAATAAAGCTTACAATAAGAGGAATATGAATATGCATAGTTTATTTATCTAACAATTATACAATAAAAAATATATGTATAGTATTAGTCTAGAAATAGATTCCAATAGTTATCATTCATAATCCTCGTCGGAATATAACATACATCCTTATCTGTATATAAACTAAATTAATCATTTATACTCACAATAAAATAACTGTGAATTATTACTATTGATGTTAAACACTTAGATCATATGATCCATGAAGTGTTTGCACTCTAGTGAAAATTATTTTAAAAAATGATACTATTTATTTCCTGTTCACACATTATATAAAATAAAACTAACTAATTATAAAGGTGATCTGTACTTTTAAGATGAAAAAAGGAATATTATTTTCAACTGCATTTTTGTTTCTTCTTCTAAGAATCCATGGATTTATTCATAGTTAAAAGTACAATCTCTAATATAAATTATATCCTACAATGATA